CTTTTTTTTCCTAGCTAGGGTGACTTTACTGATTTGGCCTTTCTGCTTTTAAGGATAAACTTTCCCCCAAAAAAATTTTAAAAAAGGATAAACTTTCCCTTTAAACTGAGAAGATACAACAAGGTTCACGTGATTAATACAGAGTGTGGGCTTTATTCCAGGGTACACCATGTCCTCTGTATTGAAGATGACATGTGACAACACACATGAGACTTCTAGGTACACAGATAAGCTTGAATTCAGAAAAGTTATCTGTAAACTTTATCAAATCTTTTCGGATGTCCTACATTTTCATCTAACCGACCTCCAAAACCTGCTCAGGAATGAGAGATCAGATGCTCTAAGCCATGTGCAAGTCTTTGAAGCACAAGCTCCTATTTATAGCTTTCATACTATAGCAAAGAACAACAGTAAGTAGTGTGTGTTAAAAAAAAAAGCACATGTGCTTTTATTGCAAAAATTATTAGTGATCATAAACAAAGAGCTGGAAAGCAATGAGACTCGAGACAGCTGCTTCTGGACGGCCACAGGCTCCCCTCTACCTCCACACCTGCTGGCCCTTCTCCAGCTTAGTCTGTTTGGTGCTGCTGAAAGCTGCAGTATCTTTGTGAGTTATTTTATTCCAACCACCATAATTAAAATAAATTAAATTGCTTGTTAGGAAATTTTACTAACAAAGGGATACTTTGAAATGCTATAGTCACGAGTCAACTTGAAAGACTTTTGACTTTAGGAAGAGAATTGGAACTGAAAGTGACTCCTATAAAACTGAGATCTAATTTGCAAAAGACAGGATTCTAAGTGCCAGGTGGCTCAAGTGCTGAGAGGGCCCTTGAAGATCTGTGCACAGCTCGCAGTAAATACAAGTTGCCTGGTGTCAGCAGCTCTGCCCCCAGGACCTTGTCCTCATCCCATCATTTCCTTGAGAAGGCCTGAGGTGTTCTGGGATTAACCTGCATTCCATGCCCCTTCCATGGGTTTCTTTGTTGATCTTCACCTGTTACCAACAATTGCCCACCCCAACCCCTGAGGAATGGGATTATGGCAAGAGTGGCTTCTAGAGGAGGTATTTTACTAGTTCTTACCCTGTGGTTTGCACAATAGGGAGCCTAGTCCCCTTGCTTGTTACTGGGCAAAGCAGTAAGAGATAGATGCCTCCTTGTAGTCTAACTTGTCTTCAAATGAAACCTCTTGCCAAATTCAATGATATGCAGTATCATATGCAGTTTAAGAAGATTAGGTAATTAGAAGTCTGTGTAACAGGGGCCAACAGGAAACACACAAATCATTCAACTACAGTATGAGATCAGAAGGCAGAGCATTCATCTCTTCAACAGACCAGAGGACCTGAACCAGGGGCAAGCTGAAACTTAAAGTCACAGGACATCACAAGCAGTTCCCAAAATATACAATGAGGGGTCATATAAAAGTCACTGCCTGCTAGGTCAGTGGCCTTCAGTGTGAGGAATCTACCAAACCAAGGTGACCTTAAAGGGAAAGAACTGGAAGAAGAAATACCCAATGGAACTCCAGGCTGAGGGCAAAGGCAACAGATGCCTTGATGGAGTCCAATGCAGTAAGACTCTCTGTCAGTTAGTAGAATGGGTTCTGGTTCTGGGGAGCAGTCTGAAGACATAGAGTAAAAACTGCAGACGAATATTTCCCAGAAAATAACAATGTTTACCATTATTAATGATTTAATAATTATTATTAATCAATATTTTATACTTCTGCAGATGGGATGAGACTATATTTGGAGCTCTTTTCCTAAATCCCACAAACCGTAGCCTACTGGCGACCCTGGTTGTAGCTTCTGATGCAATGCTTCGTGTGCTTTGTGGTTTTCTTTTTCCTTTTTGTTCCTTTTCTATCATCCTAGTTTTAAAAGCCCTCAACTTTGAGTGTGTACAAGGAGCCACATCTCAAGGAGAAAAAGCAGAGCTTCCCTTGAGAAGTGATGTTAAGGTTTAGACCAAGAACCTAGAAGAAAATATATTGCTATGAACTGATTCAAAATCTAACTATTGGTGAGAACAAGTGGAACTCACATCAGGGAAAAAGTGATGGACCACAGCCCAAGACTGAAAAGGCCGATGTAATAGGATATTTTGCTCTTCCTGTATATCCACGGTTACTTCAGCTTAGCCAAGTAGATTTAGCATGGTTAGTTAGTACTGGGGCTCTCAGACAGCAGAAATGTCAGCATCTGTAAGAAGCTCTGGGAACAGCCTCATCATCTCAAGGGCTGACTCATCTGGAATTGAGCAATACTTGGAAACACCAGGCCAGCAAAGCTGGTGCTGCTGGCCATGATAAGTGCTTATCTTATGGAAATATTGGTAATTAGCCCTCTTATGGGCTCAGATTTGGATACACATTTTATGTAGGGAGAGAAGATAGGTCAGCTTCTGGCGATGTTCAAAAGTCCCTTAAATTTTATATTTTTCTTTTTTTTGAAATTATAATATGATTACAACATTTCTCACTTCCCTTTCCTCCCTCAAATCCTCTTTTATAACCCTGCTTTCTCTCTTTAAATCCAGGGCCTCTTTGTCATTAATTGATGTTGCATGGATACATTGTGTGTGTGTGTGTGTGTGTGTGTGCGTGTGTGTGTACATGATTTGAGTGAAAACAAGTGTCTAATGTGAATGGCTATTAAGTCACCACTGAAACCAGGCTCTCTGTGACCTAGTCAAGATTTTAAGTGTGTAGTTGATGAGAGAAAAAGCAAACTCTGAAATGTGACGTGATCGCCAGATGGTCCATTTTTTTCTATCAACAAACATGAGGTTTAGAGTCTCGTACTTTGTACTTGGTTTGTTCAATCTTAAGTGTTTATACTGCAGTGTGTGACAGTGTTCATAAACACCAAAATCAAAAATTAAAAAAAAAATACTAAAGCCCCTGTGTAAAGCAAAGCTCCGGTGAGAGAGTGTTTAAATTTCTTAGTGATCTTGGCTCCTTTTACTTACATTTTTACTCAAATGAGAGATTTTAATAAATGAATGGTTAACAGCGAATTGAACTTGGATGTCTTTGAGACTGGAGAGACGAAGCAGCAGTGAAGATCACTTCTGCTCTTCTAGAGGACTGCAGTCTGGTCCCCAGCACCCACGTTAGACCCAACGACCTCCTCTGGAGTCTGCAGGCTCTCACACTGTGTGCCAAACACTCATAGACAAACAGAAGCACACAGAAGAGTAAATCTTTTTTAAAAAAATGAATGCACAGTCTCTAGCTGAAGACTTTGATACTCTGATTTTCCCGAATGGTGTATAAAGTGGGGAAGACATTGTCCAGAATGGTGTGTAAGTTTAGAGAAAGAGTAAGTTGTCAGATTTTTTAGGATTGACAGGGTGAAACATAAAACCTCTACTTTCAACTTTAAGATGCAGCAGACATATTTCTTAAAATGGAATATTAGTTTAGTACTTCATAACTCAAAATTTATTTTTACATAAGCACTTAAAAATTACTACAGAATATTTCTGTTACATGTTACCTGGTTAGCGTTTTCTTACAGGGTTGTAATCAACAGTGAGCTCACTGTTTTAGACTCAGCACAATAGGCATACTAACACCTTACCCAATGACTCCTCAGACCCCTCTCCCTCATATCTCAACACTCTAATTTGGTGTACCATGCTTTGCATGACCTTGACATTCAGAAAAATCAGCCAACCATGACCACTGACCTCCTGCCACCTCAAACACAGGCTGCAGGTCAGATGGAATGAGAAGTCTGATTAATTGGAAAGGAGGAAATGTTCCTAGGGATTCATGAAGAATGCTGATTTCAAAAGGACATAGGACAAAAGTGAAGAGAGAGTTCTAAGAACTACTGAGATTTTCTCTAAACCATGAGAGACAATTTTAAACACCAAAGCCCATATGCCGAGGATGCCACACAAGACCAGGCCTTGATCCCTTGGCAGCACTGGAAACCAGAATTGATCTTAAAGCATCCCATGTGAGTGTGGTTGAGTAGAGGAATAACCATCGAGGATGACAGAGAATAGGATTTATTGTCAGAAGTCACCTTTACACACGGCTGTGAGTTGCTGTGTCTGACATGACTGTAGTGAGATGCACAGATGTTGAGAATAAGGGACAAACTGTTTCCAAACTGTCTTCATCTTTGGCTTCTATGGGAAGGCCGGGTGTCCCACAGGTGAATCTGGTGCTGGTCACCTTAGAACCACCCACATGCCTGCAAAGTTGAAGGAGACTGGCAGGAGGTAGGAGGGGAAAAGGTCCAGGGTAGTTGATTACTTATAACTTGCCTTGGGCCTAGGGTAATATTTTTGAGATTATATGTTGACCTAATGCATATAAAATAGAAACTACTCCATTTTTACCTACTTAATCTGTTACAGACCTTTCTGCTCAACTTTAGCTACAATCATCCAAGGAACGACATCCTGGAGCATGCCCCTTCTGCTTAACTATACAGTCACAACCCGGAATCACACAACCTGTCTCACAGACATGGAACACTGCTGTTGTGGCTATAGTGTAGAGTCTACACAGGCAGGTAGCCTACATGTGTCTGATTTACAAGTTCAAAGGGTCTTACTATGGCAATGCCTGCTTCACAGTGCTAAGAGATGTCAATTGTCATCAAGGTATAGGGATGACGCAACCAAAGTAAGATAACTTCAAAAATCATTCTTTATCATGTACCACACTCCATGGGTTATAGTCTAAGGGTTTCTTCTATGAGTCCTGTGTATGAAGATACAGAAGAAAGAGTAAACATGCCTTCTTTTCTAGTAATCAAAATTGAATCTTACATCCATTTAGTCTTTTTGTGTGAAAGTTTAAAGGAAAAGTCTCATGACATTGAAATCAAAAATCCATCCATCATCCAAGCAGCAATGCTATTCCCTTGGATCAGTACATTTTGCTCATCATTTTTTTAGCTGGCTTTTCATGCCATGTAAATATTTGTTTCTTCAGGACTTTCCTCCATTTGTCGTTTTAGAAAAAGAAACTCCTTAGTCTTCTCGAACCTGCAAAACAGAATGTATGTCAGTGTGTTCTATGCAATTCCTGTGACTGAGAAGTAGAACATATGAAGACCAGACCCATGTTAGCTCCTTCCAGAGGGAAACTGACCTTAGTAGCTCTCCTTGGGCTTCCAAGGGAGACAGAGAATTGAGGCAATTTTCTGTCTTGCAGAGCTGGCCCTGGTGACTCACCCCAAGGACATGCTCTGTCCCTCTCCATCTCTGCCCCCGCCCCACATGGGGAAAAGATTCTGCAATCTTCACCAGTTTGCTCCTGACACAATTGCACCAGGAAACCCATTCCCTGTATTGATGGCAGTTGAAGGATTTTAGGCTTTTCTTCTGTGAATGGGGAGCAATTAGTCATCGCACTGCCCAGCAAGGTTTTCCTGTTCAGTTCCTGCCAGAAGCAATTTCTACCTCGCTTGTTTTATTCATTCTTGGACACAACCATGACAAGGTGAAATTGATGGGTGTATTTTGGAGGCCCTGTAACCTCCTGCAGCTGAGTACAATTGAAGCACATGGGAGGTGCCTCCTTAAGCAAATCCTTCCTATGGCCTTGCTGGGCAGGCTCTGCCCAAGAGACCCTGAATCAGTGGGGTAACACTTCTCCAACTGAGGCCAGCATTCAAGCATTCCCCTAGAGTCCTCCAATTGGACCTTAACCTTGAGACAGCTGTTCATATAGCAATGAGAAATCTCTAGTGCTGCCAATGACTCAAGCTTCTCATACTTACATTTGAGCATCTTCCGTGTAGCCAACTTTTAGCCTCCTTCAACAAGGTCGATATATATTATTGGCAATCCTATCAGCTTACCTCAAGGGACTACTAGTAATTCATTTACCAGGATTGAGATGGTAGGCATACACCAATTGTTGAAAATGAATGAAGGCACCATCTGTGCTTGACTGTGCTAACTGCTTTTCAGACATTTTAGAAAAGGTAGCTACTATATTATCCAATTTCTTTTAATTCCCTTCTCCTAAAGCCAGAGGTAATGTAAAAGTCGTGTTTCATGGAAACCTCAGCAAGGAAGCAGAGACTCCTTGGTCCTGCCCAGCATCCATTTCTGAGTTCACTATCACTCATTCTTCCAGTTTCTCATTACAGTGAAGCACTGGCCACCACTTCTGTATTCCAGTAGCCATTCAGCTAACCACAGGGATATGGGTAGATATTTCTGTGCTTTGGGAAAGAACCAGAAGTTGAATGACTGAGACCTGACAAGCAAGACTCCACAATTTATTGTCATTCCCTGACTCACTCCTGACTACCCTCCCCCTAGGTCTCAGTTTTGACCTGATACAGAGACATGAGCTTTTGTACTGTGAAAAGAATTTACTCAGAACTTCAAGGTCCATTTGTGCTTTTGAAATCACCTTTGCAGTGTGGATTCCTGAGTATTCTGCATAAATAAATTAAAGGTTGCAGTCTTCGAGCTTACTAGTTAACCTGGGATGAAACATTTGAAAGATAAATAGGATGTCTTTACAACTTAAATGTTTAGCAGCACTATATTACCTAGACAAATAGAATTTAATACACAGGGAAAGAATTTTTATTTTAGCTTGTTTTTCTGTTTTTTAAAAAAGTATTTGAAGAAAAAAATCAAGGTTATTTCTTGTTATACTAATCCATGCAATGTTGTGAGCCCTAAAGCAACAGGCTATAAGGTTTCTCAGAGTAGATCTTACCTTTTTTTCAAACTCCTTTACTTTAGCTTTGAGTTTATTGACCTGAGATTCTGCTACCTCTGCCCTCTCCTTGACTTCGTTCAGCTCATATTGCTGCTTCCTATACTTGAAAAGGTATTGATTAGCTTGAGCCTCCTGTAAAAATGGAAAACACAGAAAGTGAGGATGCTGCTAGTCTATCATCATATTCTCTGCTTTTAAATGAGAGACTTACAAATGGAAGGGACATAAACTCAGTTTTAAATGGAATATGTTGTTTCAGTGTAAGACACACAGGTAGGACCTAAGAGTAGGACCGGAGGCTGGAGAATTGATTCTGAATTAAGAGTCCTTACAACTCTTTCTGAAGACCTGGGTCTGTTTGCTTGTTTCTTTGTTTCTTTTGATATTTTTGAAAGTTTATATATACTGGTGTTTTGTAGGTTGTATCGTGACAATATGAGGTGTGGTACCTCACATGGTCAAATGTTGCTCTTGACTCCTGATTAAAATTCAGAAGCTTAATCCAGAGATTAAGTGCTGGTAAGGTATTAGTATCTGCTGAAATACTCGGTAAAAGTTAGAATGTGAATTAACTACCTTTAAAATAGTGTGTGAGAAGCATCCTTTTGGATATGAGGATTGTCTCACAGAGTGTTTGAACGTCCAGTGAGTGAAATGTTTTGAAACAACTTGAGGCAATAAATATCAATTAATTCCCACAAGAACAAACATGTGTTTAGATAAAGAAAATGAAGATTTGCGAGAACAAATCTTTTTGGACTTCTGACCATTCAAATGAAAACATCTCACTGTTCCACCAAAATAATAGTATTAAATAAAATGACAGCGATTGTAAGTGGTTCTGTTTGTCTTTATTTTATTGCTTTATGGTCAGGGTATATGCTGGAATCCAAATCAGATCTCTGTTTGTTCATTAGCCCCATCTTCCCAATGTCTCAAGCTTTCTTGTTGGCATTTAGGCTCTGTCGGTTTTTGAGGTTTGAAGATTGACTCTTCTTTACCTTATTAGGAAGTGGTCAGCCCGTGAAGCCAGATCTAACCTGATTATCACTCAGAAAGAACCCCTGAAGATTTTGTTACTGGTTTCTCAAGAAATAGGAAGCCCTCTTAAGGTTGTTGTTACCAAAATGTCGAGCAGTGGGAAAGGTGAGGATGCCTTTCTGGGTTGGGGATGCCCAGACAAAAGGGCAGCTTGTGCACAAATGAGTTAACACGGAGGATAGCTGCAACTGGGTATTTCTGAATACATGCATGGTAGCTCACAACTACCTCTAATCCAGTTTCAGAGGATCTGATGCCCTCTTCTGGCCTATGTAGGCACCAGAAAAGTCATATAAAGATTTACATAAAATCTTTATATAAAAATACATGCAAGCAAAATGCTCATACATTTAAAGAAAAATGAAACCAGGAACTTCTTTTTAAGAGTGAAAACTGAGACCCATTTTACAGCTGTTATCCCCTGGAAATTCAAAATTGGTGTTTCTTTCCACCACCAAATACAGGTAGTATAACGTCCACATTTTTGTATACTAAAGCAATCACAACTAATTGGTTTAAAGTCAGAGTCAAATCCTAACCTACCCCTGGGTATAAGTGGCTGTCCTTTCAAATTATGAACCAATGAGTAATTTTTGGGCATAGCACCAAATCAATAGATTCAGAACCCCTCAAAATATTAGTAGGTATAAACTGACACCTTCACGTAGTGCCTAGGCTTTAATATATTACTTTAAGGGCTCTGTGGAATATGGAAAAGGTAAGCTGAGGCCAGTAAAAAGAGATAGCAAAGGAAAATAAGGACATGCCAATGGTAGTGGTTTTCTTTATGTCTTGTCCAGATTCATCAGAAAAATATATGACATATTGTATTGATTGTGTTCACCCAAAGTCTAGAGCTGAAGGAGTCCATGATGAAACCTTGCAAAATTTGTCAGCCCTGCATGACACACTGATTTTATTTGGCTCATTTCTGGTCCTACATAGGCTTGAGTATAGCCACCAGGTGAAGGGAGAGAAGTATGGTTTCTGGAAAGGAAAAGCAACACAATTTTCCTGCCCCACCCCCTCCTATAAGTCACAGTGCTAACTTACACAAAACAGGGGAAGGGCAGATGTGATGTCCAGATGGCTGTCTCTGCTGAGCTGTTTCCTGAGCTCAGAGCATTAACCAAAAGCAATGGCTGGGAAATCCATGATGCTGCAACTGGCACTTACCGCTGCTTCCATTTGCTGTTTGTAACTCTGCACTTTTAGCTGAAGTTTCTCAGACAGAGCCTGCATCCTATTCAGATTTTTCTTATCTTCTTCTGCCTGAAATGCATAGGCATGCATGGGAAAGTCATTTGAAGGATCCAGCCATGCACACTGAATATATTCTCACATGAGGAAGTAAAGGTTGGGAATTTTTTGTATTATCTGATAACGATGTTTTTAAAACTACATTAATCTCTATTCATCCTAAGTTTTGAAAAAATAATGAATGGCTTTGCGAAATGGCAACGACTTGTCTCTTGATCTTTACAGCACCCCGCCAGCCTGTATTTAAATGGAAGTCAAGGCCATTAGGTTTGATATATCCTTCAACATTTTCATTCCAGATAAGCTAAACTTGCCTGAGATTGCTTTCTAGGAATAAAACTTAGTATTACAAAAAGCTATTTATGTAAAATGGAAAGCCAACTCTGTCAATCCAAGCAATTCAACACCTGAACTTCTGAATTGGTCCTTGGCTTCATGTAATAAACTAGAAAAGCCAAGTTCCTCGGAATTGTGTCATGGGCTCAGCAAAGATGGTGAGGGAAGGTCTACAAGCTGTGTGGATCTCTGTGTGGCCATCATCCTCAACTCTGTCATTGTCTAGACTTGAGCTGGAGAAAGGAGGCATAGTGGGGTAGGCTTCCTGAATAGTTCTTCAGGGAGCCTTTTACATTCTAAAAAAGAGCATGGTGAAGGGACTCTTCATGCTCCTGGCCTTCTTCCCACACCCCTGGAAACACTGGGGTATTTTCATTTCAAAGCTGTTAAACGTCCAAATAAATCAAGTACCTCAATAGATCTTGTACCCTATAAAGATTTGTCACTTGTATTGGTTTAATAAATACTGATTGGCCAGTAGCCAGGTAGGAAGTATAGGCAGGGTGACCAGAACAGGAGAATTCTGTAAAGAGGAAAGGCTCAGTCTGCAGTCATCACCCAGATCCAGAGGACACAAAATGAGAACAAGTCACTGATTAAAGGAACCAAGGCACATAGCTAACACAGACTAATTAAGATGTAAGAATTAGTTAATAAGAAACCATAGAGCCACTAGAGGAGAAAGACACAAACTACCAGCCAGAACCTTGTTGGTAGCCCACAAGTTTATGGTAAAATATAAAATGATAGAAAGGGGTTAAGATATAAGAGTGAGCTGGAAATATGCAAAAGCTATTGGTCAAATAGTTTCTGTAATATAGTTTCTGTGTGATTATTTCAGAATCTGGGTGGCCAGGAAATGAATGAGTAGACTCCCCCAACAAATGGTGCCAATGTGGACAACTTTATCCACATAAAACCTGAGAGAGCTGGGGAAGTAATTCTAGACATAAAAGAGCAGATTTAAGCATGGCTTCTTGGTATTTACCTTTTCTCATGTGGGCTCTGTTTGCTAGAGGCAAGCACGTCTCATTTAAGAGGAGCTTCCTGATTCAGCTTTAGCTGCAAATACCTTGTAGCTCTTTTAAGAGCTTAAATGGTGTTTATAAAGAGCTAACAGCATGCTTCTTGGTGGTGGCAGGGACCTTGAAACTCCATAGAGTTCTGGAAATAAACATGGCTCCTGCCAGTACTTCTGCCATGAAGCTAGACTCTCAGAAAGCTAAGGAATGGGGTGGATCCACCTATGAAAGTCACGGCTTTAATCCTAGCCATATTGCTTAGCAAATTAAAGACTCATGTGGTCAGAAAAAGAGAGATAGACAGTAAAGATAGAATCAGACCAAAAAAAAATTCTAAATGGTTTACAGTGTGTTTAAAAATGTATGTATGCTTGGGGGAGAAAAGAAAAAGGATAAAGTCCTTAAAAAAAGCAAAAAAGAAAGAGTAGTAGTGTAATACACCTTTAATCCCAGGACTTGAGAGCCAGAGGCAGAGGAATCTCTATGAGTTCAAGGACAGCCTGGTCAACAGAGTAAGTTCCAGGACAGACAAAAATATATAAAGAAACCCTGTCTCAAAAAAAAAAAAAAGAAAAGAAATAAAGCTTAAAATAGAGGCACGTAAAGATGGAAAATGCACAGAGAATCTGGATACTGTATATTATTGTGTTGTCTTCAAATAGTTTGATGGTGAGGAAGGAGCAACAGCTGATAAAAGACATTTGATTATAAATGCTGCTATATATATATATATATATATTTAAAAATGCCTTGACTTCAAATTTTAAGTCAAAAGATATGTTACTTTGGAGACAAGATTTTGTTTTGTTTCTGCAGGAAATGAGAGGTGGTAGATTCATTCTGAGTTAAGAAAAATCAGGTTTGATCAAGGCAGACCCCCTGAAAAATCTTCAATAAGAGTAGATGACTGAGATGATTTAACATTTCAAAGGACCTCTGTTGCAGTTTTCTCTGCGTTCTACATTCAGAATAGCTTCAAGAGTGCTGGTTGAGATGATCAAGCCTCACGGAATATTCCATTCAGGACCTGACCATAATCCTAAATTTTCTTTAGGTCCCCATAAGATTATCAGCACCCCCAATCAGCAGGAAGTAGCCTAGAAAACTATGCCCACATTCTAAAAATGGATTATGAGTGTTTGTCTTTGTTTAGAGTGTTGGTTACAAGTTGTTATGTATAATGGTCAAGAAAAAAAGCTAAACAAAGGAGATTAGATTCAGAGTTCTTGTATTGAAAAGAAAAAAGGGGAAGTGTGCTGTGAGACAATGGTCTTAAACCCTGTAAAGAATTGTCACTTGTATTAGTTTAATAAATGCTGATTGGCCAGTAGCCACACAGGAAGTTTAGGTGGGGCAACCAGAACAGGGGAACTTTGGGAAGAGGAAAGGCTCAGTCTGCATTCATCACCCAGATGTAGAGAATATAAGATGAGAATGCCTCACTGACAAAAGGTACCAAGCCATGTGGCTAATAGATAAAAATTGTGAACTAATTAAGATGTAAGAATTAGTTAATAAGAAGCTTGAGATAATAGGCCAACCAGTTTATAATTAGTGTAGGCCTCTGTGTGTTTCTTTGGGACTGAATGGCTGCAGAACTGGGCAGGACAGAAAACTCTGTCAACATGAGAGATAGATTTAATCAAGTTGCTCTCTATGCCCATCTTTTTAGTAGCTCCAGTTTACCTCTGCTATCAACTATTTCCTCCAAAGACAGTAAAGCCAAGTGTTGGGCTCAGTCACAGGTTAGTATACAATAGTGGTAAGACATTTTAAAGATGGGGTCTAAAAGAACATCTTAGGATCACTGGAGGTGTAATCCCCAAAGGAGAAAGTGGATCCCAAACTCCTTCCTCTTAATTTTTCTGGCTATATTTTGTTGCCCTATATCCCTCAAAGCAACAGAAATGAAATCATGGCCAAAACTATGGCTATGGTAAACCTTTTTTAGTTACATGTAGATTAACTAAGGTTCTTTGGCATGATGATAAAAAAATGACTTTACAGTGTGACATTGATCCTTCTATACCTAATAAAAATTCCAGTGTAAACAGGATCATCTCCCCCTGTATCCCATAGCATTCTGCCTGCTTCCCCTTGAATCAGTTTAGCTAAGCTACTTATAATACCTGTAAGCAGCCTCCGTACCAAAGTACCATCTGATGCTATACAATTTGCTACTAATCTTAAGATTAGTCAGTCCTGTATGATGAACATATAGGGCTCTAACAAGTTGGGGAGCTGAGCTAGCCTGGGTTTTAAATCAAGTCCTTCCTGTGCTTTCATCCATTTATCATACTATAGAAGACTTATGAAATTCAGAATTCTATAACACTGTTTCCAGTGAATTCTAAAACCAATACAGAGCCAACTGCTAATAATTTACTAAGCAGAGAGACATAACAGAGGAGACCAATCAGAGGATAGCTGAAAAAAATAGCTACAAGTAGGTGTTGATGCCAATGATGCTCATCCCCCACTGGGAGGGTAAACCCTTAGATGTGAGGCCTGAGTCTTTTAATCTCCCCTTTCAGACATTAACTGTAGTAGCCATGAATGTGTGTTGGAAGTCTCTTCTAGAAAACAACTAGAGCTGTGAGAAGTGCAGTCACATGACAGCTTTTGCCAGTAGGGACTTTTGGTCTCTGTCATAGCATTGGCACCAAGGCCAAACAGTTCTAGGCAATAACTGGACTCAGAAAATCTGGACTAAGTGCGACTACTGTTCTGGCTTTTTAGCCTTACAGGATGCTCCTATTTGGGCAGTTTCAGTGCTAGAGAGTTTCTTAGCTTTTACCCAGACCTCCCATAGCTACCTGAGACTCTTTCTATCCCACCACTCGTTTCTCACTTTGTGGCTGTCAGCCTGCATTTGAGGTCCTATCTGTCACAATCTGCTTGGAGTTCATCTTGCTTTTCAGAGTTGTAACTGTCAGTGAACCCTTTGTACTTGTAACACCATTCTGACATCTGGGTCCTGAATAGAAGGCCCTACATGGTTATTTTACAAACTTCTGCTTCCCTCTCCCTAAAAATGATCATGCTACATTTTCACTAACTTGTAAAGTGTGAATAATGTCCATGCCCAGATTCCTGAATACAGGAGGTCTTCAAAGGCAAAGTGAAGGAGTTGAATGAAGGGTACAGGGCATAGGGACAATCTTTACTTTCTAGACAATGAAAAGCTACTGATCTTACATCTTGCATTTCTGGAACAGTTTTGTAGGCACTTACATTTTTAAATCCCAAAAACATAAAGAAGACAAATGGACAGTGAAGACAATCCATAAAATTATTTTAGAGTAAGATCAAACTTGATTGCTTTTCCAGTGCATGATTATAGAATCTTCCCAGAGGAGTTTACTAGGAAAAGGGAACCATAGTTGTGTTCTAAAAATGGCAATTTTTTTCAAGTGACACCTAAAAATGGTCTATCACAAATATACTGCCTAATAAGCCAAAGTGTAGCTTGATGTTAGAGAGAAATGGACTAAATTGATTCAGAATCAACTTTGAATATTACTAAAATAGGTACTAATATCAAACAATGTAGGGAGCTTTTTAGAGCCTTTTTCAACTTACAGGGTCCTAACCTGATACACAGGGTACTGCTCAGGGGGAATCATCTGACTTGTAATGGAATGGGAACTACCAATGTACTGTAGAGGCACTTGGAAAACAATAAGAAATGCACCCCTCTGAATCCCTGGGACCCCAGCTTTAGCCAAAGGGTGTGTGAGATAGAACAGCCTGAAAGCCACCTCATGAGAACACAAGTCAAACAAAAAAAGGGGGGGGGAGCTCAACTCTAAACTAGGACATGAGAAATGTCAACATTGTTGAGGAAGAAACAAAATTAAGCCACAGTGGATCAAAAATGAAATCTTCACGGTAGTGAAAATAAGAAAATTATAGGTTTGGTGCTTAAATCTATACTGAAACTATTTATAGAAGAATGCAGTTTGAATGCTCACCTTACGAGACCTGGATAGAGGTGGGCAGTCCTTGGGCTTCCCACAGGTCAGGGAACCCTGATTGCTCTTCGAGCAGATGAGGGGGGGGGGAGACTTGATCGGGGGAGGGGGAGGGAAATGGGAAGCGGTTGTGGGGACGAGGCAGAAATCCATAATAAATAAATAAATTAAAAAAAACAGTAGAGCATACTACATATTTTAAAACAATAAAAAACAGAAATTAAAGCAAAAAAAAAAGAAGAATGCAATACGAACCATCCATGAACAAATAAAAAATACATTTTCAGTAAATGATATTATAACTTCCCAAATGTAATATAGGATCACAAAATGCCATTTCTCTAAGGTAGTTATTTTTTTTTTAGCTACATCAACTATGACTTCCAGAGCTCATTGTTTAAAAGAAATGTCAAGCTCATATTAGAAAAAGAACCAGGTATTTAGTCAAAAAACAACTGTCCAAGGGTCTGGAGAGATGGCTCAGCAGTTAAGAACACTCTTTGCTCTTGCAGAGGACCTGGGTTCAGTTCCTGGCACCTACTCAGTGGTTCACAACCATCCAGCGTTCTAGTTCCAAGGATCCAGCATCCTATTCACAAATCTTCAGGCATCAGGCATACATGGTATACATACATACATGTAGACACAACATTCAAAACACATAAAGTAAAAATAAATATTTTAAGCAAGTGTCCAAGTAGTCCATTATAGCTAAATTAGCTCCATTTGATGCAACCATGATGTCCTGCCTTCTTACAAACACTGTGTTTCCTGCTGTAGGGAAAAGGTGTTGACATTTCTAATGACTTCTAGAATTAGAGTCAGGACCCCAGTCCCTGCATTAGCAGTGTCAAAGGAGCTGTACCAATGTGCCTAAAATGGGTTTGCCTTTTATCAGAGTAAGTTATATTGTGCAATGTGTGAAGGCTAAAAGAAAATTTGGGAAATATGTACTCAACACTGTATGCAACAGTCAAGCACAAAAAAACCATTTGGTCTGCTGGGTAGTGGTGGTGCACACCTTTAATCCCAGCACTTGGGAGGCAGGGATAGGTGGATCTCCATGAGCTCCAGTCTGGTGAGTTCTAGGACAGGCTTCAAAGCTACACAGGGAAATACTGTCCTGAAAAACAAAAACAAACAAGCGAAAATCCTATTTGATCACTGACACATGGGTATGTTGGTGGTCAATGGAGTAATAAAAGAGCTTTTTTTTTCCCACTGGGTATGTGGCTGAGGAAAAGACAGAAAAATGACCATTGCAAAAGAACCCTAAGATAATTAGCAGGGCATTGAAAATTTAGCAAAAGCTTTTGAGACCTCAACAAGCTCCTTAGAAAGTTTGAAACACTAAAGGGTCTACATTAACACAAAAGAACGTTCATGAGCATAATCTGCATATAAGCAAATCTATGAGAAAAAAGAAACCAAGAAAATCACCATGGACAGGTTCATAAAAAGAGTTATCTCTCCTCAAGAGCAGAATCAGAAAGATCCCTCATGAGATTATTCTAGAAGGATTCATTGTCATATGAGATGAAACTCCATATATGTCACCTCTAAAGGAATTAGAGTAAGAGAAGATATACAAGCAGAAGGTACAGGAAGATACTTAACAAGCCTGACCCTGACCCTGTAGAGGCCTAGGCCAATATGTATGTCCCTTCTCTTCCCACCTCTCTCTCATATCATTTGTTTATGTTTTATGTTTGTTGGTGTTTTGCCTGCAGGTATGTCTGAGTAAGGATGTCAGAAGCCTTGGAATGGTGTTAAAGACAGGTGTGAACCGCCAAGTGGGTACTGGGAATGTTTTTTTGTTTGTTTGTTTTTTGCTTGCTTGTTTGCTTGTTTGTTTGTTTGAGACAGGGTTTCTCAGTTTAACAGTCCTATCTGTCCTGGAAATAGCTTTTGTAGACCAGGCTGGCCTCGAACTCACAGAGATTCACTTCCCTCTCCCTCCCGAGTGCTGGGATTAAAGGCGTGCACCACCATCGCCCAGTGGGTACTGGGAATTGAACCCAGGTCCTCTGGAAGAGCAGCCAGTGCTCTCAACCACTGAGCCATCTCTCCAGTCCTTAATGTGTGCGTCCTAAACAACAAAATAATTATAGAGAAAAAACCCTTTATAGACATGTATGAAAATGTCATGCGACCTATTACTCTGTATAATTAACATATGCTCATAAAAGCAACCATAAAAATAGAAAAGGCTTTGTAAAACAAGAACAAAAATAATGGATCGTAAAAATATAGTGCATATTTATAGTGTAATTGTATTCAGATATAAAGAAAATAAAACTTGCAGGAAGATGAATGGAGCTGGCAGTGTTACATGAGTAAGGAAACCCAAGCTCAGAAAGACAAACAACATATGTTCCCTCATATGCTTCTAGCTGAGATACATATATTCTATCAATCTGTGTGGATTGTGTGGAAGTTAAGTGTAGGTAAAAATCAGGAGAGTAGGAAAGGGAACAAAGAGGCATTAAGAGAGCAGGTGGAGAGGGTAATAGAACATGTCTGATATGAGAGGAAAGGGGAATAGGTAGAGTTGAAGGGCTGAGTGGAGTAGGAGCTGGTGGGTGTGTGGTGAAGAAGGAGGTAGGGAGAAGCAACCACAACTATGTATGAAAATGCCATAATGGAACTGGTTATTATGTATGATAACTAAAAATAAACTTAAAAAGAATATAAAAGGGAAAATATACAACTATACAATTGCTTAAAGATTGGGAAATACTGTGAGTCAAAATGAGTTAAAGTAATACATTATACTGATTTAAAGTTAAGCAAGAAAAATTAAAAATAATGTTTCATAAATTTATGGTAACCAAGATTCAGTATCTACAATACAGTATAACCAATATACTATAGTAATCAACATACTGATAAAATCTACAGCACTGTATAATTTTATCCTGAACTTAGGCATTCTCTCACCTAAGTAACTTCTGATTTATTAAGAGCCATAAATAATAGTGCCCTACTTATAAGGTATACCATTTTTAAGGTGTATCATTTTGAAATCCTTTCCTTTACCTTTTCTAGGTTTAGACATGTTTATAAACAAATATTTGACTCTATGACACACTCTCTGCAGAACTAAGTACAGAGATATGCTGCACAGGGTTTAGCTGAGAGCAGCTTCCCTGTTTATAGGGTTTGCAGTACACCAATGATATTCACATCACCACTAAACTGTCATGTTTCCTTATGGAACATCTCAGAATAGATGCATGACATCCCAACTGTGTACTAGGAAGATGCTGTACACTGGAGGGGAGAGCCGACAATGACCTGTGCTATCAGGGACTCTGTTCCACTAAAAAGAAAAAGCAAGAAATGCCAAATGTGGTGGCCCAGTCCCATAGTCTCAGCTCTTGGGAGGCTGAGGCAGGGTGACTGCTGGGTACACAAGTTACAGGCCAGCCTTGTTAGCATAGCAAGTTGCCAACTCCACAGCAGAGGCGGCGGGAGAGAGGAAAGCGAGCATGGAGATGATGATATGTCATTCATTTAGCTGCCTGTTGCTCATGTGTAGGGAACTTGTGTGCCTGTTTTCAGTTATTGACTTCAAGTCAATGTTAAAGTTAGTTTACAGATTAGCTCCAGAAAACTTTCTCAAAGAAAATTACATTTTAGCATCGATGTTCTCATCTGGGCCCAGAAACAAACTTTTCAAAAGAGTGGACACGTCATCAACCCAGTCCATGCAGGCATTGGTGAGGTGACCACCCCTAGTGTGTAGCGGTCACTTCTCTTTCATGTTCTCACTCTGGCTTTCACACAAAAACCTCTTTCTATAAGTACTGCTAACACTAAGCGTAGAAAAACAAAGACGGCATAGTTTTCACTTCAATCGCTCCTTTCCGGCTCTCATTATGAGCTCTGGAGATGGATAGAGCCAGGCCCTGGATAGCTCAGACAATGCAAGAAAATATCCACTGCTCAGAGACAGCTGCAGTGTCCCAGAACGCCATTTCTGGCTGGAAGGTACACACAGCTGCAGGGGAAACCTAACCAGATCCCAGAAGATGTGTTTTCCTGGAGTACCTGATAGGTCAGCTCTTTGATGCCTCGCTCCAGTCTGCGAGCTTCCCGCTGGGCCTCTGCACTGCGCCTGACTTCGCCTTCCAGTTCCCCTTCCAGGTCCCGTACCTATAACAAGCCATGCTGGTAACATACATTCTGGTAACAAGGCTGCCATACAGTTACCCAATGGAGAATTTACTGAAGGAGTGAAATAGTCAAGGGAAGATATGCCCACTTTTTATCTGATAGTGATTAAATAGGACAATCTTTCTGGAAAAGAACCATCAACCAAACTGGGGCTGTTAACCTATGTGAACTCATAAAGAATGGTTAAAATTCTTGGCAATGTGAGAGACTATTTTAAAGAGAGAATGTGAGCCTCTCGTCTTTGACTGCAACATTGCAAAATTGTATGTGTGTTTGCATGTGTGTGTGTGTACTCACGCATGCGTCCATGTGTGCTGTGTGTGTGTATCTGTTCTCTGTGTGTGCTCTCTCTGTGTGTATGCGTGTCTGCGTGTGTGTGTCTACATGGTATTTGTGTTTGTGTGTCTGTGTGTGTGCCTGTATGCTTCTGTGTCTGTGTGTGTGCTCTGGGTGTGTGCTCTGTGTGTGTTGTATGTGCTCTGTGTGTTTGTATATGTCTGTGTGCATGTGTGTGTAGCACAGCTGTCTGTCACACAGCAGTGCTGAAGATCCTGTCCCACATACCCTGATCTCAAGCTCTTTTCTCCATGTTCCCCTCAGACTCTGGATCGTACCCTGAGTCTTTGTTATGTACATGTCACATGCAGACCTAAAGCCCTGTTTTGTAGGAGAAGTACAACAGGGAACTTCCTATGCATAGAGTCATGCAAGTAAAATGACCATAATAGTCGCTGAGAGGCATGCCTACTGTTCACTATATCCCAGTGCCAGAACAATGGAGAAAACACACCCACACCTCTCCCGTGAACAAGTGTACTTTCTCATGAGGGGAAGCAAACTAAAGCGAGTGAAATAGAGCATGTGGAAAGATTTCAACTACTATGGAGAGAAGTGGGCAAAAAGGGGCCACAGTCTTGGTTTGGGAGGCTGTAAGTGACTGCTTCCGCTGATGGGACATTCTCCCAGATATCCCTATGCAGCATTCCGTGCCTTCTTGACCAAAATGCCACCTCTCCATGACCGTTTTAAAACTGAGGGCTGGCACCCTGAGGCATGGGTGGGCTTCTTCAACCTAATCTCCCAGGCTGTCATCACCTCCTGCAGCTTCCTAAGCTAAACTTCTACCCTCTTTGTTCCTCCACAGGAAGGTGCAACAGGGCAGGTAGGTTAGCAGGTGTGCAGCTTCCTCATGGATGAACCATCACTACTTCCTCTCTGGGCATTCTGGACATGCATCCATGAGGGACTCGCACAGTTCCAAATGTAAGGACACAGACCGACAGAACTCTATTTTTAAAAGGATGTGTTTAAGGTGTTCTGTTTTTAGATGTAATTAGAGCACCTCACAGTAAAAGGTGCCTGACCGAAGGGAATCCCAGTTGCCATGTATTTCACTTGGTCTGACCTTGCAATGTAGTTCTAAAGAGTAATGATTATTCTGTGGGCATGTCCTTCCCAAAGTCCATGTGTCTGAAACTTAAACTCCCAATTTTCATGTGTATTTGGATGGAAAGCCTTTTGAAGGTAACTAAGATTAGATATGGTCACAAAGGTCAGACACCACTTCCACCCCCCAGCATGATTAATGACTTTAGTAAGAGTCCTGTTTGCTGTGTCTTGCCATTTGCCATGTGATGCCCACTTCCATGTGACATTGTAGCAAGAAGGCCAAGGTTAGAAGCTTGATGTTATTGGACACTAAGCATATAAGCCAAATAAAATTTTATTCTTTATAGATTATCTCAGAGACTATGTTATAGTACAAAAAGTTGTTAAAAACAATGATATGCTAATTATACTTTTAAGCCTTAAATTTCTCAGTATCATCTGGTATCAGCTCACTGTTAATTATGAGTATGATGGTTTGAATGATAATGATCCCCATAGGCTCATAAGGAGTGGCACTATTAGGGAGCGTGGCTTTGTTGGAGGAAATATGTCACTGGGATCAGATTTTGAGATTTCAAATGCTCAAACCAGGAGCAGTGTCACTCTCTCTTCCTGTTGCCTGCCAATCTAGATGGAAAACTATTTACTCCAGCACCATGTCTGCTCACTGCCATGCTTCCCACCATGACAATAATGGACTAAACCTCTGAAGTTGTGAGCCAGCCCCAGTGAAATGGTTTCCTTTGTAAGAGTTGCCCTGGTGGTCATGGCATCTCTTCACAGCAATAAAGCCCTAAGACAATGAGATAAGATAAATATCCTGCACTATTAAATGGGTGATAGAAATACCATTATAATTTTTTACTGTTTTAAGGAATAACACATTTAAGTGCCTTTCCTCTTAGAGTAAACTCTTGGTTCCTACCTAAGTTATTGAATAAATATCATATTCATCTTATTGCTATTTGAAGTCGTTATTTTGTTTCTTCCAGGATGCAGATCCTGAGAAGTTACTCATGCTCCAAAGCATGGCCCACACTCGTGCACATTTAAGCAGCACTAAATGGATTCAGTGAGCATTTAAAAGAAGAAGGGAGAATACCCATACGAAGTTGGAAAGAGAAAATGGTGGGCAGATAGGGGAGTAATTGGAAAGAAGGAGATGGAGTGGATTTGATGAAAATACACTATTATATGCATGCGTGAATATTAAATGAAAAAAATATAAAGTTTTTATTTGGTGACAAAACATGCAGTTTGCTTTTTGCCTTGTTTTGGTTTTGTGAGTTTTGCTTGTTTGTTATTAAAACATATTCCACAGGAGTTGTATTAAAAGGCAATATGGTAAAGGTCATTGGGAATAATTCTTTGTATATGTTTTATGAATGATATATAGCTAGCTGTTTTTCCATTAGTATTAAGATTTTAAGGGTGGATGGGGTTTGTCTACTTGAATCAAACTTTGTTTTTCTTTGATTTGAAACATATAAAATGTTATATGATTTTTCCATCAAAACACCAAAAAGGGTACATTTCAAAGGTCTAACTTCCATCTCTTTGTTTTCTTCCTTGGACTAATAATTTTTTTACTAGTCTTTCTCCTCCTACTATTTTTTGAAAAATTAATCTTTCATGAGCAGAAGATTATAAATAGTTCATAACAGTTTAACTTGCATTATCTTTATATTATTACTCATGATCTCCAGAACATATTTATGAGACCTTCCTCATTTCTTTTTAATCCACACAGCTGTTTGGGTAGATCATGTGTCTGGATTAATATTTCACTGCATGGATGTGTGGAAATGAGCAAAAGAGTGCACACCGCTTTTCAGAGGCCCCTGAGAACCAGTAAGTCCCAGCAGAATGTTCTTCCGACTTTTGTGAAGTTTACTATATGCATATACATATGCACATACATATACATATATACCATATGCATATACATAGTCATTGAAATTGATTCAGGAAGTTTTAAAAGCCCATTTTAGTAAATGCTGTTAAGTTCCCGGAAGGTAGATTCCACATCATTTGTGCCAGACTTTGTTGTTTCTGCACTGCGTCTTCCTGGATCATGGATGTGTTTCATGTCTCCTTTCTTTTGCTATGAAACAGACATTCTCTTTAAAGAAAATGACAGGAACACTGGCACAGAAACAAGACTGCAAGGATGTGTTTGGATAGAGTGGGCTGCCCTGCCCTGTCTGCACAGAGCCTAGAACTGGTGTGGTGAGTGGGAGAAGATGCTTTCTCATCCATCAGTAAGAGGGAAGACAACTTCCATCCAGACCCAGAAAAGTCCTATTGGCTCGCCCAAGGCCAAACAATAATGTATTCAGAGCAGACACTCTCAGAATCTGCAAGTGCCATTAAACAAAGTGATGAGGTGTGATGTTCCAGGACATTAAGGCCTTGAATGGAGATTGTTAGGCCCCCACGATTACTCAAGCAAACTCCTACCCTGGATTCCAATTTCTGGATTGCCTTTTTGCTCCCCAGCACAGCTGTCTGTTCCACTTCATCCAGTCTTTTTTGCATGTCTTTAATTGTCTGCTCCATATTCTTCCTCATCTTCTCCAAGTGAGCATTAGTGTCTTGTTCTTTCTTGAGTTCTGCTGACGTGTTGGCTGCCTAAGAAAGAGGCAAGGGGGACTGATGAGATGGCTCAGTAGTTAGGGAACTCGCTGCTCTTGATCTAACCCAGGCACTGTTCCTGGAAGTCATGCTGGAGCTCCAGCTTCAGTACATTCAGTGCCTTCTTCTGACTTCTGTGAGCACCAGACACTCATGTGCTTCACACGCGTGTAGGCAAAGAATCGTATGCATAGAGTAAAGATTTGCAAATCCTTTCAAAAGAAGAAGAAAGGTGGAAGGAAAGTGGCTTAGATAATCCTATAGGTAGGTGATCATATTCCAGTGAGCTTTAGCTTTTAATCTCATGGGGGAAGGGGACATATGCTTGGCCTCTGCACATTTAATCTCTTTCCACCCAGCTCTCTCTAATCCCTGATTCCCTAGGGTTTTGATCAAATCTGCCAGTAGACATTGAAGCAGCCACGTGAGAGAATGGGGTAAGAATTGTTAGGGAAAGTTCTAAAAGGACATGTCATGTATATAAGATAGAACACATCTTGAAAGCAAGATGACTAAGTAAAGCAATGGCTTTTAACTGAATAAAGTATGAGAAAATATCTGTAACTAAGTAGTTAACTGCTGTCATATAAGGTACCAGCAAAAATGCAATAAAATACCTATGAAAATATGTATCTTCTGATTTATTGCTGTAAACACTTTCAAGTTCAAGGAATTTGATAACATCAGACATTCTCTGTACAAATAATCTGACACAAAGAAGGTTAGCTGTGAATCCTGCTTTGGGCTTTAGCTATATGTACAATGGCTTGGCTTCTCAATACGATTCAAACTCTTTCTTCTTTTTGTGTGCTTAATTCAAGAATAAATCTTTCTGTCTATCTGGTTACCACTGCATATCGTTTCAGTATGGTAATGTATGGAGCTAAGATCTTTAAGGATTGGCACCGAATGGGAGGGTTAGAGAAACTGGGAATGTCTCAGCAGGAATTGTTGGATATCAGGCTCTCTGACTTTCTGATGCCAGTGTAGTTTCTTCCCACTTGTGTTCTGTCCAAGTGCAGTGACATTCACCGTGAAGCCCTCACCATTGCGTGATTAGGACCATGCCTTTGAAATTCACAGGACCACAAGCTAAACCAACCTTTATTCTTTATAAAGTTATCTAATTTCAGAAGTTTTCTATAATAACAAAAAATTCATGACTAAAATAGGGAATTAACATGTGTATTAGCTACTTTCTTGTGCTGTGAATATTTGGCGGAAACAGTTGTTAAGGGATAATAGATGTATCATGGCTCATGGCTCAGAGGAAACAGGGCCACATAGTGGGAAGACATGGTGACAGGAACAGCTTGCAGCTGTGACATCGTTAGACTGGTGGCAAACCTATTCTGGTCAAGAAAATAGACTCTCTGGCCTGGGTGGAGGCGTCAGTCACTTGTCCAAGGGAAGATCCCTTGGAGTGGGCGGTTACCTTAAACTATGATGAAGAGATGGGAAGGATAATTTCCCTTTAATGAGATACTATGCTTTTTCTTCTCAGACTCCCTGCTCCAAGGCAGTAGCTGACCACACCATAGACATGTAACTTCATACATCTGCTCATTTTTCTGAATTACCCAGAAAAGCATCATTTCCTGTTTTTTTTCTTTTTATATTTTTCCTAAACGTGCTTTCCTTAAAATTTTGAGTTTCCCCCAAATGTAGGGCATTCTTATTCTTTCTCTAATGCCTTCCCCACTGTTATGTGGCTACTTGTCTGTCTTGTGTCTGACCTCCATGCCAGCTTAAATGGCATGTTTTTTTTTTTCCAACTACCCTCAATTCTTCTCCTCTAGATGACAGAGTTTATAGCTAGCCTGCCCTGTGGGTTTTCTTTCAAACTCTAATAAAATTGTGCTTGAGCATCATGTGAATCTATTTTAAACTCATTTAAATTAATGAGACTAAGAACCTCCAAAGTGGAAAAAGAGATAGATGCCCACTGTGACAGCTGCAGCAACTTGAGAGGCTGGTTACATCACTTCAGCAGTCAGGAAGCAAGAAGATTGCCCAGGATGTTCATCTTCCAATGACCTCTTACTCCAACTAGACCGCATTAGCTAAAGTCTTCCAGCATCCCAAAACATGCTGCGCTCCTGGGCAGACACACGCCATGAAGCAAGCCACCAGGTTAGACATGCTGAACCTTTCCTGGTAAGACCGGTGCTCACCGATTATTAGAGATGGGTTGATCGGAATAACAGAATTAGCCAGTAAGGGCTAGGGCTAAAGGGCCAAGCAGTAATTAAATGAATACAGTTTGTGTGTTGTTATTTTGGACATAAGCCAGCTGAGCGGGCAGCCGGGGTGCTGGGGACACAGTGCCGCGCCCCTATTACCACAAAGTGGGATCCTTAAATCACTGTTTATGTAAAATCTAGTTGAAAGTCTTGTCTCCTCAGTTCTCACAACTTTTGTTTTGGTTTGGTTTGGTTTTTCAACACAGGGTTTCTCTGTGTAACTTTGGTGCGTGTTCTGGAACTAGCTCTTATAGAACAGGCTGGCCTCAAACTCACAGAGATCGGCCTGTTTCTGCCTCTGCCTCCTGACTGTTGGGATTAAAGGCATACCTCACCACCACCTGGCTTCTTACAACTTCTTAAGAGGAGAAACTTCCTTTCCTAAAGCAGGGATGTGGTGCTGCATGTAACCACACTTTTGGTAGACTCCCAAAAAGCCCTGAAAGGGTAAGTGGAGGCTGAAATCATGCTCAGGTCCATGAAATTTCCAGTCCTGGGCCCTAAACACACAAACAGCACTTCCTCTCTATTAATAACTCTTTCTTTCTTTTGATTTTTCGAGACAGGGTTTCTCCGTAGCTTTTTTGGTTCCTGTCCTGGAACTAGCTGTTATAGACCAGGCTGGCCTCGAACTCACAGAGATCCGCCTGCCTCTGCCTCCTGAGTGCTGGGATTAAAGGCGTGCGCCACCACTGCCCGGCTAATAACTCTTTCTTAATAGCACTGTTCACTTGCTATCTTTTTGATGGAAGCATAACACCTGCCCATAGTGGGTGCATGACATTGGCAACTTGTTGAGATCAGTGACTAACCCTGAATTTAGTGCCATCTAGGAAAATACCATCAACAACTATTTTACTTTACAAATGAATAAGGTTCACAGCCACAAACACTGCCTTTCTCATCCGGTTTTGCTACCCCAGTAGTAGTACAGATTGGTTTAACCATCCTTCTCACCATCGTGAAACCATTGCATACCCAAGAAAAATGAAAATCTGTAAGGAAGTACTGGGAGAATTCTTTCTAGACACCAGATATATTGACTCACAGCTGAAAAATAGCTAATATAGAGAGAAAGACACTTGTTTTCACAGGATTTTACTTTTAGTCATTCGTTCACTCCTTCTCATTGCCAATGTAGTTTAGAAGACAACAGCCAACTGGCTTAAGTGTTCTGCCTAAGGGGGAAGCCACAAGATCAGCTAACCTCTTCCTGACTGTATGGGGAATCAATGAACTCCACCTGGCTGCAGCAGGTCTCGTCTCTGATCTATAGATCTAGTGGCCTCTGGAGGACAGAAATGAGTAGTCAATGGGCCCACCTCAGCAGCTGCCATCCTGGCATTTTCTTCTGCCTTTTGACACCTCTGCAGCATCTCTTCAGCTTCCTTCTGCAGCTGAGCAACATCAGCCTCCAGTTTCTTCTTCTGGCTGAGGAGACCTGTGTTCTAAGGAAGGGCAGCATTCCAGTTAGACAACCTGAGACCAGCAATGCACAGGCAAGCAGCTCTGGGTGGGAGCAATTTATCATAGTCAATCATATGCAGTTAGGCAAGAATTCCAGCCCCAAGTGGTAGTTTGGGTGCAAAAGCCATAGCAGATGAAGGGGTTTCATTTAGAACAGTTATTCTCAACCTGTGGGTCTCAACCCCTTTGAGGACAAAGGACCCTTTCACAGCAGTCACCTAAGACCATCCTACATATCAGATATATACATCATAATTTTAACAATAGCAGCAATGGGAATCATCTACGGTTGGGGTCACCACAACACGAGGAACTGTATTCAAGGGCCGCAGCATTAGGAAGATTGAGAACCACTACCAGGAGAGAAGAGATGGAATCCTGAATCAGAAGGGGTGACTCCAAATAATCCAAAGGCCAAATAGGGGTTTAGTTCTTAGCTTATCAAGGAATGCTTTTTCAGTGTGATAGAAAGAAGTATCCTGGAGCAGAAATTAGAGTTGCCTGCAGCCACCTGGAGGATTTCAGCATGCTCCTGCAGGAACATCAATTCCCCTCTTGCCTACCTGCCTTCCTTCCTCACTCTGCAGAGAGGAGGAAGTGAGAAAGCAGATGACAGAAAGTTCAGCCCCTAGGACGCCTTTGTGCTCTGCGGCCATGCTGCCCCAGTTCCTTCCCGATTGTCACACTGGAGGCCAAGGCCCTCTTTGCTGCGTCTGCCCTGTGTTTGAAGTACGGCTTTTGTGAGCATGTGAAACCTTAGCATAAAGAGCAGGTGTATAAAGCATGGGCTTCCCACTTTTCATTTCTCCTTTCATTTCATCCTTTCACATCATCCTGTCACTGTCCGCTAGTTATTGCCTTTCTCGAGGCAGACGAAGCCTTGGACAGAGAAAGAAGGTATCCCAGGCTCACAGCATCATCACAAACACCTCTCTCCATTCTGTGGAGGGGCAGGCCTGGGCTCTGCAGGATTTCCAGTGCCTTCAGTGTGGCCTGGGGGAATTAAGTCTATTTTCCTGAAGTGTCTTATGGGTGTTCACTACACATAACTCCATAGGCGTTCTCTCAGTGTAAAGTATGGCACAAGTCTAAACACCAATTTGATTGTGTAGCAATCACTTCAGCTTTTCCAGGGAGATGACCATGAACACTCCTGCAGGCTAATGCCTTCCCGTCTCCCTGCTCCCATTCTCAGAAGGACAAGAGGTAAGGTATCATGTGCAGAGGATCATTTGTGTAAGTTATACTCTGATGTCTAAGAGGAGCCCATGTCTCCTGGATGAATGCTGGACACAGCGTCTTGGGTCTAGGGGAAGCACCTGAGAGTTTGTGGAGCCTCCAGCTGCTTCAGAGATGAGGATCTCATAGGTCAGTGTGAGATCCGAGGACTGAAACTCTCATGTTAAAGTTTCAGAAACTGCCCTACAGACCAAGGTTTCATTACTGGAGTGTCGTAGTTTGCTTCCCTGCTGCTGTGACACAACACTAACCAGAGCCAACTTGGGGAGGGAAGGTTTTATTTCAGCTTATACTATCAATCATTGAAAAAAGTCCAGGCAATCTAGAGGCAGGAACGGGCGCAGAGGCAATGCATGAGTGCTGTTTATAGGATAGGCTTGTTCAGTCTGCTTTCTTATTCAACCAGTACCATCTTCCCAGACCCACAGTGGGATGTGCCCTATTTTATTAGTTGTTAATCAAGAAAGTGCTCCCACACACTTGCCTATGGGCCAGTCTAATGGAGGCAATTTCTTTTTTAGTGATATATATTCTTTCTCTACTTCCCTCCCTTCCTCCCCACTTCTTCTACCTTCTCCCATGATTCCTAGATTCCCAATTTACTCAGGATATCTTGTCTTTTTCTACTTCCCATGTAGATTAGATCAACATATGTCTCTCTTAGGGTCCTTTCTTGTTGTCTAGTTTCCCTAGGCTGGTTTTCTTTGCTTTATGTTTTAAAACCACTTATGAGTGAGTACATATTATATTTGCCCTTCTGGGTCTGGGTTACCTCACTCAATATAATGTTTTCTAGATCCATCCATTTGCCTACAAATTTCAAGATGTCATTATTTTTTACCACTGAGTAGTACTCCATTGTATAAATGTACCACATTTTCTTTATCCATTATTCAGATGAGGGACATTTAGGTTGTTTCTAGGTTCTGGCTATTACAAACATTGCTGCTATGAGCATAGTTGAGTCCTTGTGGTATGATTGAGCACCCTTTGGGTATATATCCAAAAGTGGTATTGCTGAGTCTTGAGGTTGTTTCCTAATTTTCTGAGAAAATGCCATACTGATTTTCAAAAGTGACTGTACCAGTTTGTACTCCCATCAGCAATGCAGGAGTGTTCCCTTTACCCCACATCCTCTCCAGCATAAGTTGCATAAGTTGTCATCACTGATTTTTGTCTTGGCCACTCTGACACATGTAAGATGGAATCTCAGAGTTGTTTTGATTTGCATTTCTCTTATGGGTAAGAATGTTGAACATTTTCTCAAGTGTCTTTCAGCCATTTTAGATTCATCTGTTGAGAGTTCTCTGTTTAGGTCTGTACCCCATTTTTTTATTGAATGAAAAAGCAATACTCAAATTAATATAGAAAAGCAAAAAACTCAGGACAGCCAAAACAATTCTGTACAATAAATGAACTTCTAGAGGTATCATTATCCCTAACTTCAAACTCTATTACAGAGCTATAGTACTGAAAACAGCCTGGTTCTGGCATAAGAACAGACAAGAGGACCAATGGAATTGAATCAAAGACCCGATATTAATCCATGCAACTAGGAACTCCTGATTTTTGATAAAGAAGCAAAAAATGTAAAATGAAAAAAAGAAAGTATATTCAACAAATGGTGCTGGCATAACTGGATATCAACATGTAGAAGAATCAAAATAGATCCATATCTATCACCATGCACAAAACTCAAGTCCAAATGCATCAAAGACCTCAACATAAAGCCAATCACACTGAACCTCATAGAAAAGAAAGTGTGAAGTACACTTGAATGCATTGGCACACAGGAGACCACTTCCTAAATATAACCCAAGTAGCACAGACACTAATAGCAACAATTAATAAATGGGACCTCCTGAAACTGAAAAGCTTCTATAAAGCAACGGACATGGTCAACAAGAAAAAATGGCAACCTACAGAATGGGAAAAGATCTTCACCATTCCCACATCAGACAAAGGGCTGATCTCCAAAATATATAAAGAACTCAAGAAACTAAAGAAGAAATAATGCAATAAAAAAATGGGTACAGACCTAAACAGAGAACTCTCAACATTCGAATCTAAAATGGCTGCAGGCAATTTCTTAACTGAGATTTCCTCTATCCAGGTGACTTTAGTTTGAGTCATATTGACAAAAGTTAAGCAGCTCTCCCTCTCTCTCTCTCTCTCTCTCTCTCTCTCTCTCTCTCTCTCTCTTCCTCCTATTACTCCCTCCCTCTCTCCTACCCTCCCTCTCTCCCTCTCTTCCTCCTTTCACCCCACTCTTTTCCCACCTCCCACTTCACATTGGGACACAGTACATTCTCAGTTATGACATGTATAACAAGTGACTTGTCACCAGTAGTTGGTAGATAATAGGTAATATGTTTGAAAATTAATGATTCAGTATGCCACATTTTCTTAAGATAAATCTTAATGAAAAAAGAACATGTTATGAATTTTGTTTCTCTTTTCTTCATTGCAGTTGGATTGAACTCAAGGCTTCATACATGCAAGACATGTATGTGCTCTCCCACTAATCAATACGCACAAACAAAGTTAAGTGTTGAAATGAGTTAACCTGTTAAGAATTATGCACACCCTACAGCATATTTGTTCCTGATCCATGGCACTCAGAGAGATGATGTCATTGCATGAACTTACTGTAGACACAGAGTAATTGTAACACCTTGTGGTAGGTATAGCTATGACTTATTTATTTACCACTGAGGAGGGCACTCTTGACATTCTGAGAATAGCAATTCTTTTGTGACATGAAATCATATGGTACATCAAAGGAGGTCTCTGGACCCTGATTACAAAATGCCAGTGGCATCTCCCAGTCACTGTGGCAACTAAAATGGCCCCAAAATTTCCAACACTCCCAAGAGTGACAGTCTGTCCTACTCAACAGTCACTGAAGCAAACTTTCCAAAGAGTGCATCTGCTAATTCACCCCCAGCTGCTCACAGTTCTTCAGCAGCTTCCATTATCTGCCAATCAAAGTCTTAGACTCAAGGTTCTAGAATCTTGAGCCTATCTGTTCCCTGACATTATTTCTCCTCATCTCTTCTAGCTGTACTGTCTTCTACTATGTGAATTTACCTGAAATTCTAAATTCTTCATCTTCATCCACTTCCTTCATTTTTCTTTCTGCCACCTTGTCCCATTTCTTGCATGTCTTTCATGACTAGGAAGAAAACTATTATGTCCCCGCCTGACCTCATGAGGATTATTTGGGCATTCTGGAGAGCATTATGTCCTCTGTGGTACTCTGAATAGTACTGTGTTGTTTACTTGTGTCTTCACTGTTTGGGGACAGTGAGGAGATTATTTGTCATACTGGGTATACTTATCTAAATTATACTATGTGCCCTAAAAATGCTCAGTGCTGGACACACTGCTGTAGGCATTTGTCTCTGTCACTGTGGCTTCTTCTGCCTTCAGGAAAATGATCTAAAAATCCTGCTAACCCCCACTTATATGGCCTTACGGGAGAATCCAGGAGAGTGAGAGAAGCCAATCAGGATGCGAGAGATTCCCGGGATGCTGGGAATCAAGTCACTGAGAGAGAACAAGGGAACAAGACAACAAGCAAAAAATTTTAGATCAGTCTGAAATGTTTATCGCTCCTCTCCTATCGTGGCTGAGAATGCCCTGACGGTCCATTCTTCAAGCAGAAACCTCGGTGTTCCAGCTGCACTATACTCCCCTCCATGCCCGCAGAAGCACATATTGAGCCCCTAAGCCCTAGTTCTGCATGATACAACCTTATTTGGAAATAAAGCTTTAAATAAGTTAAACAAGTTAATATTGAGTCGTTAAGGTGAGCCATAATTTCCACGTAATACATCCTTATAAAAAGGAGAAAGCTGGACAGAGACACACTCATAGGATAAAAAGACAAAAGAAGATGCATGTGAGAGCAGGGAATGGAAACAGGGCGTCGACAGGAAAAGTGCCAGGAAACCATCAGAAGCCAAGAGAAGCTGGGCCTTTTGTGAGTGTCAGTGAGAGCATGGTTCTTGCAATATCTTAACCTGGATGACTAGCACCCAGGACTGTGAAAGTTGTCTAAAGACATCATTTGGTGGTGCTTGGTTACAACTGCTCTGGGAACCTAATGTTTGTAAGGAAAGATGTGACGGGCTTAGGTGCATATTTTTCTGTGCATCTTGTACCACACCAAAAACTTGACATGACCACCATACAAATCCTTAGCTGACTCAGTAATGGGAACGCCTTCCTCCAGCCAACTGACCCAGCAGATAGAGAGAATGAACATGTCCTACCTGGGTATAAAAAAGACTGATTTTTTCTGTGGCTTCCAGGAGCTCTTTTTCTGCCAGCTTGTATCCTCGCTCTGTGTGTTCTTGCAAGGACCTCAGTTCTTCTAGTTCGGACTGAAGAAGAGTGTTGCGCTGCTCAGCCAGAGACACCTGTTCCTTCAGGTCCTTGTTCTGGTACATGCTGTCATCCAGTTGTTGTTGGAGCTCCTGCAAAAGAAAAAAACAAACAAACATGGGCCTGGGGCATGGGTCTCTCTGAGTTTAACTGTTAGCAGGGGAAGCAGGGAGCAACTCCATACAGAGACAAGTTTCTAAGTTCTTGATCTCATAGATAAAAGGCTTTGCAATCACACCCCAAGAGGTACCTCCAGGACAGTTTACTGAAGTCAAAGAGAGGAAGTGTCTTGAGCAACAGGGCAGGAAGTTGTTGATCTTGGCAGGTGCCAGGAGGTAGAGGACAGAGAGGAAGCCAGAAAGTTAAACTTTCTGCTTTAGAAATGAGACAGCAGCAGGAGCAGCAATTGCCCAAAGGGCTAAGCAGTGATGGGACTAAGGAGTCAGTTATTTCTCCTCTTTCCTTACCTTGTTCTTAGTTTCTGTCATATTTCTTCCAGCCTGTTGGCTAAGGCTGGACTTGAGGTTATAAAACACAATTTTCTTCAGAGCAGAAGAAATTTACTTCCAAGGACAAGAAAATCCCTACTGTTGGCTTCAAGTAATGGTGCCCACACTACCATTTTGCACCAAGAGGAGGCTATGAATGGAACTGATCAAAACATGCCTCCAATAATGTCTTAGAAGCAGATGGCTGCCCCAGACTCTTGTCTATTCCTTCTTCCTGCCTAATAACCCATCACAAAATGAGTTATGTCCCTGAGCATGCATGATTCTGACAGAGCGTCACCCGTTTTTAAGATAAACATCTTCCAGCCTTCTTGAAGAGTGAGATTTGTGGTTTTCTTCTTTACTGCCCAACAGACATTGTTTATGTTATGTTATATTATATTATGTTATGGTTTGAGAGTACCTTCATTTGACCCTGAAGCTGGCCCAAGGCTCTAGTTGTCTGTGACACCTGCCGGTTGGCAGCACAGAGCTGAATCTCCATCTCCTTAAGGTCGCCTTCCATCTTCTTCCTCATTTGGGTGGCCTCAATTCTACCCAAAGCTTCAGAGTCCAGACCTGACTGCAGGGAAGTCAAGGCCTGCTGATGCTTCTCCCTGATTTCAGAGTAACATTTGGGAAGAACATGATACACTCAAATTAAAAATTGCTACCTCTTATTTTCTTTCTATTTATATATTTTTTCCATAAAAAAATTTATACTTCCTCCCCTCCTCCCATTTCCCTCCTGCTCCCCCACTAGCTACCTCTTATTTTCAAGTTATGGAAAACATATTAAAATAAAAATATTTTCAGATATTAACAAAATCAGTCTAAAGAGTGTCCATTTTATAAACAGAGGAAGCTAGGCCTTGAATTAACGAGTCTTTTGTCATTATAACAGTCTAAGAAAGGCTTTTCATATAACTATAAATTCATCATAGAACCATAAAGACACATGAACTATGTCAAGCTCCTGCGTTAGCTTTGCCTAAGACTCATTAAAGGATTGTTCTGTAGTTTCATGTCAACATCACACAGCTAGAGTCATTTTGGAAGTGAAAATCTCAGTTGAGAAAATGCCCCCACCAAATTGGCCTGTGGGTAAAAGTGTAAGACATTATTATTATATTGATTGACAGAAGAGGGCGTAACTTACTGTTGGTGGTGCCATGCCTGGACTGGGGGTTCTGGGTGGTATAAAGGAGCAGGTTGAGCAAGCCATGAGAAGAACGTCCATAAGTAGTGTTCCTCCATGACTTCGACTCCAATCCGTGCTCCCAGTCCCTGTCTTGAGTTCTTGCTGAGGCTTCCCTCAGTGATGAAGCTTACAAGTTGTAAGGTGAAATGAATCCTTTCTCCCCAAGATTCTTTTGGTCATGGTATTCTAGCACATCCTAACCAAGACAAGGATGATAAACTCTAAATTTCCTAGAGTGTCTATAGATGAAGAATTAATGTTCTTTTAGACAATCATTGTTGAAAAAAAACAAGTCTGAATACAGTAGGAAAGAGCTACTGAGATCCAGCCATACTGCTCTAATGGTCTGCAGTCTTCAATAATAACATGGGTTTGATTTTTGTTTTGTTTGTTGTGTATGTGTATGTGTTGCCTTCTCTCTCTAGGAGTTTGAAGGACAATGACTAGTTGAGAAAACTCAATACTATATAGTATGTAAATACTTTAATATTCTCTTATAAGAACAAAAGCTCTGAGCAAAACCTTAATTATAAAGTGCCACCAACTTGGTTAATATCCTAGTATTCAAGAAATGCAAAGAAGAACTTGAGAAAATCATGGGAATTTTTACTTGGCAATACTTGAAAATACTTGGGCACCATGGGACTAACTACGAATTTGTTAGTTGGGACTGCAGTGCAATGGGCCATTAATAGCCTCTCCCATGTGATAAGGAATCAGACAGATTGTGTGAATCTCCAACCTCTTTTCCTTGCTTGTCCTATCAAAATGTAGGAAAACTTTGGTTTCTGGAACAACTTTGAGTAGTGACTTATTTTCCATTCTATCCGAGTTCAGACTCTGATTTCAGAGAAAAAAAAAGCAAAACAAAATTTCTCCTCTTTTAGCTCCTCAGTATTTGATGACTGTTCATCAAGAAACTTTAACTGATATCAAAAACACAAGTCCTCTTAAACTCACTGCAACAGAGCCTTAGTCCTAGGCAGATAAGTAGAAGAAAGAATTCTTTTTTTTCTTTTTTATCCTTATAGAAGCTATACAACAAACATCAAAAGTGTACTTGTCATGGGTCAGAATTAGATTCCACACTGAATTGCCATAGAGTGTGTCCTGACCTCTCACACTGATTAGAGGTGCACCCCTAACCGTTAGTAGGATTGTGGCTGGAGTTTGCTATTGGTTCACAGGTAGGGGCCTCCACTTTTTATGACCACATTTTATTATGGGTAGAAGGGCCGCAAAAGAAGGTCTAGAAAAATATGGAAAGTATCTTTTTTTATTTTATGGTAACTATTACTTTACACTTACTACTAACCTAGCATTAAAACTGGTCTTCTGTATTACATTTAGTGCCTATCCCCAGGCACTGTGCATTTGTCTCCCAGATTAGAATCCTATAAGCTTTCAGGCATATAAAGATAATGAGAATGTTATAAATCAAATTATGCTGCCTCCAAATGCTGAAGCCTTAGGCTCCAAAAAAACAGTATTGTGCTTTCATGAAGATGGAACTTTAAAGACCTGTACATGCAAACGTCTCTAAAGAAGCAAGGAAGATAAAAATGAAGATCTTGGAGAAGGGCCTTAATCTAATAACAGAGCTTTCCGAAGAAGAAGACAGCAGAAATAGATCCTCACAATAGAAAACTCACATAGAAATTGAGAGAGGGAGCAGCCATCTGACTTCAAGATGAAAACAGAGGCCTTAGGAAAACCTGCTGCCCACACGATAATCTCAGATCTACAGTGCCCAGGCTCTAAAAATGTGAATTTGTATTGTCTAAACCATCCAGCCTATGGGGTTTATTTATTTTTTTTGTTTGAGAGCATCCCTTGCAAACTAGTAAGGGAACTGGCACACTCTGCAGCACCTACATTCTGAAAAGACTGCCTTGATTTCCAGTGAGGGAACTTGCTGGTTTTCCTCAGGTAGCTCTCTCTACTAGGAACACTGGAGTCTTCGTGGCCTGCCACCAATTGTCCATCTACAAATACATTCTGTTTCAGCAAACTGAATGTCTCGAATGCTAGCTTTTCTATAGCTATCTGAGATACTTCATAAATGTTAAGTAAAGACGATGATAATGCCCTAAGTGATGACTGCAACACCATTCATATGGAATCAAGAATCTTTAAAATCAAAGCTCCCTCAAGCACATCTTTTAAAGGAAAATGAAAGACTGAAGGCTGCCCAGATGGCCTAGTGGTTTGCCAGCATTTGTTTCTCTTGCAGAGCACCCAAGTTTGATTCCCAGAACCCAATATCAGGAAACATCCTCCAGCTCCAAACGATCCAGTACCCTCCTCTGGCAATAGTAATGTTAATAATAATAATAATAATAATAACAATGAGGAAGAAGAGGAGGAGAAGGTGATGGTGGTCATGAATATAAGAAGGAGTTTGGGGTAAATTGGAAGAATTGGAAAGAAGAGGGGGTAGATGTTATGTGAATCCAGCACTCATATGAAATTCTTGAAGAAATTTTTAATTAAAAATGAATAAAAAGTAGTATCTTTGAAGAAAACCAGTGCTTTTAATATCTTGGCTGTTGCTTCGGTGTTCAGAATATCATAGATTTCTTACAAGTTATCTATTCTGATAATGTTACCAAGCAAATGGAACTTTTTTTAAAAGTGAGTTATGTCAACTTTATATGGAAAAACAAGAAACCCAGGATAGCCAAAACAATCTTATACAATAAAGGATTGTCTGGAGGCATTACCATCCCTGACTTCAAACTCTATTACAAAGCTACAGTATTGAAAACAGCTTGGTATTGGCATGAAAACAGAGAAGTCGACCAATGGAATTGAATAGGAGACACTTGTAGTAGCAGGAGCAGCGGGGCTGCGTCCCCGGCACCCAGCCGCCCACATGGCTAGCTTTAGCTTATGCCCCGAAATAATTACACGGAAAATGTATTCTTTTAAACACCGCTTGGCCCATTTCTATCTAGCCTCTTCTAGGCTAGCTCTCGCACCTGGACTAGCCCATTTCTAAAAATCTGCTGTAGCCCACAAGCTGGCTTACCAGGAATGATCTTAACCTCCATCTGTCTGGAGTGGGAGAATCATGGCGACTCTCTGATTCAGCTTCTTTCTCCCAGCCTTCCGTTCTGTTTACTCCACCCACCTAGGGATGGGCCTATCAAATGGGCCTGGCAGTTTCTTTATTGCTTAACCAATGAAATCAACAGATTGATATATGACACTCCCCCATCAGACCCTGACTTTAACCCACAAACCTATGAACACCTGATTTTCCATAAAGGAGCTAAAAGTATACAATGGAAAAAAGAGAGCATCTTCAACAAATTGTGCTGGCAAAACTGGATGTCAATCTGTAGAAGAATGAAAATAGATCCACATCTATCACCATGCACAAAACTCAAGTTCAAATGGATAAAAGACATCAATATCAGTCCGAACACACTGAACCTGATAGAAGAGAAAATGGGAAGTACTCTACAACACATGGGCACAGGAGACCACTTCCTACGTATAACCCCAGCAGCACAGACATTAAGGGCCTCATTGAATAAATGGGACCTCCTGAGACTGAGAAGCTTCTGTAAAGCAAAGGACACTGTCACTAAGCCACTGACTGGGAGAAGATCTTCACCAACACCGCAACTGACAAAGGTCTGATCTCAAAAATATATAAAGAACTCAAGAAACTAGACCGTAAAAGGCTAATCAACCCAATTATAAAATGGGGCACTGAGCTGAACAGAGAATTCTCAACAGAAGAAGTTCATATGGCCAAAACACACTTAAGGTCATGCTCAACTTCCTTAGTGATCAGAAAAATGCAAATCAAGACAACTTTAAGATACCATCTTTCATCTGTCAGAATGGCTAAAATAAAAAACACCAATGATAGCCTTTGCTGGAGAGGTTGTGGAGAAAGGGGAACCCTCATCCATTGCTGGTGGGAATGCAAACTTGTGCAACCACTCTGGAAAGCAGTGTGGTGGTTTCTCAGGAAATTCGGGATCAACCTACCCCTGGACCCAGCAATACCACTCTTGGGAATATACCCAAGAGAGTCCTTATCATACAACAAAAGTATATGCTCTACTATGTTCATAGCAGCATTGCTTGTAATAGCCAGAACCTGGAAACAACCTAGATGTCCTTCAATGGAAGAATGGATGAAGAAAGTATGGAATATATACATATTAGAGTACTACTCAGCAGTAAAAAACAAGGACTTCTTGAATTTTGCATACAAATGGATGGAAATAGAAAACACTATCCTGAGTGAGGTAAGCCAGACCCAAAAAGAGGAGCATGGGATGTACTCACTCATATTTGGTTTCTAGCCATAAATAAAGGACATTGAGCCTATAATTAGAGAGCCTAGAGAAGCTAAATAAGAAGGAGAATCCAAAGAAAAACATATAGGCATCCTCCTGAATATTAACCTTCATCAGGCGATGAAAGGAGACAGAGTCAGAGACCCACATTGGAGCACCACACAGAAATCTCAAGGTCCAAATCAGGAGCACAAGGAGAGAGAGCATGAGCAAGGAACTCAGGACCGCGAGGGGTGCACCCACACACTGAGAGAATGGGGATGTTCTATGGGGAACTCACCAAGACCAGCCGGCCTGGGTCTGAAAAAGCCTGGGAAAAAAACCGGACTCGCTGAACATAGTGGACAATGAGGACTACTGAGAACCCAAGAACAATGGCAACGGGTTTTTGATCCTCCTGCACGTACTGGCTTTGTGGGAGCCTAAGCAGTTTGGATGCTCACCTTACTAGACCTGGATGGAGGTGGGTGGTCCTTGGACTTCCCACAGGGCAGGGAACCCTGATTGCTCTTTGAGCTGACGAGGGAGGGGGACTTAATTGGGGGAGGGGGAGGGAAATGGGAGGCGGTGGCGGGGAAGAGACAGAAATCTTTAATAAATAAATAAATTAAATTAAATTAAAATAAAAGTGAGTTATCTCTACCTTAAAAACTAGACAGAAATTATCTAAACCATCTCTGAGCATAGAAGTCCCAGCTACTCCAACAGTGCACAGAGAATCTGCCAACACTGAGAACTCACATGGTTAGGAGGTAAATATCTCTCATGCCAGCTGCTTGGACTTTTCCTCACCAATGGGGTCTCTCCTGGGCTCACTTGCCATTCCTCATCAGACTGACAGAATGCTCAGCGGAGGAGAATACATGGAGAGCATTCCACAAGTGCTAAGCTATAAAAGCTTGACCTCTGCTGCCCCTTGGCCCCTTCAACTTTCCAGGAACTGCACTAATTGACAACTTCAGTTTCTGTGGCAATGCACATAGTTTATATAAACACGTCTTCAACCTCATCCTGCCCTCAGGTGATATTTCTTTTTTGAGGTCTATAATTTACCTCATCACTTTTGATGGCTTAGACTTTCTCGCCCATATATATTTTTCCCTGAAATTGTACTCGATTTCCTCCTAGCCCTAGACTCAGATTGAACCATCAGATTAGAGCAAAGCATTTGCTACAATCTGCGCTCACACAAAGCAGGGAGGGTCTGGGACAGTGTGTGCGATGTTTGGTGAGATCCTCGTCTGTCCTTTCTGGATGCACCGATTACAGACACTGTGAGTCATCAGCTAGAGCTTCCACTGAGCTCGTGCGGGAACCTCAGCCGCCCGTTTCTTTTCCAGCCCATCGCAGCTCATGTTCCCTTCAGCTTTCTCCTCTTAACCTTAGCTGTTTGGATCTCTGACTTCCTTTGCACTGATGATTATAATTGGGGAACTGTTCTCCGACATTCAGATGTACCTGACACGACACAGACTCTCCGAGGGTTCATTTTCCTCATCACGTTTATTTATAGCTGAGGTTTGACGTTACCTGAGATCAAGCTTTTTTTTTTTTTAACTACAAAAGGAGATGCTCATTTTTATTCTTTGTGTACAGAAATAGTGCAAATATTATGGTTTTATATGTTTGCCCTTTATCAATGAATTATATTAGATGCTAGTAAGTACACCAGATTTCTTCACCGGAGCATGAAAATACTTGTGAATGAGGGCTGCGTTAACTCAGAGCACAGAAGGATAAGCTTGGCTTGGAATCCTCACTAAATATTGACCATCTGGAAGTTGGATAGAAAACAATCTATGGGAAAAAGCCTAGTTAAACAGAATGTGTTAACATGGCATTGGCTTGTTTTATTTGTTTAACAAAAACATTGAGAACAAGTTGCCAGTTGAACCTCAGTCTACTATATGATCTTCTTGGCAGACTTAGGGCTTTGGTTAAGGCCCAGTTCTCAACCTGTGAGTCAAGACCCCTTGGGGGATTGAACAACCCTTTCACAGGGGTCACCTAAGACATCAGAAAACACATATACTTACATTATGATTCATAACAGTAGCAAAATTAGTTTTGAAGTAGCAACAATAGTTTTATGGTTGGGGATCACTACACATGAGGAACTGTGTGGCAGCCTTGGAAAGGCTGAGAACCACTGGTTAAGGGAACAGCAAAGAGCCAGAGAGGTAACTTAGTCATCCCTACCTCTAAATGCCAGGATCAACTTCCTGATCACCCTCATTACCTTCTGTGGCCCATAGGTCTCCTTTGTCCCTTCCCTGAGAATCTAAGCAATTAAGTGTCTATAGTCACCAGCTTGTTACAAGGAAGTAAAGAAAAAGTCCAGAGACTGGAAATCCTGTTTCACACAGTGGCCCGGCAGGTCAGCCCCTACTGTTTCAACAGTCTTGTTCCTGGTCGTGCTTTCTTACAGGGGACAGGCAGGGGCTAAGGAATCCTTCTCTCTGATCTAACCTTAGCTTCTACATGACACCAAATGTTTTGTCCTTTCTTCCTGACTACCCCTGAATGGGACTCCGTAGAAGAAGCAGACTCACACACACACACACACACACCCAATGCAACCCTCCCCACGCTGAAGAGCAGAAAACCACAAGAGTATCATCTGTATAGGGAGTATTTGTGTGTAGAAGTGGTCTTCTATAACAGTGATGCACTTAATGGGGAATCGTAGAGTTGAAGCATCTTTGGCCATGTTCTGACAGGGCTCATGAAGGCAGCCCCACAGGGAGTCTGCTCATTCTGGGACTCTGACATTCATGGCTGTTGTTCAACAGCATAATCCTGAGTACCTCAACTTCTCTGTTTCTTCCTCTTTCTCCAACAACTTTCTTTCCAGCTCTGCCTTAGCTTCCGAGAGTTCAAGCTGGAAATGGAGGATCTTGCTTTCATTGCGTTCCAGGGCTCCCTATAACGAAAAGCACCCAATGAAGTTTCTTTTTGAACAAAAATTATATTTTCTTCACTCAATGCCTGTGTCATGAATGCAGTTTTTCTAGAGTTGCTGGCTGAGATCTAGGTTCAAGGCAGGACCCTGAAGCTAGACTAGGACAAGTGACTGCTTTTGTTCACATCTAGCTCTGAGATCCTTTGCTCCTTGAATAGTAGCCTAAGGCTAGACCGAGATACAGCTCAATCTTAGAGCTCTTGCCTGGCTTGGATGAAGGCCTGTGTTCAATTCTCATTACCAATAAAGAAAAAGTATATATGTAGCTCAATAACTAAAATTCTAAAGCATTTTTAAATAGAAAATCTCAATCTAGTCTATCACTGTATTTAATATTTAATTTCCAACTCATTCCATCTTTGGGGTGAGTCAATAAAATCAAGACTATATGGAAGGTGCTAACATTTATTGGAGTCTTTATTTTGGGCATTTAGGAAGTACTTAGCACGCAATACTCTCAAGGTGAGCCACTTGATTATCACTACTACAAAGTGGGGATTTAATGGGTAGGATATCTCCTGGGACTGGGTGTTCATATAATATTTCCAGGGATTCTCTTATAGGATAATTCAATTTTAAAAGTAGAAATTTGGTAAAGAGTAAATAAAATATTTAAAGCCTTTTCTAAGGAGAAAATATGTGTAAAAAATTCCAAACAAGCAAATGGCAAAATACTTGAAGAGTATGAATAATTTAACAGCATGCATGTGCCATACAAGTTGGCCAGCTAACTCTGGATAGTCCTGAGAGCTGGGATAACTCCTTATCTTCTCTGAGGAGAGTTTTTAATCTACCGAAAAGAGTAAAACCATGTAGGAAAACAACGAGAACAACAAAACTAAGTTGCCGTGGATTTTAAGAAGGCCTCCTTAGTTTTTGGCTCAATCCTGACAGGCATAAATCAAAAGCAAATGTTCAGATAGCAATCTCCTCAGGGAATGGTAGTTTCTTTGAGGAAAAACTCACCCTCTACAATATACTGAGAAAGGGAATCATTAGAGATGACCTGAAATCATTTCAGTCTTATGGATTCAGGGATCTTATTAAATTTTTCATAAAGCCATACCCCCAAAAAGGAATAACCCCAAGTTACAAACACGTGTGCAAAGTGATAAAGCATTTGTGAGGCTGAATTTGCAACTCAGTGTATGCTGCCATCTTGTGGTGGGATGTGGTATGGCCTTCGTGCACTTTGATGTACTTGCTAGTTCACTTAAGAGACTATTATCCCGCTATGTTCAGCTAGTCCGGATTTATCCCATGTTTTTTCAGACCTAGGCCAGCTGGCCTTGGTGAGTTCCCGATAGAACATCCCCATTGTCTCAGTGTGTGGGTGCACCCCTCGCGGTCCTGAGTTCCTTGCTCGTGCTCTCTCTCCTTTTGCTCCTGATTTGGACCTTGAGATTTCTGTGCGGTGCTCCAATGTGGGACTCTGTCTCTGTCTCCTTTCATCGCCTGATGAAGGTTAATATAGCGGACAATGAGGAATACTGAGAACTCAAGAACAATCGCAGTGGGTTTTTGATCCTACTGCACGTACTGGCTTTGGGGGAGCCTAGGCAGTTTGGATGCTCACCTTACTAGACCTGGATAGAGGTGGGTGGTCCTTGGGCTTCCCACAGGTCAGGGAACCCTGATTGCTCTTCGAGCAGATGAGGGAGGGGGACTTGATCGGGGGAGGGGGAGGGAAATGGGAGGCGGTGGCAGGGAGGAGGCAGAAATCCTTAATACATAAATAAATTTATAAAAAAAAAGAGACTACTATCCCAATATATGATACGAAACTAAAGCTGCCCCTAAAATCATATTTTATTGCTAAAACGTTTAAATATACAATAAAATTTACTTCTTTTATTGGATATGGTGATTTTAGAAAGTGCCCAACTAGAGTGGTCAGAGATCCAAAGATGAGTAAATTAATCAAAATTCATCAACTTTGCACCAACAAGCCTTCCTAAGGGGTGCTCTACCAGTTGATGAGATTTTTCAATAATATGTATGCAGGAAAGAGCAGTGACTGAAATAGAAGCACTTCAGAGTGAGGGGCACATCTATATTGCCAGTTTCCTACAGAGCTGCAGGGGAGAGGCAGCTCCCACAGCCAGTGCTTGGACAGAGAAGGGTTTGCAGCATCAATCTCCTACTGCCGCACTTCCCAGGAGGCTCTGTCCAGTGCTCTACAACATCTTTCTAAACCCACTTCCTCTGCTGGAAGGGTGTGTGTACTCCAGCGTGTACAGACAGATGTTCAGGAGCTGCTTCAAGATGAAACTCAGCTGGGAGCAGAGTCCCTGTCGAGCTAATGGCTAATCAACCACCTGGAGACACTGGAAGGGTAACTTCTTCTTCGGGACATTATCTTCTTCGGCATTTTCGCAGGGGTCCTGTTAACTTCTTCCAGGTCCACATCTAGTGATGAAGCAGGAGTTTTTTCCAGAACACCTAAAACACCCCTATCAAATACTGCACACCTTTCAGCGTGAGTGTCTGAGAATTTCACTGGGAATCTCTTCTCACCAACAGATTTGGGGATGGGTAGTTAACAGACTGTTTTCAAGGGGGATATATACAAATCTATGTATACCTTTAACTTTGGGTAACTATTAACTGAGTTCCCTATGGGCCAGCAGTGTTCCAGCAAGTGCATCTCCATGGTGACACCCCAGGAAGCCCCAAAGGAACTAGTTTAAGTGCAGATTCTAATTCGATAATGTTGGGAACAGGATGGATATCCTGAAAGTGTAACAAAATTCCTGATATCCATGCATATGGTCTGCAAGGGTCTAGGCTTGGGATAAAGTAAGTAAACACATCATGGTTGTTTTTAGTAAGATCGGGAAACTTGCACTTACTAGTAACTACCTTGTTCCCTGAGCCTCAGTTTCCTCCGTAAAATGGAGACAAGAGTTTGCTGGGGTGATCAAAGCATCTGCCATGGCACATAGCATATAGCAAACACCTGCATAAGTGCCTCGGCATGGTGACTGTTGTTTCTAATGGTAGCAGACATGATTTGCCCTCTAAGAATGTCTCCCTCCCTGGTGATCTACCTCTGTCTCTTCCACGGTCATTTGGGCTTCATTCTTCTCTTGTTCAATCAATTTCTTGGCCTTTTCCACTTCAGCTAAATTCTTGATCCCTTCTCTCACCTGGTTTGTGAGACTGAAAATCTGTTCTGATAGAAGGAAGATCAGGTATGTTAGTGGAAAAATAAAGCTTTTACCAGGACCATGTTGCTCTCAACAACTTCATAACTTCATAGAAAAGCTAACCCTTACCCACAGAGAAACTTATTTGGAATTAGCGGGGGAAAGGAATCCCTTCTTCCATGTATTACTTTGACATCTGCCAGAAACTGATCTCAGCAATTAGAGAGATGGAACTTCTTGGGATGCATTGGACAGCCTGTGTAACTTCACCCGGCAGTTCTGCTGGCTGGAGCCATGCCATTCCACTTCAGAGGACAAGTTTTAATGTAAACACCATTGTTTGCCATTGTGCCAGGTACCACTCAACACTGGGACAGAAATCTTAAGCATAAGCCAGGTTATCATCTGCTAGCTGTCAAAGAATGACCCTAGATGGGATAGAAAAGCAGGGGGACTCTGGAAAGACAATGCCTCTCACTCAAGCATGTGACCATTCTGGCAAGCCTTTCATGAACACAAAGCCTTTGACAGAGTGAGGCCAGAAGTGAGTGGCATGACACTCTATTGTTGCGGAGTGTCTGACACTTCCTGAAGGAGGCTCTGGGGCTGGATAGCCGAGAAACTTGGGGAATTACCTAGCACAGGGAAAAAGAGAACTCAACAGCTCACCCATTCCTTTGGTTCTCAAGTCCTGGTCTAAGGTAAAAAATAGGTCAACCTCAGTGACAGATGTGCGATATATCCCTATGAGTTGTTACTGAAGAGACCCTAGTGCCCCCCACAAAATACAGACTATTGACATATGCCTTAGTTAACTACCGTAACTGAATGATAAGACCGTATTTCTAAAGACACTACATACTTTGGTAGCAGGAACTAGAGAAAATAAGCTAGAACTGAGCTGGAGGAAGCTTCCAGAAGGTACTTTATAGACTGCTGGGGGAAAACTATATCAAGTTCTCACTGTGGATCCTGCGTGATACAATACTGACTCGCCAGGCAAGAAACACAAGTACAACAGAGTCATGACTGTTATGGGGGTAACCGGCCATTTTCTGGTTTATTTAAGGCCCACTCCACAATACGAAATTCATACCTGATACTATAAACCTGGACAAATGTCCACTGCTGGGGAAATCACAGGCCCCAGTGAGGAACCGTTACTTCTGCTCTGCTGAAAGGACATGCTGTCAAACTGCCTTATTGAAATTTATGTTTAAACTCGCAGAGTAGGGCTGCTCACAGCCTTGGCCAGGGCAGCCTCTCTTTGCAGCAGACAGTGGTTAGTATAGACATCAACTACTCTAAATACTGGAGGAAGTGACTTTTGAGGGCTCTGCCCTGCACTAGATAACTATATTATCACCTCCAAGTCTCAAGGGATATAGCAAAAGAGGGTGCAGAAACAAGATAGCAGCCTGAGGATGGGCGGGGCTGTAAATAGTGTCTCTTGGAACCACTAGAAATCACACTCATGAAACCACAGTAGCCGTGATTACAGGTCATGCACAAGACTGGGCCCAGGGTTGAGGAGGCCCCACCCTTCTCTAGCCATCTGTAGGCAGGTAATGGCTACTAGGAGACCAGGAATCATTTTCCTCAGTGATATACCCATTGGTTTTGTGCCCAGAGTTCAGTAGACATTCAATCCATGTTCATGCAAGCTTCACTAATTAATTAAGCTCGGTGGATTAACAACAACAAAGACAGGAATGTGTAAGGGGCAAACTTATTGTAGAAAAGAGAGGGCTCAACATAAAGGGATAGATAAGAAAAGGGATAATGGTGGATGTATATGGTTAAAATATATAATATACATGCATGAAATTATGAAAGAGTAATACTTTAAAAAGGATTCCAAAATTCTTTAAAAAAAATCATTTAAGGGGTCATGTGAATTATAATCCTTTTCTGCTGAGTAAAAAAGAAAACAACTTAACACAGGCTTTTGTCAACTCTGACTATACCATACCTATGATCATTTGAATGAGCTTTAAAATAAAAGTCCAAGACTAAGCCCCATCCCAGGCCACACGTGGAACCCAAGCTATGGCATTAGCCTTACCTGATAGTGTATTAAATGTAAAGATTCAAAGCTCCACCTCAGATCCACCGAATCAGAAACTCTGTGGTGGGTGTGACTGTCTTTTCCCAGGTGATGTATAGCTGAGCCCTGTGGCCACTGATGGAATTCATCTCCCTATCTAGTCAGTGAGTTTGTCACGGACTGAGCAGAGCCACAGACAAGACTCACCCACGCCTCCAAAAGTAATAGTCTCACTTCCAGGACACTTTGGAGATTTCATGTGTATCACTGTAGGCTCTGGAATAACTTGGCAGCCTCTTTTAGTTGCTCTTTGGCAGTAAAACAAGAATTTTAAGTCTGTTTCTTTAACTCAGCAATTTCATTTCTAGGGATTTATGCTACTGATATATTTTACATATGCAAAATACATGTGTGTAGATGTATAGTATATAATTACTCAGAATTGGGTATAATCAGGTTTAAAATTAATGAGATCTAGTTAGATAGCTCCTAGTTATACTTTTTATGATGTATTATGTAGTTTCTTTTTAAAGAATGTCACTTGTCTCCGTGGCTTGGCTTACTAAGAACCACAAGGTACATAGGATTAGGGTAGTAGCATAGCTCAGTAAAGCATGCACAGACAGAATCCCAGATGGTTGGGCTCAAATCCCAGATCTATAACTTATGAACTGTAAATTCAGACAAGTCACCTAACCTTGTTTTTTTTTGCAGACGAAGGCATTAACATGAAAGCTAAGCCACGTGGCTCAGGGTAAGTCACAAATTGATGAATGTAGAAGAGTGCCTAATATATAGCATGGGTTACTGAGATTTTTATAAATAAAAAAATAAATGATACAGAACAACATATAATTTGGGTATTATATATACATATGAATATGTATGTGGAAAATCTAAATAAGGCTGTGAAAATCATTGCTTCCTTAAAGTATAGAATCAGACCAAAGATTTGGTTCTAATCTTACCTTTAGAATTAATTCAATACAAATAACATTTGCAATAAATATTTTCAGAATGAAGTATTAAAACTTTGAAAGTCAAACATGGATGGGAACTTGAAAACACCAAGGCTCTTCACTCAGAGAAGATAGCCTTGCCCAAACCAGGCTCTCCCCATGCCCTTTGGTTTGCTTTGGTTGCAAGCCCAGCTGACAGTACCTTGAAGGTCTTGGTTCTGCCTCCTCAGCGTCTCCTGGGCCTCAGTGCTTTCTTCACAGGCATGCCTGAGTGTGAGGACCTCGGTGCTGAGAGCCCGAGCCTCCTTCTGAGAGGCCTGCAGCAGCGCCTGAACCTCCTCCTGCTTCTGCTTCCAGGCAGCTAGGGCCTTGTCTGACTGCTGTTGCTTCTTCTCCAGTGTAGCTGCCACAGAACGGGCCTTCCCCAGGTCAGAGAGGGCATCCCCCAGTTCCAGCTGAAGCCTGTGCCTGGCCCTCTCCAGGGAGGCATTCCTGGCATTGGCCACCACCATTGCTTCTGCAGCCTCCTGCAATCTGATTGCCAGCTTCTTCCTGAGGAGAAAGCCAAAGAGTACAGTGATTGAGATCAACAGAAGGCAGCCTGTGAGGCTGGCTTAACCACCAAAGCAAAGGCAGCACCTGGTCCTCAGAGCTGGCTGCCTGCTAACCCCTGGCCTCTGGCTCCTGTGTCTGCATGGATTTTATGCACCCCCAACACACACACACACACACACACACACACACACATACACACACACACACACACACACACACACACACACACACAAACTTGTGCCATGTAACATGAAGGTGGGCCTGCTTGTTGGAGTTTTTGTCCTGCCCAGTTTCCCACAGCTGCTTAGCCCCAAAGAAAATCACACATAGGTCTCCATAAATTATAAGCTGATTGGCCCATTAGCTCTAGCCTTTCACTGGCTAACTCTCACATCTTGATTAACCCATTTTTCTGATCTATGTTAGCCATATAGCTCAGTACAATTTTTCAGTGGGGCAGATCACATCCTGCTGCTTCGGTGATCAGGGCAGGAGTGGGAGGAATCAACTTCCTCCTTCCCAGAATTCTCCTGTTCTCATTACATCATTTCTATTTCTTGTCTGGTTTTCCCACCTATATTTCCTGCCTGGCCAATCAGCGTTTATTTAAAACATGATTGACAGAATACAGACAATCCCCCACACACACACACGCATGCGCACACACACACACACACACACACACACACACACCACTGCCTTTACCAGCCTGAATCTGGAACTCAGACTCTGATTGAATTCCTATAAATAAATAAATAAATAAATAAATAAATAAATAAATAAATGCTTATCCTAATACTTCCGTAACAGTTCATAAGAAATAGGGGAAACGAGCTTGTTTTGAACATCTTACCAACAATAAGCTGCTTAAAAGTACTTTGGCATGCTGGTATAGTCCCAAGGAGTTCCTTAGATATGACTTCTGTTAGCATTCAGGCATTATGCTTGCCTGCCCCCTGCCACCTGGCAGAACTCTGACCTGTTCAGAGTCCTATCAACAGCATCAGCTTCATTGCTAGAGCTACAACCCCCTTTAAAAAGCAGGGACTGTCTGCCTCCTCTCTCTCTCTCTCTCTCTCTCTCTCTCTCTCTCTGCCTCTCTGCTTCTCTCTCTGTCTGTCTGTCTTTCCCTCTGTTTCCTTCTCTCTCCTACCATTTTGTAAATTGTATCATTGGTGTCATGACCTTGGCAGGCTCTTCTGGCACGTCCTTCTGCCCACTGGCCGTCCAAGGCATGCCGGGACCTGATGTGGGAGTCCCCTCTGTGTGCTGTGATTACCATGAATGAATAAAGAAACTTCCTTGGCCTAGTCTAGGACAGAACTTAGGTAGGCGGGGAAGATGGAGCTGAATGCTGGGAGAAAGAAGGGCAGAGTCAAAGAGAAGTGACAGAGCCGCATCCAGAGTCAGACATACCAAAACTTTGCTGGTAGGCCACAACCTCATGGTGATGCTCAGATTAATGGAGATTGGTTAAGTTAAGATGGAAGAGTTAGCCAATAAGAAGTTAGAGCTGAGAATTCAAGAACAATTGCAGTGGGTTTTTGATCCTACTGCACATACTGGTTTTGTGGGAGCCTAGGCAGTTTGGATGCTCACCTTACGAGACCTGGATAGAGGTAGGCAGTCCTTGGGCTTCCCACAGGTCAGGGAACCCTGATTGCTCTTCGAGCAGATGAGGGAGGGGGACTTGATCGGGGGAGGGGAAGGGAAATGGGAAGCGGTTGCGGGGACGAGGCAGAAATCCTTAATAAATAAATAAATTTAAATAAAAAAAAAGAATGCCAGCCACCTGAAAAGATTAATACATTTAAAAAAAAAGAAGAAGAAGTTAGAGCTGATGGGCCAAGCAGTGATTTAATCTCATATAGTTCCTGTGTGATTATTTTGTGTCTAAGATAGCCAGGTGGTGGGGAAGAACAAGCAGCTCTCTCCCCCAACAAGGACCCTAGAACTCAGTCAGACCATATGCAATAATCTCACTTTTCCCACTAAGGGAATCACTGTACCAACCACACAACACCGACAGAATCAGTAAGTTTCCCTTCTCCTGGTTAGCATAAATGCTTCCCTGGATCCAGAGGAGTAACCCTTGAACACTGAACACCCCTTGGTGTCCTTGAAAATGGAGGAACCCCCAACCATAGTCTTTAAGGCTACAGCTGACCCTCTTCACTGAATCGCACCTCTGGCCACTGCCCACAAGTGAGGAAGAGGCCTACTCTCTTGAGCATGGTTTCTCACCTTTTGGCCATGCCCATAAGTCCTGGAACCAGGCAAACACATGCAAAAACAGGGCTCTGAGCTCTTGGCCTCTGTTCTTTGTGTGATTAGACATGGAACAACCTGTGCCTATTTATCTGGTCCTCTCTAACTTCCTGGAACGTTAAGAATTACAGACCCTTGAATCATATTTCTCTACCTCACTCATGGGAACTGTGTACACTTTTGTGATCAGATCTGGCCCAAATACTCCTTCAATATCAATCCAAATGGCTGCTTCCCAGCATCCTATATCCCAGTATTTTATGGGACCTTTGTAACATTCTGCCAGTGATCCCATAGTAAGAAGGAGATACCTTATTTTCAACCTTTATCTCATCTTTGCTCCAAACTCTCTCTATTCTTTCTAACTCTGCTTCTTTCATTAAAGAATTTCAAAGTTATTTTCCACAGCAACAACCTGCCGCCAAAGCAGTTACATGTCACCAGGTTCCTTTCTGCCAGCAGCTATGTGACACGTGCCCCCTTTAAAAGTGCCCACCAGGCAGAGCTCATTCTCTTTGCCTCATCTTCTGCTTTTTATTCCTTTCTTTGTCTCTAATTTCCTCTTGCACTAACTTTTCTGCTTGTGATATGTTTGTTTAGTGGCATACCTTGGCAGGGTCTTCCAAAGGTACCCACTTCATGCAAAGATCGTACCTGCCTCCTCCACCCACAACAAATCTGCTCTCTTCTACCTGCAACAAATCTGCTTTCTTGTTCACTGGTGTCTTCACTTTTCATTCAATACTGACAGTTGGGTCTCTGGTGGGGTTATCTGCCTCTGACCATTCCCCTGGATGTGAGGCTTCTTTTCTTGAGCACAATCCTCTCCTCACCTTCTGGCTTTTCTCAAAGTCCTAGTGCCAGGCAACTGTGTCTCTCTTAGGCTCAGAGCCCTTGGTCCCTGTTCTTGCATGACAACATATGGAACAGCTTGTGTCCACTCAATCTGATCCACTCCTTTCGAATGAAATCTGGCCTTAGTATTCCTTGGACCAGACAAAGAAATCTTATTTCTCTTCCTTCCTTCATTCCTTCCTTTCTTCCCTTTTTCCTTCCTTCCTTTCTCTAGTCTTATGAAAGTGCCAATACTGTAGACTGTTAAGAAATACAAGTAAATAGTCATTCTTATAAATTATCAAGTTCTTTAATTGTATTCATGCTAAGTACTGATATAATTAATTACAGGGATAAACCTTACCTAGTCCCCTGCTTATATTTTTAGAGTTAAGCTTAAAACAAGTAACTAGAAATAAAGTTTGTCAACTCAGATATACCTAATAGACACACAGTCCTCAAATGCTCAGAGATCTGCAGAGTATAGCTATTAAGATGTTTAATTTAAACGCTTTTTGTAACAGATAGCCATGCCAGCACCTGGAAGCATCCATATTTCCTCCAAAGATGGATGGGAACAGAAGGACCTCTACCCTGAACCTGCTTCAAATGCAGCGGGACCAGCCGCTAAGCAAACACTGCCTTTCACTTTAATTGCTGCAGAGACCCTCTTCAGACTGTGGACAACAGGATACTGGGTAGTCGACCTACTCACAGTTGCCTAGACAAAGAAAGTCTGTCAGATTTTCTAGGCCTGGCAGTCAACTGTCCTGAGACCTCTGCCTTCAATGACTGTGGAGGACCCTGGGTAGCTGTCTAGGTAGCCAGCAAATAAGTCTGTCATTTGTCATTTTAATTGCTAACTCAGGTAAAAATTATCCTCAGAAATCTAATACTGTTTGATGACTAGGCTAGAGGTAACTTTGTCAATTTAACAGCAGTAACCAAGGCTTTAGCTGTCTTCTGCATTCTCTATGTAAAATTCAGGTCACAGGCCTCACTCTTCTAGAACTAATACCAAGTCTAGACACAATTTACCTTGTGTCCACACTCAGAAAAGAGATAAAACAGATTTCAGGGCAACTTCTTACCATTCCCTTGTTTAAAGGAGTTTACTTTGTAATGACTCCCCATAATAATCAGTCGCCTGTATCTCCTGGTAAATCAGATAAGAGAAAGGTGTTTTTAGGTGTAAAGTTTATGTGAGAATATGAAAACTTTAGATGAGAGGATCTAAAAATGTTTTAGGTTCTAAGAAAGTGACTTAAGGGATGCAAATACAAGTTATTAAGGTGTGTAAATACAAGTTACAAAGGACTAAAGATATGAAAGCTGAAGTGGTGATAAGGAGAAAGTAATCTGAGATTTATTAAAAAATAAAATGTTTCAGATTTCTTTCCGTCTGTATGCTACTCTTATACTAAAACTCTCAAAGGTCATAGTCTTTACAATAATAGAATTCTGATAGGATATTAATCTAGCTCTAGCAGAGAACTAAACACTATGCCACCACTATATGATCAGAGCCACAAACTCAGGAGTTTAAGTTCCCTTAGGTTGTTCTCTAACTATAGATTTAAAAGGTGCTTTTCATTGTGCAAAAAAACATCTGTCACAGTTTTCTGGATAGAAGAAAGAGTGTTAATGCTTATGGTATGAGTATATTGCCATTTCTATAACATAAATTTCAATATAGGCTATAAACAGTGGTAATGCTAACGTGTCTAAAACTTATCTTTTCACGAACTCAAAGAATTCTTGTGAGCTCCAGGGAGTCAATTTAGACTCCCTTGAACAAGTCAGAGGCACCCCTCAATTAGGTACTGTTAATCAACAACCTAAGACTCCCCATCTTTCCCTGGTCTTGGGACTCCCCTTCCTCAATTCTCCATGTGATCTGGTCACATGATGACCTCTGTCTCCCCCCCGCCCCCCACCGCATGGCTTTTTTAAAATTATAACAGCTTCCACTCTCCTGTGCTCTCCTTCTCATCCTTTTCCTGCATTGTGCTTTCCAATTCTGACAGTTCTTCTTTGCAGTGTCTTTTCCTCCCCAATTGGAACCCCCAGATTAGCACTCATCCCAGACCCACCCACCACAGTGCTCCGTTAGTGGACCTCACTGGTTTAGCCTCTGTGTCACCCAGTATCTTCTATGTTAGAGAGATAGCTCAGCATACTCCTCTGTCATGCAGTACAGAACTCTTGGGAATCGCAATGCATGACGTGTGCTTTCCTGCCTATACGTCCTGCAGAAATGCAGCTGCGCCATTTGTACTCCTTCATTAAAATGAACACGTTTTCTTCCATGAAATGAACTGTGCAGCACCACAGTTTTGCCCTGCTGTGACTGCAGGAGAAAGGAATTGAGTAATTCGCAACTGCTACACAAGTAGCTCCCAAAGCAGTGTGATAAGGCTCACTGTGCTTGGGATTCTAGAACAATCCAATACATGCTTCTTATCTGAAAGGCCCTTGGCTCTCCTTCCTTTGCTCACTGACTTTCTAATGTCACACTTCGATGCACTTCTTCAGCAGGAGACTCTTGCACTTACACCAGCCTCAAAGAGCACACAACTAAATCATCACATGTATTTTAACTAAGCCTGTGGTGATTGGCGCTAGAAAATCGCTCTGGTTTGGAAAAAACTGGGCTGGTTTCTCAGTACTGAGGGTCTCCACTAAGACTGGAGACTTTTAATATGTAATTGGGAAATTTCGTAACCAACTGTACACACTTATCCCTTTCACTTTATTGATAACTTTTTTCATTTAATACAACTACTACTCTTTACACTTAACTTGCCAACAGCACGTATTCACTCAACTGCCTAGCTTATAAAAAGAGATATGAGAGGTTAAGAAGCTAAAAATATTATCCTCACAGCAGAAGCAGTAAATAGGCCCAGAGGAAAGGATCTTTCACGCTCTCTAACTGGGAATCACAGGACCTACCACTTCTGTATAGCTGCTTGGCTTCCCAGGGTGAACAGGAGAAAACGTGTGAGACAGTAAAGGCTTGTTTGCATAATATTCAAATCATATAAAAACAAAACCATTCAAATATTACCATGCTATGCAGTATTTGTCTTTGGCAATCGCCTACTACAGAACCAATTATAACAAATACATGTGATCATAATGCACGCTCTACATTCTTTCTGTACATTCTATCCAAAGAATCAGCTATCAAATGGAATGGTAAATAGAGGCCTTCACTTAAAATCTTCAACCCTTAGACAGGAAACAAACAAACAAAAAGTTTATTTAGAAGTGAATGACAGATTTGATATACAGAGGCATTTTTGGTCAAAGCTCCACTTTTCTGGGGTCCAGAGTTTTGCAAACACTCGCTGCAGTTATTTTTAGTGTCATTCCTAAAGTCTTCATGAGCTACTGTGGATAGAGATGGATTACTTGGTCCCCTTCTGGGACACAGTACAGCAGATTTTCTGCAAGGGCAGGGCAACCACACTTACAATTCAGGTGAGGATCTGAAACAACTTTATTTCTGATTGAAGCCAAAAAGAATTGCATTGATCTTTCTTGGATCTATGTCAAGCTATCAAATCATATTCTTTTAGGTGAACCTTTAATGGTTGTAAGCTGGAGAATTAGTTTTGTTTTCTCTCATAAATGCACAGCCACTCAATCTGTAAGCAGATAAGCACTTTATTTCTACTTTTGGGGCTGGATCTTCAATGAGCTAGTCTCCCAACTCCTAAAATTGCTTTAGAATAGCTTTCAAACTATTGTTTATCATTAGCTGTTGACCTGATAGTCTAACTTTAGGAGTAACCCAAAGATGAGGTCTTTAAAATGAGCTTTTGTCCCATAAGACATGACAATAATAATGTGTTTCTGGCTGTCCCATCTCTACAAAATGCTTGATGGCCTCCAAGTTCTATACTAAAGACCCAGTGACTCTAATGATAGACACACATACATATATGAAATCAATTATTTGTTGTACTAAATAAAATGTAGGATTTCAAGAGCCAGTGGTCCAATTCTTATAGCATAACCCAATGTCCTATCTTCTAGAAAGATTTTTATCACGTCTGTAGAACGAGCCTTTTACCCCTCTCTCAAGACCATCTCATAGTCTCATTCACCTACATTCTAATATTTTAACCCTTCCAGAGTATGTGCTTCTTGCCAGTAGTAACAGTTTCAGTTTTCCTCTTGGGCTTATAAAAAAACTCAGGAAAGATTTGTTAAGCACACACCACCAGGAGACACTGTCATTACACTCATTCTTCTTCAACTCATTCCAACTCTAGGTAGAGAATAGCCTTGATCTACTCACTTGGCTTCCTCCAAGTCTTCAGTTCTCTGGATAGTATCATGCTCATACTTCATTCTCCACTGCACTGTTTCCTTGTTGCCTTTGGAGAGAACCCGGTGCAGCTCAGTCTTGACCTCTTGTTCTTCCTCATACTGCTCCCTTAGAAGGTCATAGTCATGCTTGGCCGATTGCAATGCATGGGCCAGGGCACTCTGAGACTGTAAAAGACATACTTTTATATATACATAAAAGAAAAAATAAGGCATATTTTACCATGAGCAATGAGATTCGTGGAAGTGACATACTTCTCAAGTAAAGCTAACACGACTTATGAAACTCAAGTTGAACTTAAACCCAGTCAGGTAATACTAAAGAAAGACTTTGGTAAGTGACAAAAAGGACAGAGTGTCTAAACTGTCATTAAAACAGAAAAGAAGGGTCTGAGAGATGACTCAGGGGTTAAGAGCATTGACTGTTCTTCTAGAGGTCTTGAGTTCAATTCCCAGCAACCACATGGTGGCTCACAAGCATCTATAATAAGATCTGGTGCCCTCTTCTGGCCTTCAGGGATACACGTAGGTAGATGCTGTATACATAATTAATAAATAAACCTTTAAAGAAAACGAAAAGAAACATATATTTAAGAAAATGGCAATCTGACTGCATGAATTTCAATATCATAAAAGCTAGACATATAAAGATAGTGGGAAACATGAAGGTAGACTTCATTATCAGTTAGGTTCTATGATTTATGTTTACACTATATCAGTCAGATTTTGTTTAAACAAGAAAGAGGAAGATTTAATCCTTCTATTTCACTTTATTCATCAGAAAAATTAAGTCCCTATGCTTACAGTTAAATAACTATTGTGTTATAGTACTTTTTATATTTGTTGGACAATAGAGCTTATTTTATTGAAGCTTTCTGTCACCCAAATGGTGATCTGGCTAACCAAATGACATCATCCCCAAAAGATTAACTCATGAAGAAACTAAGGTTTCCATACGTGTCCATAGTTCTTTTTGACAAAGTTGAAAATGAAACAAAAAAGCACCATCTTAGGCAGGTACTTGTCTGTGAGCAGATGGCTGAGCTAATAGCATCCTCAGTCACATATTCCCAGATGGCAAGTGAGGAGTAGCGATACCCAGTGGTGTTGAAAGAATAAGGATAGAAGTAGAAAGAAAATGCCAGAGATTTATGAGGTATCACTAAATAAAAATATTCAAATTTGGAAAATTTTCTAAACAGCAGGGGGTAGGGATATGCAACCAGATTATTTGTGGAATCTCAACAGTCTTAGAAAAAACAACAGGCACCAGGTTCTAAGAGTTCTGAAAAGACCCCCAAATAATTTTGACCAATAGAAGTCCACACCATGATATTACACACAACTAAGTTAGAAATCCAAGTCAAAGAGAGAATTATAAAACTAGAAAATCTGTACTAATTCACATGTAAGAGAATCCCAATTAGACTAACAGTAGACTCCCAGAAGAAACTTTACAAGCCAGGAGGAAGTGGAAGAATATAATAAGATTCTGAGGGGAAGATATCCTTGAACAATGAAAAAGAAATTAAGGCAATCCAGGGTAATGTAAAGGGGAGAGGACTCATCATTGTGAGACTGGTTTCAGAAGAAACACAGAGAACAAAGGAGAAATGCACCTCCACAAAAGAACAGTTAAGTACCATCATAGATGCACCCACACACTGTTGGACACTGTTTGGTCTGGATAAGATGACTCTTGCCGTCTCAGAACAGAGCAGCTAGGGTGTCTTTCAGGAGTTTTCCCCAAAGAGTTGGACTTTTAGCATTGGGTTGTAGAGGGAGCAGAAAGACTTATGGACTCCCACGGTTTAAGAGACTGACAAGGCTCACAAATCTCTCTGTGATAGTCTAACAAGGGCTCTCTCCTTCTCAAGTGTAAAGAAAATGGAAAGTTGACGAGGGGTGGGGGATTTGGGGTAGTATAGCTGCCAGTATGTCAGGCAGCAGGACTTCTCAATGGTGCACCTTTTGGTGAGTGCTTCATGCCATGGGACTCCTCTGGTGTGGCTGCCCAGGAGTCTCCCAGGGGTCTTCCTGGTGCCATCTTCCACTCACCCCTGTTTCTTTAGGTAACCCTAATAAACTCATTGGTCCACCATACTGGACCTGGAAGAAATCTTCGCTTTAATATGCTGATACCTGCTCTATCTGTGGTGAATAGTTGTTTTTTACTTCTCCCCAATGGGAAAAAAGTGATGTGCACATGTGTGTATTAAAATTCAATGGCAATGCAAGTATATAAATAATAAAAAGCATCAACTTCATCACAATAGAAAACCATAAAAGTCAACCAAAGAAGAAACTGAAAGGAACAAAGAACAAAAAACAATCAGAAAACAACAGGAGTAAATCTTACACATCCATGCAGTAAAACTTACTGGTAAATATACCACTTCTTGGTGGATGATTACATGATTGGCTTTGATGACCTTTAGGTCAAGCAAGAAGCATGGCAGAAACATTTCTTGCCCTAAATCTGACAAACTGCACATGGAATTTTAATAATATAATTCCTTAGTTATCAGAGTTCTTTATAATACAAGCAAGTGACTTCCCCCTCTTGAGTGCTTCCTTCTTCTCTTTTTCAGGAGAGGATCCTGAGGCTTACCGCCAAGCATTGTTTTTTTGGTTTTTTTTGTTTGTTTGTTTGTGGTTTTGTTTGTTTGTTTGTTTGTTTTTGGATTTTTCGAGACAGGGTTTCTCCCTAGCTTTTTGGTTCCTGTCCCCTGTCCTGGAACTAACTCTTATAGACCAGGCTGGCCTCGAACTCACAGAGATCCACCTGCCTCTGCCTCCCGAGTGCTGGGATTAAAGGCGTGCACCATGACCGCCCGGCATTGTTTTTATGTTTTTAAAACATATACCATGTGACTGGTGAGAAATGATTGACACATTACCCTGGTCTCCTCCTCTAGCTGCCCTCTCAGTTCTTCAATTTGCCGAGTAAAGTTGTTCTTTTCCCTGGAAAGTTGACTTATCAGGGCCTCCTTCTCTTCCAGTCTTTTTAAGAACTCACCTGGAAAAAAGTTTCATAAAAATAAATGAATTATGATTCTTCTCAGTGATTGGCATTCCTGCTTATTATCTTTTGGTATCATCAAAAGGACTCCTACCCAAATACTGTTTTATATTTGGAGAAGGCCTGCACAGTCCCATACTGGCGAAACTAGGGTAATGAGCCTTTTCCAGACACAGAAAGGAACCCTAAAAGAACCAATTTTTAACAGTGAGTATGAGTTGATAACAGATCATGTCAGTTGCTTTATTTAGAACCTTCTGTGCTCTAGATACAGATAAACTACTAATATAGATAGAAAAGTAGCTTAACTGTCATAGTTCAGTACTGGATTATTATGTCACTCCTGCAAAGGAAAAATCAGATCAATATATCAGGACTTAGCCCTAACTGTCTCCTTTCTAGATGCCAGTCATCTGGATGTCCCATGAACATGTCAATCTTAAACTGTCACATATACATTCTGACTCACCTACTACAAGTCAGAATACCCACAGCATTGTTCCTTGATGTCACTTAAGTGACATGGTTTATCTATTTACTGCAAAGGACATTATAAAGAACCAGGAACCTGCATTTCTTCAGGAATGAAGTCCTAGATTCTAATCATTGGCAATAGCTTATTTGATTATGGATTTATGCTATTTTGAGGCTTCTTTATACAGATATGTCAATTTAATCTTTTTTCATTGCTGGTCAATTAAGCCCTTACCCCTTCTCCAGAAAAATTAGGGTAGATGTAAAAGTACTCAATTCTGTGAATGTCTTGGTCTTTCTAAAGATCAGACCCTTTCCTGAAGTTGTCTAGGAGACCCTGACATCAACCTCCTCATTAGCATATCAGTCTCCTAATTAGCATATAAGCCCTCATTAGCATAAAAACCACTCAGCACACCAGAGATCCTAAGCATATTAAGAGCCATGTACCGAGAAACCCAGGAAGAAGGAATATATCTACATACATACATGTGTAATGAGTCCCAACATCACAAAGCAAAACTCATATTTGCAGAAATATCTCTAACTGAAAGCTTTTAAGGTTGTAATGCCATACACATATTTCCTAAAATTTCAGTTTGACTAAAAGCTTGAAGTGGCAAGTTTACATTGCTAATTTTGGAGAAAATATCTTCCAAATATATTGATCTGAATAAGCATAGTTTGATTCTCAATTGTCCTTTCAAGTTAAGACACCATTCCCTTAAAAAGCCACTGGTAATTGGATGGCACACACTGAAATTCCAGGACTCAGGGACCTGAAATAGAACATTCTCAAACTCAAGGTTAGCTTGGATGCACAGCAAAACCAGGTATTAAAAAATTTAAGACACTAGCTCAGGTTGGAACTTGAGACAATCAATCAGTTTCAGCATGAAATAATTCTTTATATATATATTTCTTGTTTTATCACACAAAACATTAAGAATGCATACTTAGAGTTGAGATTATGACACAGTTTAATTCTTTTGCTTTATTATGGACATTCCCAAGTGAAACATTTAAACTGTGAGTACATATTAGTGAATGTGACCCCTAGTGTATCATAATGCTACTGGCTGGGCTTGTGGTAGGGGTTCCAGTTCTTTGCATTGTCATTGCTTGTACACTATCAGTGCGAATGGAAACAGAATTCAAAGAGAAAGCAGGTTTTATGTATCCTCATGAGGTTATGTTAATCTTATAGACATCTCCCCAAAGAGTCTTCAGGCTTACTTGGGATCTGTGAGCCAAACCACAATAACCACCGGGTAAACCATTGTTTTCAAAAGATCTTTGAAACTCAAATCAATTAGGGGTAGAGGCTAAGAAATCACTTTCATCACAGAAGCCATGCAAAGGTGGCAAAGGTGAACGTGTACAGTATGGGTCTCTTCTGAAAGCAGACACGAGATGTTCACAGAAGAGGCATGAGGAACTTGGATAGCAACAGGAGAAAGGAATAAAAAACACAGCAGAGGGTCTGGAGTCTCAGCCCAGAAAGCGTGGGAAAGGAAGGGAGACTGAAGTGAAATGCAGGAGAGAAATGGTAATCCTAAGAGGAATTATTAAACAGCAGAATGCATAACAAGGCCCACAGGTACATGCCCAATGGCATAGGAAAGGGATCCTACTTGGTATCCTTACAAGAATAAAAAATGATTCCCTCTTCTAGATTTTTAGACTTTCCATTTTTCCAACTCATTTCCTTTTAGTCATTGATCTTTTTGTTTGTTTGTTTAGTTGGTTGGGTTTGGTTTTTGGCTTTTCGAGACAGGGTTTATCTGTGTAGTTTTGGTACCTGTTCTGGAACTAGCTCTTGTAGACCAGGCTGGCTTTGAACTCACAGAAATCCACCTGTCTCTGCCTCCCAAGTGCTGGGATTAAAGCCATATGCTACCACCGCCAACCTTTAGCCATTATTTTTGATAAATAAAAAAACATTGAAATATTCTAAATTTAAACTCATGGGGGAGAATGAAAGAGAATAAAGGAGAGGTTTAGTTTAGATGGCAACTTCTGTCTAAGCCTGTGTGTGCATGTGTGCGTGCGTGCGTGTGTGTGTGTGTGCGTGCGTGCGTGTATGTGTGTGTGCATAATAAACTCTGTTCTGTATTTTTTTTCTGTATGTGTAGCATTGGTCATGGAGACGGCACCTTGTAGAACTGATCAGGAAGTGCAAGAGGTCACTCTCATAGACTATCCTTGCTGTCCAATACTTTATTTTCTTCTTTGCTGTTAGCTTGCCCCTATTACCCAACCCGGTGTAAGCAGCAGTACTTCAGTATAAGCAATCTATGCCATTTTCTCCATGCATTTGCAATATATTATATAAATATATATATATATATATATATATATATATATATATATATATCCTGCCTTGAGATCTTGTAGACATTATTTCAAGTATATCTGGCCATATTGCTGGTAGTGTAAGGATTTTATCTCAGGATCTATGTCCTTTTATTTTTGGTTAGTATCTGCAACATCTTAACAAACATCTCTTGATCTGTAAAATTTTATTTTAATACTTTGGATCTGGAATATTAAAAATGCATATTTATAGAATAGTTCCATAAAGCTTATGACCTTCAGTATTTAAAACTGTTCACCTCTGGACATCACAAATACATTGTACTAAAAGTAATTAAAATAATAGACAGATATCTACTCATGTGCTAACTGCAGTAAACAAAGGAATGTAAGGCTAATTAGACTGCTGTCCATTTCTTTGAAGGATTATGAACAGGCATTGCAAATGACTGAGCATATGAGACACAAAAAACTTTATGCTACATTTTAAAAACCCCAAATTGATTACAATATAAAAATTTACAAATTTAAATAACCAGTAATGTTTGGTAGTAACAACCATGGGACACTATTCTACAGTTAATTTTGATCAAATATTTATAGAACACCAACTGCCAGACAGTGTTCTAAGTGACCGACATAAGTCAGTGAACAAAACAGAATCCCTTCCCGTCTTTGAACTCATATTCTGACAGATGAGGACAGTTACCAAGTCAAGTAGGAAGTCTGTGTGAAGGAAAAAGTAGTACAGAAGGACATTGAGGGAGTGGGTTGACAGTGTCCAAACACTATGTTATCTAAGCGGTGTCTTAAATTGCCCACCATAGCCACTGGTTAACCGTCATCTCTGAGCGTCCATGGAATGAATAATTTTTCGAGGTCAGGGATGTTCCTGGAGTTTATAACACACCATAGAGGTCTGTGCTGCTAAAGCAGACTGGGAGAAGCAACAGGTAGAAGATGCCAGACATAACATTAAAAAAAAGCATGTTATTGCATCAGTTATGGATTTTGTTGAGTATAAATGTGGCATAGGCTCCTTATTAAAAGTGATCCAGGGAGATAGAAGTCATACAAAAAAAATCATGTCTAATGGGCAGTGTGGACAGTCCGTCCTGCTGTCTTCTGATCGTGAGACTTACTCTGACAATTTCACATTGCTTTTCTTCTCAGCAGGACATCCTAAAGCAGCAGAGTGCTGACCTTTTCCAACCAAGAAGCATGCCATTCAGATATGTTCAATCTCCCTCAGGATATATATAATTATGGCTCAACACAAAACTATAAACTTAAACTGTCGAGTAAGTTTTTTGTGGGATAATATATTTTGTATCTAGACTGTACGGTTCTTGAGCATGACCTTGGAAAAGTCACTATTGTGCTATAAAGCCAAAAGATTGGACACATCTGCAAGGTAATCCCCAGGCTTTAACCATCAACCAAGAACCATTCGGTGACCAGTGGTGTATGGGTACTTACCACCTCCGCTGTACCTCATGAGGCTCTGGGATTACTCACAGGGGAAACTCACACCTACTCACCACTCTCACCCTGTAGCTTCATCTTCTGTGTTGTCAGGTCATTTGCTAACTGAGTCACCTCATCCAGTTTTGTGTTTGCTTCATTCAGGCGCCTTTCGTACCCACTACAGAGTTTCTCAGCATTTGCCTGTGAGTTTCAAAAAAAGATTAGGGTTGTCAGAAAAAGTCCACTTGGGACTACTAACTACTTGGGAGGGTGGTGATGGTTTGCTCTGGGGCCTGTATGAGTTCTTCTGCTTCTGGAGTAAAGGCCACGAGCAGCATTAGGAAAATATGTCTCTCTCTCTCTCTCTCTCTCTCTCTCTCTCTCTCTTGCTCTCTTTATTGGTTTTTTTGAGACTGGGTTTCTCTGTAGCTTTAGAGCCTGTCCTGAAACTAGCTCTTGTAGACCAGGCTGGCCTTGAACACATAGAGTTCCACCTGCCTCTCCCTCCCGAGTTCTGAGATTAAAAGTGTAGGTCACCACCTTCCGGCCCCAAAAATATATCTTTTAAATTAAGCAAGCATAACAAATTCTAAGGCTAACACCTTGAAAAAAAAAGTCAAAGCTTTTCAGACTGAAATCCAACTCCCTGGCTCTTAGGAACCTCTCTAGAACTCTGCAGTCTGTTAGAGAAGGAAGCATGTTAAATATCAATATAGTGTCAGATATAATAATTTCTTAGTACTATATTAAATAGTTAGCTTTCCCTTCCATTAAAATGTTTTTGGGGGTAAATGTTCTCCTTAATCTCAGATCATGATGCCTAGAATAAACTTTAAATATATTACAGAGAAAAAAAACAAAAAAGATGGGTAGAGAGGGGAAAGAAATCTACAAGAATGAGCAGTGTTAACAGGAGAAACTACACAGATCTGAACTCCAATAGCTTAGCAAAAAAAATCTACCTAAGAAACTGCACCCTCTGGTCAAGAGGGTTGAGGCTCAAAACAATCCTGCTAACATTTTGGTTTCAATCGTTAGCTTCTCTGAATTGGTTTTTCATGCTTGCTGAAGGGGATATATTAGCCTTCCTACTTCCCCCTGATTTCAGCAGCCAGTCTAATCACTAGATTCTTGATACACTCTGGAAACTCATGTGAGTAATTTGACTCTCAAGGGTCTCAGAGAGGCGGAAATACAAGATACGAGTGGATGGCTACCTAAGAATTAATTGTAGTTTTCACTCTCATTATTTATATGAACAGAAATGATAAATTATGGGTGTGCTCTGTGGTTCTATACACTCTAAACTGTGGTCTTTGTGAAAGCCATCTATAAACTATCTTTGGGTGCCTTCTCTTTTCCCTACTAATGACAGTGATTGTAAAAATAACCACAGCAGAAGCTAATGAACCTTTCCTAGGCTCTTTATATTATGTATTAAATTTCAATTTCTGAAAAAAAAGGTCACATAAATGCATTATCTCTCTAAAGAGAGGACACTGTAGAAATTAAATAAGGAGATGCAAGAGCATACACTCTGGCATTTGAGGAAACACTGAGAGCTGGTGAAAAGGTGAGAAACAGTGGTGAATCTGATAATTACAGTGTTAGCTTAATTGTGATAAAAGACTAATGGTAGCAGTCAGGCAAATTTAGAGGCATTCCAGGATAAGACCAGTGAGAAGCATCTGAGCCATTTCTGGTTGGAGCATGTGCTGTGTTGGGGATTGTTGTATTGGAGCTCTCTAAGTTTATGCAAGTGAGTATTCTAAAGTTCCCACAACCAATTACTAACTTGCATCCTCTTATATCCCCAAATGAATACCCAGCATGCAATGGACACTTAATAAATACCTGTAGCATTCAAATTATTGTATAATTTAGTAAAAGGTTGGCTGAAGTAGAGACTTCATACTAACATCATACTCAAATTTTCTCCCTAAAATACAACCAAAGTATTTGTCTTATTATTTGGATAGGATATCACCCAAAGATTAGCAAAGAAGGAGAACCAATTTCAGCACATATCTCTTGGAAGGCTGACAAAAAACACCATGAAGTCCCAGCTTACAGATGCTCTACAGTACACACAGGCTTGTTGGTAGTTGAGAAGCCAAAGCTGGCAGAAAATCAACCACCAGGTTGTCATACAATACCACTATTATAATGGTGGCCATTGTGTTAATGTTAACTGCCAGGTGTGCTTAATTAATTAACAAATGTCCTTTACACAGTGAAAGATGCAACCATGATTCATGTAACCATTTTTAGGTCACCCACAATTGCAAACCATACTTTGAATGTTGAATATGCTTGGTCACCTATCCAACAACGATTCTGACCATCTCAGCTGGCACATTTGTTTCTTTTCTCACACTAGTCCTCAGAAGTTGAAGGTGGCTTTGTTTTCTAAAAGAAACCAGTATCCAGGAGACTTATTATCCTGACTACATAAGACAGACAGTAAGTGTCAGATATGAAATTTGAGCTGAAATTGCCTGTGTGGATGTAATTAGAAAGGAAAAATATGAAAGAAAACATAAAATATTACATCTTAGACATCTATCACATGAAGGAGTGAACACAAAGGAGATGCTAAAGATTACCTGCCAGATGCACTGGCTGACACACACTGTTCAAGTCCTGGGCCACTTAGGCGCCTGGAGAATGTACTACTATATTATATTACTATATAAACTATCATATTTTAAATCTATGATGAGAAATGACACTAACCCATGGACTTATTGGATGTCTCTACTAAAAATGGAGAACCAGGAAAAAGTAGATGCCAGGGATAGGGATGCCAAAGGAAACACCGCTTTCAAGAGGAGGTGGTGGGTCTGAATTTATGTGTACTGATTTGTAGAAAGTGAGATACTACTGAGCTTGCTTTTAAGAATAACATAGAGGGCTGTTAAGACGCACTTATGTTCATAACTTGGGGTGTACTGTGTTACATATTTGTATGAAAAGAATGAAAAGTGATGGGTATTTATAACGCCTCTCACTGGAAAAAAGGAAGAAAATGAGTCACAGGGTGGCAGGATTTTAGGAGTCTTCCATGTGATGACAGCTTGCTGAGCTGCACATACATGCAAGTTATCAACCTACCTGGGGAGACAGAAAAGTAATGTTTCCTTTAGGCATAGCTTCACAGGGGTGTGTCTACAAGTGCTAGCAACTGGTAGAGTGTTTCTATCAATAAAGTACTTCATAAACAGGACATATGGATATTTATCTAAAAGTTGCCTATAGGAATATAGCTTGCAAAAGAACTGTAACTTCAAAAAGAACTTCAATTTAAGCCTAACGATAAATATTATATTTTGATATGGGAGAAGAGGAAATTAATGAGACACACATTCATCTTAATTCTCTTTCTTAAGATGACTAAATATGACACATTTCAAAAAATGCAAAAAACAACTGTGAGAATTTCTGTCACTTCTAAATCGCCCCGGGGCTCTCTATCGAAATACTTTTCATTTGAAAATGCCTTAACTTCCATTGAACACTGACATTCTTACCATTATAACTTGCAAAAAGGTAAAATTAACAACCCAAATAAAAGTTCAGTATAATATTTATGCTTTTAAGAAGGAGAGCACAATTTAAGTTTTTATTGCATGTGTGTGTGTACATACACATGCACACAGGCACGTTGAGCACACACAGGCACAAGTGCCACAGAGTTCTTGTTGAAGTCAGTTCTCTTCTGCCTGTATGTGTCAACTGGCAGAGAGATTGAACTTGGGTTGTCAGGCAGCAAGCAACTTTACCTACTGAGCTATTTTCTCAGTTCACAGAGTCAATTTATATTATTAAAGCTATTTAAAGCAGCAAAAAAAGTCATTATTGTGTACACACATGCATATAATTAGGAGATGAACGTAGTCTCTGCTGTCTAAATGTGATGTTTGGGCAAAAGGCATATGTCGGCAACTTACAGGTTGCACAAGGCACTGCAAATATAAGCAAAATAAGCTTCAGTTTCTGCTTTAGAGACACTTTCCTTCAAGTTAAAAGACTATGAAATGCAAGAACAAATATCTCAAAAGTGCTACAATAATTCTAGAGCAGGTAAAATTTTAATACAGAAATAAACAAATATTTCAGAGAAGAGAATTAGCATAGAAAAACCTAATAGATAGTGGGTGTAGTGGCACACACCTTTTGTCCCAGTAGTTGGGAGGCCGAGGTAAGTGGATCTGTAAGTTCAAGGCCAAAATGGTCTACATGGTGAATTAGTGAGTTTCAGACTAGCCAAAGTTAAATGATGAGACCCTGTCTCAAAAAAACTAGCAAGAAATGAATAAACAAATAAAAGAAGGACAGGTGTGTGTGTGTGTGTTTGTGTGTGTGTGTGTGTGTGTGTGTGTGTGTGTGTGAGAGAGAGAGAGAGAGAGAGAGAGAGAGAGAGAGAGAGAGAGAACTGATGGAAAAGTAGATATTTGGTGAAAGGCATTTTAATTTGTGTGAAAATGAACTAAAGGAATGGAATCTAGAACTGGTGGCAACAGAATCTGAACCTGATGATGGGTTATCTTGAAGGCAGACATTTGGAGTTCATAATTCCATAAATTCATACTTTAGAGAAGTATAATATAATATAGGGATGTATTGGATTAATGAAAGATTAGAAACAAAAAAAAACATAATTTAGGAAATCACTTAGCAGTCCAGTTGCTAAGTGATAAGAGACCAATAAAAAAATGGGGAGGAAAATCAGAAAGACAATGAAGAATTGGCCTGCTTCAATAAGGAAATGGAAAACAAAGAACAGGAAAAAAGCAAGTGACGGAGGCTTAGAGCCTGACTGGTTGGAAGAACTGGTGCCAGGGACAGAAATGCACAAAGGGAATAACGTACTGCAGGTGGCCATGGTGGCTTTGCTTTTATATATGCTACTTGTTGAAAGTGAGGTCATTACTGATTTCTGAAAGAATAACTTAAGTGAACTTTCAGGAAAGTCTGGGGAAGTAAAGACAGGTTGCTGGGATGAAAAGAAAGAGCAAGAGATAAGCTTTATACAGACCCCCGTGGGAGTAAGAGGGAGGGTAGACTAGATGCTTTATTGCAAGGTGAGTTTTCAAAATAGTTATTTAATTTCTCAGCAACTTCCAAAGACAAACAACGAAATTTTTTGTTTACATATTTGCTATTTTCAGTAACCATCTGTGCTCTCATGAATGTAAGCATATTTCACTGTTGAACCAACTGGAACAGCTAGTACATGAGCCTCACACTTGGTACTCCATCCAGCACAAGGTCAGAATATGAAGGCCTCAAGTGCCAAGAAGTTCAAAGAAGAGGCCTGTGACGTTTGGTGAACTTCAAGACTCACTGTACAAAGATATTCCAAGTGTCTACTGCCTGCATAGCAATGCTCGTCTCGCCTGCCGACCCATATGTGGCTCAAACCAACACTTCAACAGGCTCTCTTTGATGACATCCACATATTATTAACTATGTAGGTCCATAAAGTACAGGAAGTATGAGGATGTAGTTATATCTACCTTAAATTTAAAGTATGTTTTGAAGAGCTTTGAAGTTCAGACAGAACTACAGATGATCTGTCGTATTGGCGAATTTCAATTCTCCATTTATTGTAATGCACAGGAGTCACCAGGCAGGGCAACCAGCATGACTTCAAACTTGTTGCAATTTCAAAGCCCTTCTTAGCTAGAGTTTGTTCAGTCCACCCTGGGCAACGTAATGAGACCCTGTCTTGAAATTTAGAAAATGCCAAGATGACTGGGATTATAACTCAGTACATGCATCACATGTGAAAGGCAAGGTTCAGTCACTGTAATCTTACACAGGAAACACTTGCCCCTTCCATTAGCAAACATTTCGAGTGATCCTTCTGAATTTTCTGTGCCTTCCCCTCCCCTGACACTTCCATGTTCAGATATCTATAAGGAACGTTTGGAAATGTCTACCTTTGTTCTGGCCATCTGCTCAACACGGGTCAGGAGGTCATCCACTTGGAGCTGCAGACCACTCTTTTCTCGCTCTAGCGCCTGCCTCACCTTCTGTAAATGTTCTACCTGGCCTGTAAGCGCAGCAAGGTTCTCTGCATGTCTCTTTTTCAAAGAGGCAGAGGTTGCTTCAAAGTGTCTCGTGGTCTCTTCCATGTCATGGCGAAGCTTCTGAAATCTTGCTTCCTGTTGCTTGGTTATCTGCATCTGAGCCAAACTGGTCCCCCCGGCCTCTTCCAGCCTCTCCTTCAAATCTTCTAAGTCTTGAGTGAGGTCAGCTCTCTCTCTTTCTACCTTGGCTCTGGTGGTCCTTTCATTTTCCAGTTCCTCTTTCAAATTTAATATGTGAGCCTGGAGGAAGAAATAATTTCAACTTGTAATAACTACTTGTGATATACTTCCATATGCAACAAAGTGATTACATTAATTTTGTCTCAACTTAGAAAGCAACGATGATATTTTCCATTTCTATTTTATAACTAAAGGAAATTGAACACCAAGAAATTAATCAATTTTTCTCCAAAGCAATACCAAGAAACATAAGCACAATTTTCAATTCTTCCAGATCCCCAGTCCTACATTATAGAGAGTATCATTAAATTATACAAAGAGAGAGATTCTTAGTAGAGTTTCCCTCTTTCAAAAAAAAAGGACCTCTTTCTTATGCTAAGAACAATTTTTATAGGGAGCTTATAGAAATATAACATAGTGACTTATGTATACAATATCTTTCGGGGATTTGTTAACTATCTCAACAATTACAGACTCTAAAAAACTGACGATAGAATCAATACCCATTCAAGCAACTTGAATTGAAGTAACATCTATTCGTCCAACAACAGATGGAAATAGAGGCAGAGAACCACACTGGAGCACTAGACTGAGCTCCCAAGGTCCAGCTGAAGAGTGGAAGGAGTGAGAATATGAGCAAGGAGGTCAAGACCATGAGGGGGTTCACCCACTGAGACAGTGTGCCTGAGCTAATGGTCGCTCACCAACTCCAACTGGACTGTGAGTGTACGAGCATGAAATCAAACTAGTCCCTCTGAATGTGGTTGACAGTTGGGGCAGACTGAAGTGCCACTTACAGTGGCACTGAGATTTGTCTCTACTGCATGTACTGGCTTTTTGGTATCCTATTCTCTTTGGATGTATACCTTGCTCAACCTAGATGTAGTAGAGAGGGCCTTGGAATTGCCACAGGTCAAGGTGCCTTGTCCTCTTTTAGGATTGGAAGGGAGGGTTGTAGGGAGTGGGTGGGAGAAGGGAAGGGCGTGGGAACTTGGGTTGGAATTTTTTTAATGTAATAAAGTAAAAAAGAAAAGAAAAGAAAAAATGACATCTACTCAACCCTACACACATGGCAAGCAAAGTTGGTCAGCTTGTTTCTTAGTCTTCAGACTCCAAGTAGTAGGTTTGCAGCAGTGAATTAGAATTGGTGGAAGAACAGGAACTACTGAAGTGAATAGTCATCTGGGATACCATTACAGGAAGGGGCATTAGCAAGGGGAAGTATTGATGGAACACTTAGAGCTCCAGACACTCCAGTGAAGAGGCAACAAGCCCTGGAAACCTCTAGAGAGTCACTGTATTCAGTGCTACCAGGCCAGAGATATTCACTAATCTTGTAAAGAAATAGACACAGGTTAGGAGAGAAGGAAAGACTGCTTAGAAAATGTTTTCCTTTACATTAAATAAAATGGCTTAGAGAAAGCTATTTCTCTAGGCCATGCCAGCTAAGTAGTCCACCAGTTTCGTTTGCAAGGAATCCCAGGGCAAGTGCTTCTAAAATTTAATTTTTATCCACAAGTAAATGTGCTGTCTGACAACTAATTATTGAAACTGAAATATCTACCATTTCTCAAATAATATTATGCTTGCCTCAAAATCCTCAGAAGCGTTTCTTCATAAATAATCCTTACAGTCATTAAGGCATATTTTTTGGGTAAATTGAGAGTTTTATTTTATTTTGTGTAAAGTCAAGTGTCATATGACGATATACCTAGAAAATATAATGTTTGGTGTTCAATGTTGTTTCTGAAAATAAAGCACATTCACAAGAAATGAGACTGCTTTCCTTATTGGGCTTAAAGCTGATCTATTGGGAGCTCACCAAGGCCAGCTGGACTGTGACTGAAAAAGCATGGGATAAAACCGGACTCTCTGAGCATGGCGAACAATGAGGGCTGCTGAGAAGCCAAGGACAATGGCACGGGGTTTTGATCCTACTTAATGTGCTGGCTTTGTGGGAGCCTAGCCAATTTGGATGTTCACCTTCCTATATATGGACGGAGGGGGGAGGACCTTGGACTTACCACAGGGCAGGGAACCCTGACTTCTCTTTGGACTGGAGACGGAGGGGGAGAGGAGTAGGGGGAGGGAGAGAAGGGTGGGAGGAGGGGGAGAAGGGTGGGAGGAGGGGGAGAACGGTGGGAGGAGGGGGAGGGAAATGGGAGGCTGGGAGGAGGTGGAAACTTGTTTTTTTAAAAAAAAAAAAAAAAAAAGAAGAAGAAACAGAAATTGGAAAATAAACCAGAACATTTTTGAAAAAAAAAATATCCCAGAAGATAAACACCAAAAGGAGGGATTATTGAGATGTTAGTGTGACATAAAAGACATCTATAAAAACACGCCACATATGTGTTTGCATATGTGTATAGCCATAACTACTTTTAATTGCCTTATAACATGGAGATGTAGTGTAAAATAATGACTTAGTCTGAAACTTTGAAATTGCTGTCCATTATCAAATAATGCTTTGGGTTTATGAATAGCTATAGAATCTGTTGAATTTTAAATTAATTGCTTTCCAACCATAAAAGTTAAACACTAAACTAATGACCCAGCAGGTCATGTACTGTTCTTTTCACATAAACATATCTTTGAATTTAATAATTTGATCTCAAAGCTGTCAAGATTAATGTGTTAAAAATTATGTGCTCAGGATTTAGTAAAAGGCCTAATCCATAGCAAAAGTTCAAAGAACAAGCTACTTGGTATTATTCTCATGGGAAGGAAATTTAAGCTTAAGAGGTAATTATCCCTCCAGGGTCACAAAGTTGTGGGAGGCCATTTACCTTCTTAACTGCTGCTTTTTACTCCCGCTGTCTACAGCTGGCTACGGGTATGGGTTATGGGAGTGCCAACCATTATTCATGGGTCTAAACACTGGTACATAGAGCTATCTGAAAACTGAATACCTGAAGCTCCTTCACCATCTTCTGAAGCTGAGATACCTGATTCTTCTCAGTCTCCACTTTTGAGTTCATCTGACTCATTTCGAAGTCTTTCCTGTTTAGGAAAATGTGACAATGATAATGTGTCAGAATAATAACATATATTCAAATACTTTAAAATTGTAGAATAGCATATGAATTCTTACTGTAAAAATATAAACATTACATTTGATCTGATGACTAATACATAATCCCTGACATCTTTCTATAAATCAAAATCACATGTTTGGTATGCATCCTTCTACTTCTAAACTTTTTTCTAAGTATTCACAAATGTCTTGTGTGTGTGAAGGGATATGTAAAACAGTAGGAATAGTTTCAGTTTTTACTGTGGAATCTATCATATTGTAGGAATAGATGTGTGTATAGATATATAACATAACTTGACCCATATAATAACAAAAGAGACATGCTTATACATGGTCCCACATAGAGTTTACTTTAGACTCAGCCTGTGACACACACTCAGTATTTTCTAACTCTACCATACAGCCTACAAAGGTGTGGAGTATAATCTTCGCTTTGACAAACTGACTACAAAGGGAGTCTTGTCAGCAGTTTCTAATATTCGTAAGGTGACCATAGACACATGTGAAGTGTAGCAAATTAGGAATAGTAAATTCATCAATTATTGCCAAGAGCATGTTTTAGGCCAACATGCGCATGCAAGCAAAGCCAAAAACCCAAAGCTGTTCACTTGATAAACCGGGAACCCAAACTTTGATATGTTCTCAGTTTTGACGTTGTTTTGGATCTTACTTTTGTTTCACTTATTTTATAGAAGTGTTATTTAAAAAAAAAAACTCTAGAATATAAAGGATATAAACTGTTAAAATGCATCTCATCAGCAGCAGAATTAGACAGAAAGCCATCTTCCAGTCAGTTCCATAGGGTACAGAGAATTAAGGGAACTGATGGAAATTTTCCATAATTTTTATCATGTAATATATTATGTTTTAAGAATTAATGTTTATATAGTCTGCAAAGATACACAACATAAATACTAATGCACTTGTACCTGACAAAGAAAACATTAAGTGATCAAGTTTCCCAGGCTTCATATCACAGTCAGGTTTTTGCTACGTTCATCTTTCCACTGGTCTTATAACAAGTAAAAGAAGTAGACCACTTTTCATAGACTCAGATTTTCATAATTCACCTCTCCTATGCCTTACTACTTCCAAAATTTTCACCTTCTAGGTAGATGATTTCTGCTATGCCCTTAAGATTGTGTTTTTATTTTTTCAACTGTGTAATAGAGTCCATCAAATTGAAAATATCCCTTTCCCAAGCTTCTAGTCACTGTCTTGCATCTTAATCTAGTGGCCTAGAAATCTCATGCTAAATAAAACAAGAACACTGCTCCTCCCAGTCTTAAAATTTTCTCAGAATCCTCTTGTGCTTGTTCCTCAGACATTTTTCCTTCTGTTGTTGCCTGGTCCGACCTCAAAGTGATGGTTTTTGTCTTATCTTATTAAACAGAATATTTTGTATAAGAATCAATTTTCAATAATAAAATAAAGTCTTTACTCTAAAAAAAATTCCCAGAATCCCTTGGCCACTGAAAGGTGCTTACTTCCTCAGCTGTTCTGCCAGCTGCCATCGGCTGCTCTCCAGGTTCTCTGTTCGCTCCTGGTTCATCTTTAACTCCCTCTCCAGCTTGAGCTTCTCCCTCTCACACTTCATTCTGGCTTTCCTCTCCCGTTCAAGGGCACCTTCCAACTGGGAAAAAAAAAAAAGACTGTTTACCCAAAGAAAAGTCAGAGTTTATACCTTATTGAAGGTATCAACATTAAATACTTTCTGGAAAAAGAAAAGTCTGAGAACATTTGTTAAATGGTACATAGAAGCATTTTAGGGCCCACAATAGAACTCAGCAGGCAAAGGTACTTGCCAACAAGTCTGAAGATCTGAGTTGGAGCCCCAGGATCCATGTCCTGGCGGGAAAGAATCAACTCCCATTAAGTTGTAATCTGACTTCTGCATGATTGAAATGTATACACCCCCCCCCCCCGCGCACACACTAAACAAATCAAACAGTGAACATCATTTTAAAGTTTAAAGAGTTAAATAAAAATTACATGCATCAGTAGGTTACCAAAAAAAAAATCTAGAAATCAATGATGGGTAAATGTTTTACGGATTATAAATGATAAGATCTGTCTTAAAGTGGCAAAGAATAGCGAGTGGCCAGTTGTCCATTTGATCACTTCTTGGGAAAGTTGCTTGCCTTACACACATACTGTTGTGGTCTTTATGTATGTTAAGAATAAAACACCTCTACTGGTGCATAATAAAGGGAGTTCACTCTGTTACTGAGCTATCATGGACCTGTTAGGTTAATTAACTAAAATTGAGAGACATGTCTGAAGACAGACTGCCAACTGGTCAGCCCGCTGCTGCTCACCGCATCAACTTGTTGGCCCAGCTTCAGGCTCGTTTTACTCATGTTGCTGAGTTTTTCCTCCTCTATGTGCAGATGATCCTGGGTCTGCTGCTCGGCCTCCTGCGCAACCCTCACTGCTCTGGTAAGTTTGCTGACTTCCTCATTTAAAGAGTGCACTTCCTCAGTCAGGATCCTGACCTGTGGGAAGATGACAGGAGAGTCATCCCTGGAAAGTTGGCTGTAACACCAAGGACGTTTCCCTTTCATAGTCCAAAATATTCATCAGGCATCTAATGTCATCAAGAGCCATTTCCTCTAAATTCAATTTTTCCCACAAAACGGGATCCTTAATCTACCATGGCCACCAAACCCAATATGCAAACTATTTTCCAATCTTATTCTGTATAATAACAATATCACTGGGATCTGGGGGAACATGTGCTACCATGATGCCTCAGTGCCCCCACAGAGTAGCGGTTTCAAGATGGGATGCAACAAACAACAATTGTAAAGGTGGAAGCTGCTGTCTGTCCCACTGGAAAGCACCACAAAACCCATTGCTGGATCATCTGTTAAGTACAGTTTCGTCTTGGAAATGAAGGCTTGTCAAAGGTTTCACTCCAACTCCTCACTAGTCAACCCACAGATAGAAGCACAAATTAAAGACCACTGCGAAAGGAAAAAGTCAACGTCTTTAACTGAAATTAAGGAGATGACTTCAAGTTCAGACTCGTAATCATTGCTAAATCTGGGGATGTAGGCATATCCCAAATTACCTTTTAGCAAAGGTCATCATGTTCATTCTCATTTTAAAAGTGATGCTTAAAGGCCCAATGAAACCAGTTTGCTCTATTAGATTTTTGGAGCAATAATAGTTTATTTGGTACATTAAAAGGGTCCTATAAATTCAAACTAGAAATCTGAGGAGGAAAAATACAGTTCATCAGACCCTTAGATTTTTGCTGATTCTAGCATTCATCACTGAATTTGCAGGCCACTGCGTTAATTAACAGAGCACTTCTGGTATCCAAGAGCCAAGTTTTCCTAACACCACAGGAAAAGGACCTTGTGTTCTGCTGCGCACTTTTCCTTCTCTGACTTGGCCAAGATTGTTTCCAGGTCATAGATTTCCTTCTTCATCTCACAACATTCATCTTCCAGTTTCTGCCCCTTGGCAGTCAGCTCAGAATTTATCTCTTCTTCTTCTTCCACCCTCCTAGACAGCTCCTTGACTCTGTCCTCCAGCTGCATCTTGGATTTAATCAGTGACTCACACTGCTCCTCAGCCTTTGCTAGGGTCTCTTGTTCCTGCCATAAGAAGAAGGCGAATATTATTGCCAACAACTGGAAGTAATTTATCAGCTGGTTGATGAACCTGTTTAACACACAGTAAAGAGATAATTTCCTGCCCTCTGCCCAGGACTTTTGTCTACCTTTCATAGGCAGCTGAAATAGCATTTCCAGGTTCCTAACCCTGTTATTGGGAAGTAAAGATGTTGCTTGTGTATGGAAGAGCCATCTATATTTCAAGCTCATTTAGTATATTAAGTGACCTCATCTAATAGGGCACTTAATAGAAGCCCAGGGACCTAAGAGAATTAGCATGCTTCCAAAAGCAACAAAGTGCACCATATATAAATCAAAGCACCTAGAAGAACTGATATGGACATATAGACTGACAACTGCTTAGAATATTATTTAATAGAGTTCTTTTGTACAACATAATATTTATAACATTGCTATAAATGTCCTGATATATTTTGTTAAGTATGTATTTCTATAAACTGAGCTAAGCAGTACATTTTATTCACAGGCTGATTTTAGAACTCACAAATTTATGAATCATTAACTTTCACTATTAATTCCAATTTTTGCTTCAATGATTCTGCCAGCCGCAAACTCCGCGAGTTATGCATATAAAGCATAAGTCCTGGTTATATTTACTCTCTCAAATGTACTGTCTCCAGATATCACTGTTCCCATTGTTCTCATGTTGTAGATCAAGTGAAATATAGATGAAGAAATGCTAGAACTTTCTATGGATGCTACTAGGGGGAGAACTCATCAACAGTCTTGTCCAGCTGTAACCACTAAAAGCTACAATAATGACTGGTCTGGAGAACTACGTCCAAAAGGTACAATAGTGGCATAAATGTTATGGGAATAACCAACCTCTAAAACTGTGACCTAAAAGAAACCATTCCTTTCATTAGTTAATCCTCTTGGGTATTTCTTTATAGTGAAAGTAAACCCACTGTTACTATCTTCATCTTTCATCTTCAGACCTCACTATCATCCTAACTAAAATGACAGTTTGGGAAATTTATTAACTAACCTTTTATAATATGTAAGTTGTGTCAGTAAAGAAAATACAGAGTAGCATAAAGGTAAAAGTCTAGGTTCATGGATTCTGTATAACTCCTATCTAAAGAACTCCAACTAAACAAACAGGGCTCAAAAGGTCAACATGAAGAATGATAAAACAGTAAATCTGAAACTTTGCTGAAGAATCAAAATATGAGGTCAATTTAGGAAAAAAATGAAAAGTCAAAGTAAATCAAGGAAACTCTCTATATTGAGGAAACACTGAGAACATCTGGTCTTCTCACCACAGGCTGACGTGAAGAACAGCTGTTTTCTGCAGCCCTCTCAGTGTGTGAACAGGACCTGTACCTGTCACCCAGTACGGAAGAAGGAGGTCAACTGGTCACTTCATTAAACACACCAGTGGGACTGGAGAAAGGGGCACCTTGGCAACTTCCTGGGGTTTAACAGTCGGGAGAGCTTATCTTCTGTGCCTATGCTCTCACATAAATAGTCTACTTAATCCTGCTGTAGTATGACTAAGTAATGGATTAAAAAAATCTTTGTCCTTTTTGACCTTTTGTCAATCTGTACTCTTTAAAAATAAATGATGATAGGCTGGGCGGTGGTGGCACACGCCTTCAATCCCAGTACTAGGGAGGCAGAGGCAGGCGGATCTCTGGGAGTTCAAGGCCAGCCTGGTCTATGAGAGCTAGTTCCGGGACAGGCACCAAAACTACAGAGAAACCCTGTCTCGAAAAACCAAAAAAACAAACAAACAAACAAAAAGATGATAAAATATTTCCCACACCTGTCAACACATTATATTTAAAGTTACAACATGACCCCCAGATCAAACTTTATGATGTTTCTATGGAATTTGCTTCCATATGTGTTGGCTATTCACTCCAACTGAGGAGCTCCACTGGCGAGGCCCTGCCCCACCCCAGACTTCTATTAAGTTCCCAGTCCCAGATGCTGGAGAGTGGCCAGGCCCTACTGTACAAGAAAAAAAAAAAAAAAAAAAACACCTATCCCTGAACTTACCCCAAGATCAGGCCACAAAATCCCTCCAATCCTAGGCGGTCCTGGAAAGCCCCCACCCCACCAAGAAACCTTATATATAGGCCTATATAGACAGCTCAGCTCTCTTCAGCTTCTCACCTGAGCAGAGGCAGCCACCCTCCTGGGTTTTTCCCCCCCAATAAGTCTCGTGAATAGGTTTGTTGTGTTGTGACTTTGTTCTGTGTCTTGACTACTGACTGCTTAGGATGCCTTTCCCACCCAAGCGGTAACATTTACAATATATTTTCAACATCACCCATGATGGCCTTTTAAAATGTTTCTCGCTCTTTTGCTTACTCCTCCCTTGCTCAAGTTGAGCTCTTCTGTCTCTCACATTTCTTCAGCTTCCACAGACCAATCTTCCCTCTAAGAGAAGAACTAAAGGCCATGTATGTGGTTTGGAAGAATATTTCCCATAGATAGCCTCATTCATTTGAACACTTGGTTCCCAGTTAGTCGTATTATTTGGGAAGGTTACAGGACCTTTAGTCTGAGACTTTGGGTTTTGGCGTACGACCCCGCTTTCTGCCTTCTCCTTCTGCTTACCGTGTGTGGATGAAATGCGATCAGCCAGCTCCCAAGGGCTAGAATCTCCTCATGGCTCACACTGTCTTTCCCTGAGGTGATGAACTTTATCCCCTATGGAACTATAAACCAAAAACAAACCTTTTCTCCCCAAAGTTGTTCTTGGTCAGACAAGAGGAAAGTAACTAATCCAGCAGTTCTCATCTAGAACTGCTGCACAGTGTGTTTTTTTTTTTTCTTAACAGTATGGATCTTCAAGTGGAATCCAAACAGGGTTTAATAACTGTGGCTATTCTCTGCTAAGTGCTCTGCTAAACCCAGCTCAGAAATGTCAGCTTTGGTCCAAAGTGTTCTTTACGACACAGCCTATGAGTATGCTGGCAAATCACATCCCAAAACAAACTAATAAATTCTCTTTTCCTAAAAGTAATAACTTACATTTGTTTTCACTTTTGGTAGATTTAATAGCAAGAACATCAAAGCCAACTACAAATAATTGTATTTGAACCCAGCATTATCCAACCTAGCACTGTGCTTTCTAAGGAGTTTAATAAAGATAAAATTGCATCCCTGCCCTTACGGGTATTTGAGGTCATGACAATTTAGGGGACTATAGAGAAAGAATCTGAGAGGGAATTGGAAATGATATATGGGCATCAGAAAGGAAATGAAGACTGATGGCATGGCGTGGGATTTTAGAATATAAAATGTGCATGCTACAGGGACTGAAGGAGCTTTAGCAGGGAAGTAGCACGGCTCCTTTAAAATAGTGGTGCTTAGCCCTGGCACAAGCAAGGTCATAGATGCAGGCTCTTTAGATTCACATATCCTCTACTTAGTCAAAACATCTGAGAGTAAGGTCTCTTTGTCATCTCATCTTTTGTTAATTCACTCTTCACAGCTGTGTTTGCTACAATACCAAGGTTGAGAAAGGATCTTTTAAAAAATTTCACTAATTAGAATGGACTTGGACTATAGGAGAGGAAGCAGGAAGACAAAATTGAGAAACTGTGAGATGTTCCTACAGAAAGAAAGCTTTGAAGATCTGTCAGTCTTATGCGAGACCTACTTAAATCCCATCTGCTGGCTTGCTACTGAGTCGTAGTCAGTTAAGATCCAGAGCTTCACTCAGGTGTGGTGGCTCACATCTGTAATCCCTGGACTCGGGAGATCGACATAAGAGGACTTCCATGAGTTCAAGTTCAGCTTGTATCACATAGTAAATTACAGGCCAACATGGGCTATAGAGTAACACTTTGTCTCAAAACAATAGATCTACACCTTCCTGGCCCCATAATAGCTTATGATGATATTATACAGTTTTTATTATAATATTATACAGTATTTCAGTTCCTGTCTGTGAGAGTCTGATGATATTATACATTGAACACCCAGTAGTAATTTCTCTTTTTTTTCTTTTCCACCTCATCCTTCTTCTTGTCTTTCATGTACATGTGTGTGGAATAGACACCCATGTATTCATGAACATGTATGCACATGTGTGTGGAGGTCCGTTGATAGCATGTGTCTTCCTGGATGGATCTCCATTTTATCAGTTTAGGCAGGGTCTCTCAGTTGAACCCAGAGATCAAGGATCCACTAAGCTAACTAGTCTGTGTGCCCCAGAGATTTCCCATCTTAGTGTTCTGAATGCTGGGGTTATTCCACTTGCCAGGCTTTTTCATGGGTTGTGGGTCTGTAAACCCACAGTTGCCAAAGCAAGTGCTTTATCTACTGAGTGTCTCTCCAGCTCAGGCTTACGCCTTCTTCTAAGACATCCTGCCAATGAAATTACTTCATTTTGATGCAAGGTTTCTCTTTACATGTTTCCACAGTCTCAGCTTAATAAAATGTACAGTATTTTTAAAAAGCTAGTGCATGCTTCTCTTACTCCAGTCAGCAATGTCTTTGGAACAGGTCAAATTTAAAGCTAGCTATAGAGAACAGGTGGCAGGAGCACTCACAGCCTTCAGCTTTACAAGTAGATCATTCTTTTCTTGAACAAGGGAGACTTGCTTTGTTTTCAGTTCCTCCCTCTGAGATTCCAAATTCTCCAAAGCTTTCTGTAGTTGTGCACATTCCTCCTTCAGTCCAGCTATCTCCTCTCCACCTCCCACAGAATTAGCAAGAGGCTTGATCTTGAAGAAGAGCCTCATCCAGGGCCAGTTCTTCACAGCCATAAAAGCTCTTATGTTCTCTTGAATTAAAACAAGAGCATCCCTAAAATATGAGTGAAAAAGGAGAAAGACATTAAGGCATACTAATAAAAACAGGAAGAAGAAGCTGGGCAGGTGGCGCATTCCTTTAATCCCAGCACTCAGGAGGCAGAGGTGAGGCAAGCGAATCTCTGTGAGTTCAAGGCCAGCCTGGGCTACAAGAGCTAGTTCCGGGACAAGCTCCAAAGCTACAGAGAAACCCTGTCTCAAAAAAACAAACAAGAAATCCCATGAAAAATAATGGCAATACAATTATAAATAAGACCACCACAAAAGATTCCAAAGAATCATAAAGGGTTATAAAAGACTACTATGGACATTTATAAACCAAAAATGTGATAGGCTAGAAGAACTCTATTTATTACTAGACACATAATCAACAAAGTTAGGTAGCTGGAGTATGCTACTAAACAGTAACTCCTGCATCTTCTCTCTTTCCATGTGAGAACAGCATTTTTTATAGTAGGCTACTTATCATGTACTTACCTAGATTCATGATCCGAGACAACAAAGCCTATTATGGACTGAAGCATCTGGAACTGTGTGCTAAAATAAATCTTTCCTCTTTATAACTTAATTAGCCCAAGTAGCTTGACACATGTCATACATATGGAAAATTTGTGACATGGCCAGAAATGCAATATGAAGGGACTCTATTAAATTCTTTTTTTTAAGAGGAAATAAAAATAGTTATTCCAGGAAAAGTCAGTGAGATAAAAGAGCATTTAGTAAGGTTAAGAAAATAATTCTTTGGGGGTTTCCATATGACTTTTTATTAGCCTTTGTTGCTATTTGTCCCTCCCATTTCCCCTCCACCCTACCCTTGGATCCCCTGCCCATTTAACCCTCATCAGAGAAACTTCTTGCAGTGGACAGAAGACCCACAATAGAGACCCACAATTCAGCAATGTGCATAAGGTAAGAGAGTCCTAAGTGCAATGTCTTTATCAAGCCCCTCCCCTTAAGCCTCGGGGATCTATACACAAGAGGAGGCTGAAATATTGTTAAGAGCCAGAGGTGGTGGAGGACTCCAAGAAAACAGCTTTATCCATACACAACAGAACTGATGTACATATGAACTTAGAGAGACCGTGACAACACGCAAAAGACCAGCCCAAGTTCAAACCAGTACTACTAACAAATCATAAATTAGGTTTTAAAATTAATTTAACTTTTTCACACATTTTATCATATCATTGCCCCTCCCTCAACTTCTCCCAGAACCATGCCAATCAACTTCATACTTTTTCTCTCTCTTAGAAAGAAAATAAATTTTGATCTGAATGACAATTTCCATAAAAAGAAAGATGTCACTAAAAATAAGTCTTGGAACCAGAGAAATTTTTCAGTAAAACCAAAATTAAAACTGATTAGCTTCAGCTACACACTAAGCTAAAGATAAGGAAAGCCTTGTAAAGTTGAAGGTAGGTCTTTTGAAGTAAGACCATTTTATATTTCTTTAAAACAATTAAAAAGAATGAATAAAGCTCAAGAAATCTATGACATGCCACTAAGTGAAGAACACTCAGATCCAGGAAGCTTGAAGGAGCAAGAAAACTCAACTAAAGAAGGTACGCTCATAACTGTTCAGTAACACAGGGGTGGGAAGAGAACAGCAGAGTCATGCAGACTGGAAATACATGAGAAGGTTGTAAACTTGTACATCCAGATGTTTGCAAACTTTCTTTAAACTCAAGCTTACAGAAGGTCCTAGAAGCAAAGAGTTTCTGCTCTGTATAACTACAGTTTGCAGGGCGAACTTAGATTCTTATTATCTAGTATCAAAGGCTTTGACATCAAAATAGGGACAAAAGGCAATAACCATATTTTAGCCCCCAAAATTACATCATATCTAACAATGCACCCAATAGAACTGACAGAAATATTTAAGAATTTAATTCTACTTCCACGATAAATGAATGTAGCCTCTGACAGAGTGGTTTATCTTCAAAAGTGTAGAAACCACGGTCTGAAAAGTGTCTTTGGAATACAGACCTTAATTAAGACTAAATTTGAGGTTATTCCCACCGTATATATAATGAGAGTTTAAACAAGTGCAACCAGCACAGTTACACAGTTAATGAATCACAGAAAAGAGAAAAATAAAAATAATCCTATTTATAATTGCATAATAAAATAAATTACCTCACAATAAATAAGACCTGGAGGTAAAAAATATCTGTATAAAGAAAAAAATTAATGAAAGGAAATGAAGAAGAGCCAAATACATGGAGAAAAATTCATGCTTGTAAATTTAAAAACTATTGCAGCATCATTTTTGATTGGGTATTTATAGTCCATAGCAATGGAAGGCGGAAGCAGAAGTGTGAGCTGGGTGGGTGGGTGGTGATGTCTTTGTAGGCAGGAAAAAGAGGGTCTAGGGCTTTGGTACCTGTGGTACCATTCATGCTGAATCTTCTCTCCTCAGTTAAACCTCTTTAAAAAACAAGCCCAAACAGACCCTTTCCTTCATTAAACTGATTTTTTTCTCAGATATTTAATCACAACAATAAGAAAAGTAAGAAATGTGCCGACTTCTGAGAATATATGTATGTGTGTATATATGGATATATATTTATATATAAGTGTGTATATGTACTCTATGTATATATATGTTATATATAATACATACAGTATATATTGTAATCTAGACAGTTTTGAATTCCTAATCCTTTTGCCACCATTTCCCAAGTGTTGAATTACAGGCATGCAGCACCATACCTCGTTAAATATAGTTTATCTTAAATGCTCTCAACACACACAAAATATATCTATATAAGGTGATAAAGTAATTACCCTGATTGCAGCAATCATTACACAACATTCATATATATGAAAACTCAGATTGTATACCATAAACATAATTTTGTCAATTAAACTTCAAAAACACTGGGAAAAGGTAAAGAATAAGCCAAAAACAAATTGAAAAAACAAAAATGAGATAACAAATTAATAAAGTTGAGGGGGAAAAATGTAATAAAAATTATCCAGCTCATACACTAAATAAATATGCACATAACATAAAAGAAAGAAAGCAAAATAAACAATACTAGGTATAATGGCCTAGGAATTAATAAGGATTATTTTCTATGAGTAAACTTGTAGACATAGTAAATGCTTAACATTTACAATTAAGTAATACGTAATGTAAACAAATAATTTGTAATATTAAATTATACATATTTAGTAAATAATTTGACTCCAGAAGAAAAATATAATTTGTCTAGACACATTAAATTTATGAAATCCATCAAAAAATATCAAATTCAGGCTATTATATAGGGAAATGTACCACAAAGAGTCATTGGCTAGATAATTGGAGTAAAATATTTCATGTATGCAATGAGAAAACAGTCAATAATTCTTTTACAGGGTTAAAATGATATTTGTCTAAAACTATACAGCAGAAATTAAATGAAATTTTAGACCAGTCAATTTATTTTTAAAAAACTCATTGTAATATTATTACAAAAATGCATCAATATCAATAAAAGTAGGTTCTGTGTTTCAAAGATCTACTATTTAATGCATTTATAGGTTAATTTAGAAATATTATATATTGATACAAATAAAAAAATTAATAGGTTCATTATTTTAAATAAAAGCTTTAAAAAAGAAAATGGAAGGAGTGGGAATACTCTCTAAAGAATACATCAAAAACTTTAGACTACAAAAAGTATCATCCTTTAAATGGAAATGATAGCTTTTGCCAATGTCAGAAATATATCAAAATCTAAAGTACCACATTTTCATGAAAGTATTCAACAAGAGGAATCTCATGGACCACGGGTGAGTAGTAAATCAGAAAACAATATCCTGCAAAGTTAAAATTGTGTGCAGCATAAAATTCTGAGGAACCACCCATGCCTGTGCTTTGACACTAACTTATCAGAGAATGGAACATTTGGAGTTAATTCATCTTCAAGAAACTCTTACATATAAGAATGAGGACCTAGGACTTACCACAGGGCAGGGAACCCTGACGGCTCTTTGGACTGGAGAGGGAAGGGGAGAGGAGTGGGGGGAAGGGGAGAAGGGTGGGAGGAAGGGGGAGAAGGGTGGGAGGAGGGGGAGGGAAATGGGAGGCTGGGAGGAGGAGGAAACGTTTTTTTTTTCTCCTTTTCTCAATAAAAAAAAGTTAAAAAAAAGAATGAGGGAAATATCATTAAAATGTCACTAGAAAACTATAACATATTGGAACAGTGATATTTTAAATAGCAAAAATTTAGTTTATGGGGAAAAGAAATACGTGGTGTAATATTTAAGCAATGGGCTACTGTACAACAATTAAACTCAGTGATCTAGCCCTATACTCATCAATACTGATATATTTTAAAAAAAGATTTTTAAACGTCATAAAGAATATTATTCACATGAAGTAAGCATGAAAAACCATCAAACATTTAAGGACACATATATATCACCTAAGACTAGACAGAGAAAAACCTTTATTAAGACAGGCATAGTGGTGCACTATGGGAGCCCACAGATGTGATTCCTGTTCCACCTTAACTAAAGGTCGAGACTTTGTGCTTATTTTTACTCTTTCAAAGTTGTTGACAACAGGTATGGCTACAAACAAGAAATCCTGACTTAGGGTGTGGTCACTTGGTGTTTTGGACATTAAGATGGCCCATAGAGGTGGATCTGCTTCACCCTGACCAAAGGTCAGAGAATTCAAGCATATTCCTGCTCCTTCATTTTTTATTTTTGTTAAATTTATTTTTTAAACAATCTTTTCTCATTTTACATATTTATCCCAGTTCCTACTCCCTTTCCTCCTCCCACTCTCCCCCATCCACTCCTCAGAACAGATAAGACCTTCCAAGGGCAGTCAACAAAATCTGACACATCCCTTTGAGGGAGGACCAAGTCGTCCCCACCATACCTAGACTGAGCAAGGCATCCTTCCAAAAAGAATGAGCTCCAAAACAACAGTTCAAGCACTAGGGATAAGTCCTGGTCCCACTGCCAGCGGCCCCACAGACTGCCCAAGTCACACAACTGTCACCCACATTCAATGGGCATAGTTTGGTCCTATGAGGGTTCCCCCACTATTCTAAAACCAGAGGTTTGACATAGGGAGTGGCTGCCTACAGGATACTTGGTATAAGGTATATTCACTGCATATCCTGCCCAAAACATCAAATGATTAACTCAGAAAATAGTGACTTGATATTTTCGGTATTAAAGCAGGTAATGGTTCTGGTTGTCCTTTGTGTCGTATTAAAGCAATCTTTTGCCCTCGTCCTGCCCCTTTTGTTTAGGGTATATAAACACATGGAAAATAAATGCAGGTAGATTCAGTATTCAGTATTCACTGAGTTACCCTCCTGGTACTATCCTATGTGTCTGTATTTCTTTTGTATCTCTGTCTACTCTCTTTAACATTTCTAATCCACACACACCTACCCTAGAATGCACAAACTTGTTGAGGCTGGATCCCGACAGTGCACACCTTTAATTCCAGCATTTGTGTGACAGAGGCGGGTAAATCCCTGGTTTTGAGGCCAGCCTGGTCCACAGAGCAAGTTCCAGGATGGACAGCTGAGGGCTATATAGAGAAAGCTTCTCTCAAAAAAAACAAGACAAAATAAACAAACAAAAACAACAAAAAGAGATCTGTATATCTAGTAAAGGATGAGAACATATTTTTATATTATTTACACATTTACACACGTGACAAAAATAATTAACACCAATTCAGGATCTGGAGAAAATTAGATTTGTATCAAGGGAAAAGTACAAAGGACTTCAGTGGTGCTAGTTAATAATTTTTAAATTGTCAGCAATTATATAAAAATGTTAAGAATTAATATTCCTTGATTATGGTGTCATGAGAATTCACTATATTAGTATCTACATTTTATGATGTTTATATAATTTACAGTAACATTTGATAAATGATTTAGAAAATAGATTTTAATGGCCTCATTTTAGAAATAAAGGAAGTAAATATGAAAAAAAGTAACAGCTTTACATAAGTATGTATAACTGGAACCAGGGGTGGTAGTACACATCTGAGAGCCCAGCATTCTCAAGATGTAGAGACAGATCATTGGAAGTTCAAGGTCAGCCTGGGCTAATAGCACCCTCTCTCAAACAAAAATAACAGAAACAAACAAACAAAACCCAGAAGACATGTCTTTTACTAACAAATCTCCTGTGCTACACTGATTGCTATAAAAGACTCACAAAAGATCCTCAAGAGTTAAAATTTCTCTTTTTTTTTTCGTGGTCTTGATCATTTTTTGGACAAACAGAATTAACAAAATGTCACTCAAGGAACTTATACCAAACCTTGTGGGCTTTCCTCTAGAAGTTAAACTATGCCAAGAAAAAATATTACCAATACAAAATTTCTTGTTCCTGGTCTGCTTATTTAAATATTTTATTAGCACCAGGTGGTGATAATTTCAGCACTGCAGATCTCTCTATGCTCGAGAACAACCTGGTCTATAGAACAAGTTCCAGGACAGGCTCCAAAGCTATACAGAGAAACCCTTTATTGAAAACATAAAATCAAAAACAAACAAACAAAAAGGATTTTATTCGTTTGCTTTCCATGGTTCAACTAAAACTTTAGAAAAAAATAACAAGTTGTCCAAATGTAGTTATAAATGTTTGTATTGAACTTACCTGAAATGTAATAAGAAAATAAGGGAGGTATAATTGTAAGTCATTAGGACCCACAGTTGTTCAGCCAGAGGAAGAAACAGTGGCCAGAGCACACATGCATGCATGCATGCACACCCACACGATATGACTATACCTCTTCAAAGTTAGCTTTAGGATATGTGTTGACAATCTTTTTTAAACAAATTTTTAAATTAAAATATAATGGCATCATTTCTCACCTTCTTTTTCCTCCCTCCAACCACTCTCATATCCTCCCTCATTCTCTCTCTCTCTCAAGCTGAATATCTCTTTTTCTTTGGTTTTACATATACATACGCATAAATATATAAATGAAGCCTGCTGCATCCATTTGTATATGTAGGACTTCAGAGCTGACTACTTTGTATTGGATATCCAATTAGAGTGATTATCTCTGGGAAAGGCTACCTTCCCCCCCCCCCCTTAATTTGTTGCCTGTAGGTCTTTAAGTAGGGTGGGACCTCCGAAGACTTCCCCTTTTCCGTGTCAACATGTCTGTCAACGATGCCATTGTTCAAGTCTTATTTAGGTGTGTGTCAATCTTTTCAGGTGTGCTACTGCCACAATGGCCAAACACATCACCTTTCAATATCATAATTCTAAATTGTAATTCTTCCCAAAGAGAAGATGAGAAGAAACAGGAAGGCCCTTTATACTGCCTTTTCTCTATGCAGATATTAAGAAATTGTCAAGACTCAAGACTAAGGAAGCTAGTCTCTATTCCACAGTCTATTGTGGGGCAATGAAATAAAATCACATTGGTCAAGATATGAATTGCTCTCGAGGTGGGAGAGTACCATAGAGAATTAGTACCTTTCTTCTAGAATCTTCTGGAATGAAATACGCATCAGCTTTCCCCGTGCTCTGGCTTGAAATAAGGTGAAGAGTTTAGATATCTTTTCATCTCTCCTTTCTTCCAACTGATCCAGAATGCTAAGTTTAAAAAACACCTAAGGAAGTAAGCCAGGTACAGTTTTCACACATCAGATAAATCCAGTAGCATCTGAATGATGCCATGCACAACTGAAGCATCCATGGGACAACTTTATCAATCCTACGTCTTTGTACAGGTTTTATTCATTGTGTAAAATTTACATCCTAGGGAAGTTAACTTTATAAATCTAAAGGTTATAAAAGACATTTTATATTGGACATATTGGCAGCCTAATCATTTGTTCTCTATTCCCCCTTGATTAATAATATTGTTTAAGGAACATGATCTAAGCTTTACAGATACACAGCATTGCAAAGGACTTGGCAGGGTTCACAGCTATCTCTGTAAAGGATAAGGTCAGAAACATTTTGGGTATGGTGGGTCATAAATGGTTGTGTTGAATATTTGTTTGCTTTTCTAAATAATTTTTTAAATATAAAATGACTTTAGCTAGCTGCCTAAGGTTTCATTTTATTTTCAATATGTTTTTAATAGAAGTAAAATGAAAACACTTCTCCCTTTCCTTCCAGCTTCCATCCTTTGAATCCTTGCCACATTTCCTATCCAAGTCAATAGCATATTTTTCTTTTGTTATACTCTCTGTGGGGGGCATCTATCTCTATCTCCCTCTTCTTTCTGTGTGTGTGTGTGTATTTACGTGTGTGCCACATGCATGCACAGACACACAAATATATATAAACACAACTTCCTGAGTCCATTTTTCTTATTTGTGTATATGTTGTTTCAAAGTACACCTCAATCTACATTGGACAACCAATAAGGGTGCTCATCCCTAAGAGAGGCTAATTCCCCTTCTGGCAATCATTAGCTGCATGTGGTTCTTTGGGTAGAAGTGGAACCCATAAAATTATCTCGTCCTTGTTAACATGTCCATTGACAATGCTATTCCCAGGAATGGAATAGTAATTTCCTTCAACCAATGAGGAAACAGTGAAAGTGTGGTACCTATACACAATGGAATACTATTCTGCTATCACAAAATAAATGAAATCATGAAATTTGTAGCTAAATGGGTGGAGCTAGTAAAGACTATATTGAGTGAGGTAACCCAGATCAGAAAGACAAAAGCTGAATATCCTCTCTTATCTGTGATTCCTGCCTCCATAGTCTCAGATGTGAATTTACAACATGGAGTAACCACAGAAACCATGAAAGCATAAAGGGACCCTGGGAATAGGTGGAAGAGAAATAACAGGACACTGGAAGTAATTTTTAAATACCCATGTTGTAGGTGAAGCCCACTCATTCATTCCCAGCTGCCCAGACCTGAAATAATCACTCAGAAATTATATCATTTGAATCACTGCTTGGCCAAGAGCTTAAGTTTTTATTTATTTATTTATTAAAGATTTCTGTCTCTTCCCCACCACCGCCCCCCATTCCCCTCCCCCACCCCCAATCAAATTCCCTTCCCTCATCAGCCCAAAGAGCAATCAGGGTTCCCTGCCCTGTGGGAAATCCAAGGACCACCCACCTCCATCCAGGTCTAGTAAGGTGAGCATCCAAACTGCCTAGGCTCCCACGAAGCCAGTATTTTTTTTTTTTTTAGCTATCTCTTATATCCTGAACTAATCCATCTCCATTTATCTGTGTATCGCCACATGGCTGTGGCTTACTGGGTAAAGTTCCGTCCAACATCTGGTGTCTGTCTCTGGTGGGGCCACATGGCCTCTCCTGATTCCGCCAACTCTCTCCCTATATATCTCTTCCAGCCTGGCTAAACTCTGTTAAGCCATTAGCCGAAAGCAGCTGCTTTACTCATTAACCAATAAAAGCAACACATATGCAGAAGGACCTCCCACACCACCATATGGTTGTTGCATCTTAGTTTACTGACCCACGCACTAGAAGATAATTTTGCTCTACATATGAGAAACTTGGCATTTCCCAAGAATAATCAATAAGAACCAAGGTGAGGTGATAAGCTGCCTAAGATGCAACTTTCATCAAGGAATGCATGTGGCCATTCTTAAAGGCACCTTGAGCAACTGTGAAGGTGTATCTCTGCTCAAAATACGCCCAGTCTTGTCATGAGTCCCTCGCACTTTCATTTTCCCATTCACAAGCAAAAGCCTCCTTAATATATATGACTTGGGATTCTCACTAGCTCACATGAGCTTGAGTCCTGATGAGTGGCATATGGCAAAAACAATGAAATATAAGGGGGAAAAACACAAATGCTAAACATTAATTTCTAAATACTGAAAATAAAGAAACATTCATAAAACTATATTGCAAGGTTAGGCTGGTTGCAGACACTTATAATCCTAGCAACTCAAAAGACTGAGGTTGAAGAATAATGAGGCAAGCTCAGGAAGGATGGATATACAGAAAGTAGACAGACAGATCTTCACCCTGTTTTTTCACACTCTCTTTCAAAATGTCGGCCTCACATGGATGTCATTAAGGAAAACTACCAGAAAATATCAAGCCTAGTAACCAGAAATTTCCAGGAATATGTGGGTTTCTTGGGTAAAGTAGAATTTAATCATATTTAAGAAAATTGGTTGTGGTTTCTAATTGAAATTTAAATTACTAAATTATTCAAGTAATAATTATTTTGCAATTCAGCACACTTCATAAAGCATTTCACGTGTGCAAGCAGTTATCTCTGGGAGCCTGGTTCACATTCTCTTACTCTGTTTTCTAGCACAGAAAGGTCAATTCAGAATTTTACATACTGGCCTGAATTTTGTTAGGCAATTAGCTATAAAAATTTAAATGCAAGATGGAGTGTAATTCAAAAAGGAAGTGTTTGACTAGACTGTGCACGGCCCTAGATTTAACCCTCAATACTGAAATAAATGATGTAAATAGAATCTAGACTTGTTTAAGTAACAATGGACTTTCTTTCTCAAGCAGAATTCAAGTCTCCGTGATGAACTGGCCTCTATCTGTAATATTTCCGGTCACAAGAACTGAAAAACTTATTTAACAATTAAGCATTTACCAATATTTTAAATTTTATGCTTTTCGCTCCCACTTCCCTCCCAAATGCATTGACGTTTCTGGGTTACCTTGGTGACTCCACACTGGTACTGGGAATGCTCTATCGCCAAGAAGCCAAGTATTTCTTCAGCTGCTTTCCTGCCGCTCAAAAACTCACTCTTTGAAAATATCCGTGGGTTTAGAATGCAGTACCTATTTTGAAATGGAACCAGAGGATCATATGACACAAACAAAGAGTACTCTGAAGGGAAAGCTAGAGCAGACCTCTAGCTTCCCTTTCGATCTGCTCGACTCTTAACACAACTCCTGGCAGCAACAGTGAAGATGCTATCAGCAATTGGTCCAATGGGTCAGATTATATTCTCTACAGTGTTATAATTATCAAGTTAATTTTACTGGGAAAATCGGGACAGAGGAGGAAAAGGGGGAACATGTGAGTAGTTCTAGTATGTGGACAGAGAAACTGAGAGGTTGACTTGACTTTGCCAAAGCTTTTCACTCTGATGATGAACTGTAGACATGTGCCTTTCAGTTCCTAGACAGGTGCTCTTTCACATTTTTCTTGAATTGTCTTGATAAACTATAATTTTCACTTTTCAAATTCAGGACGTGGAAAGCAAAGATGCCTCCCCTGCCTCCTACCACCTACACATTACGGAATCCTTTTTTCACTGTTGCTAAAAATGCAACAGCTTCATTGGGTGACAGCTACCATGAAGCACACAGATTTCAGAGATGTACTCCAGGCTTTCCAACTTTCTTCCATATATGTTTCTTCTGTATGTTGGTCTAATATCCACTGATGGAGACTTAAGGGCACTACATAGCTATTGAATTTAAGAACAAATAATATGGAGCTCTCTCAGCATGTGTCTCATCACCACAAAAACATATCAATTTATGGAATGGAGTACACCAAGCAAATAAATAGTACATGCATAAACACTCAATACAGAGGAAACAGAAGAGACTGCTTCAGACTTTCTGAACTTCGAATGTTTGTCTACCTTTGCTTAAAATCATCATATAGCATCCGACTTGGAAACCCTTCACGGCATGCTCTAATCCCTTCCAAGACACCATTACTACGTAGCTGCTGGAGAACCAAGAAAGGGTCCAATACACCTGAAAGAGAGGGACACAAGGACTCAACATTCTCAAACATCCATCACAGCAGATACTATCTTTATTGTTGCACCTTGGTAGTAAAAGAAAGATTGAATTCAGTATGAAACACATGTGTTCATAGGTGCTCACTAACTTCCAGCCTCACTTGTCCTACTAGAAAGGATTCTACAGATATGATTTACCTAGAATCCTTTTTAATGTAGAACAAACTGGTAGATAAGACTTTGTAGGCACATTCTCCTGGAAAATGAAAAAAAAAATCATGTATTTTGCTGTGTGCAAATGACTGACATCAGATACATTTGCCAACTGAAAGCAGCTAGAGAAACTAATGAGGGCTCAAGTGGGCTGCCATTTCCAGTAGGAGATGGAGAGACTACAAAATGGGGAAGGTAGTAGAAAGAAAGAAGGTGGACCAACCACAAAATTCTATCTGCATTATGCCTAGAGTGGATTTGCCCACATTCAGGCCTTCTTTCCTCCCTCTTCTGCTATAGAGTGGAGGACAGCAAGCAAACAAACAGTATGTACATAAACACTCAACACAGAGGAGCACATCAGGCTGCTTCAGACTTTCTGAACCTCAAACGATGTCTGCCTTGCTTAAAGTCATCATATAGCATCTGACCTCTAAACCTTTCACTCTAAACCCTTCCAAGACACCATTACAACACAGCTGCTGGAGAACCAATTCTGTTACCAATTCAATTCCCTTATTCTGATGTCAATATCTACATTTATTCTATAGTGCAGTATTCTGTCACCACTTTGTTCAACAAAAGCAGCCCTTCTATAGCTGTCAGGAGGAATCTCTGGTGGAAGCCTTTGAAAAACCATCCAAGAAGCCAGTGTATCTGCCCTTCATCAAGTACTCTGGAAAAAGCCAAGGACCACTCCTTTCACAAAGGCTTGCTGTGTTTCTAACTATGTCGCAAACCACAGACATAAGCTAAACCCTATGTCTATACTCCAATCCTTCTATGTACAGGACGAGATCTTTTATAACAAGAGGGATTAGAAGATTCTGACACTTTAAGATGAAATCCACTCATTCCCTTCATTACATATTAAAGATTGTTTTAAAGCATGAAGCTTTTGTTTTGAAAACTTGCTGAAATTTGCATTGATTCCATTGAAGTCATCTTATAATAGGATAAGTGTTCCAAATGTCAGAGGTGACTAATTGTGTTCTTTGCGAGACTGAAGCAGGACACTTAGATGCATTCAGAATCCTAGTCAAGGTCTGGGAATGTAGCAAAGATAGCATCTTTGACTAGCTTGCATAAAGTCTTGTGTTATTCTAGTCCTAATAACATGACACACACACACACACAAATAAAAACAAAGAACTCAATTTATAAGAAAAAATGAAGTTATATATGTGTGTATATACACAAATAAACATGTAATGTTGAAATGTCTCCCTTATAAAAATTCTAATAACAACATTACTTGGCATCACAGTCTCCCTAATTAGGTCCCAGTCTGTCAAGATTGGGTTCGTAATTACAGTAAATTAATAAGAGCAAAAAATAGTACAGAGCCACACAGATCATAATCTTCACAATTAGAGTATGAATTCCAAGGATGCTTGATGGTCTGAAGACATAGTACTTGTCATATGGGCTCCTGTAAGTCTGCACAACTCGAACTAAAGCTCTTGGATACTGATATTCCAAAGAGTTGACTGAAACTTTTGAACTGTGATCTAAGAAATGGGATCCAGAGAATTAAATTTGGCCAAGTAGTTTTGAAAATGGGAAAATGAGCATTGTCCTCTCATCAGCTTCTTGATGTCATTAATTCATTGCAAAAGTGTCTACCATCAAGATATACATAACTAAGGAAATGGGCATACAAAGAGAAGATACTAATTTTGGAAAGATTACTAGAGAAAATGTTTAACATTTTCTGAAATGATCTTCATGGTCAATTTAGATTATGTAAACCAAATATTATTCATGTGCCAAAATATCATCCTGACTGATTATTCAATCTATTTAAGATTATTTTCTCTTTTTAATGAATGAAATAGAAGTGAAGCACCCATGTTTTCACCTAAAATTCAAAGATCAATTCATTTAGAGCCGACTTTAGGAAGTCTTTCTGTGTGGCCACCTAAAACTGATTTCACAGCAGCCTGGGAAAGGTTCCAGAGACATCGAATTTGACTTCCTTTCATTTTTCTATATGGAAATCTACTTTTCTATAGAGTAAAGAGCAAATAATTCTTTAAAGTACATTCAACAAGGCTGAATGAACTAAGATATATTTCCTACTGCAAATTGTAAAAACGTCTAGTTCTTACCTGGCATTTTGTTCATATTTGGATTTATACATCTCACAAAATGAGGTGTTGTTGATTTCAAATCTGTCATCAATTTATTTATGTTTTCCTAAAATAAAAGCCATAATAAACACAAAATCACTTTGCAAGCTGCAAAAGAACTTTAGAAAGTCTAAATCTGTCAGCTGAATCTGATATTCAACAAAAGCACCAACAGGGAGACAATGAATTCAACATTTTTACATGCTTACCAAACACATTATTTTCTTTCCTGTGGCAAGTCAATACTTACCTGACAGTCACGGTGCTGTTTTGAGTCATTTCCACCTACTTTGAATTTGAATTCAGTAACTTTGAAGCTGAGTGAAAAAGGTTGCTTATCATTTCTTCAGTTTTCTATCTTTAAAGCCTTTTTTTTAGATCAAATTGTACAGAATCACAATCTGAGATGATTTAAAACATTTAAGAATAAAGGGAACAGGATAGAGAACAGAAAAAAAGGGAATGGTGTGAATTCAGCCTCAGGTTTGACTCCACACACTCAGTGTACCACAGTGGTCCTCTCTAAAAGCAGAACAGAGCCAAAGTCTGGAGAGGTGGACAATGATGTGCCTTAGCTTCTTATTGCCTGGGGGCAGCTCTACCCACTGGGAGCCTTTATGAGCCAACAGTCACACCAGCCAGAGGACTAGAACAGGCTGACAAATGGAACCTAGTCAGGACACCACTAGTGACTTCTAAAGCCATTCACAATAACAAGATGGCTTTATCCACACGTTAGTGGCTTTATGTAAGGCTGAAGAAGTGGCTCTCCGTGTAAACATACTTGCCCTGGAAGCCTACTTACCTAAATTTGATACCCAAGGCCCACATAAAGGTGGAAGGGGACTGAGCTCACAAAGCTGCTCTCAGACTTCCCATGACTGCTATGAAATGCGTGCTCACACATCACACACATGCACACTAGTAAGGATTAATTAATTTTAAAATGTACGTTACTTTATGCAGAGAGGAAATCAATTGGAATGATGCTCCTTTCCTGCGGGCCTTCTCACCAAACTGTGTAGCTTAAAAAGAAAAAGAAAAAATGGTTTAAAAATTTCATTTTCCATAATATACAGTGTTGTCATCATGTTGATAAAAACAAATTTATCCAAGTTTTAAAACATGACAGTATGTACCAAAAAGCTTTGAGAATACATACATCCTTCAAAAAAATGCCTAAAGTGCTTCTCCCTAAAGAAATAATCAGAAAGCTATATAAAGATACTCACGCAAATATTATCTAGTCACTGTGGAAAAATTTGGGCAAAAGAGAAATTAAGAAAAGTCTATTAAAAAACATTAACTTATGAATAAACATGCATACAGTAAAATGAATACTCTAGCTTTAAAATAATTTATGTAGATAATATAACAAATATGGAAAAATTTTAGTTTTATTTTAAGAGAAGAAGTTACAGAACGTCTATTTTGAATATCATTATCTTGAGTGTGTATGCCTAGGTTTAAGCACAGTTAGGTTATAAGTGATTGCAAATGAAGAATCTTGGGAGACATGCAAACGAAATATTACTACTAGTCACTCCTGTATGATATGATAGGCCTTTTTATGTTTATCTTTTTAGTTTACCTGTGTTGACTGTTTATGGCAACACCCACATGCTTTGCTTTCAAGGTTTATGAAAAAAGCAAATCTATTCCCCATTCTTTATTATTGAAGTAAAAGAATTTACACTAAGTCAAATATCCTGTAAACAGCTGTGCAGTCCCGATTCACTCAGATGTATAACAGCAGAAAGGACAAAAGCCATGGGCAATTCGGAAACTGCAGGATAGATATCAGTACAGAAAACTAAAACACATATTTTATGAACTTGAATAGTAACTTTATAGAGAACATGTCATGAAATTTAATCATGAATGTCCTTTTGGGAGGCTCAAGTCCTCTAAGTGGATTACATGATTTATGTGTAATTCCCCACCTTTGAATAGGGAATACAATTACCTGACATTTCATTTTTAAGCTATAACTCTGATCTAAAAATCTATCAGTTTGCCAAGAGAAAGTATAGCTATTGTGGACTACTTAATGTGAGAATGAGTTAGAATTTTAGAAGGAATTATTTATAAGAAGTGCTAGAGTAAATTTTTTTAAACATAGTTCTTTCCTTCTGTGTGCTAAGAATACAGTACACCTTGAAGACAGAAACTCCAAATCCCTTCCCAACTGTCTGGCCATCCCTGCTCTGATTCTCCTATGTGTGGTCAGGAAACCACTTCCTAAATATAACCCAAGTAGCACAGACACTAAGAGAAACAATTAATAAATGTGACCTCCTAAAACTGAAAAGTTTCTGTAAATCAAAGGACACGGTCAACAAGACAAAATGGCAGCCTACAAATGGGAAAAGATCTTCACCAACCCCACATCACACAGAGGTCTGATCTCCAAAATATACAAAGAACTCATGAAATTGATTGTCAAAAAAAACAAATAATCCAATAAAAAATGGAGTACAGACCTAAACAGAGAACTCTCAACAGAGGAATCTAAAATGGCTGAAAGACACTTAAGGAAATGCTCAACATCCTTAGTCATCAAAGAAATACAAATCAAAACAACTCTGAGATTCCATCTTACACCTGTAAGAATGACCAAGATCAAAAACACTGATGACAACTTATGCTGGAGAGGTTGTGGGGTAAAGGGAACACTCCTGCATTGCTGGTGGGAGTGCAAGCTGAAACAGCCCCTTTGGATGTCAGTGTGGTGATTTCTCAGAAAATTAGGAAAGAACCTTCTTCCAAACCCAGCAATACCACTTTGGGGTATACACCCAAAGGATGCTCAATTGTACCACAAGGACATATGCTCAATTATGTGCATATCAGCATTGTTTGTCATAGCCAGAACCTGTAAACAACTTAATGCTCCTCGACCTAACAATGGATAAGGAAAATGTGGTGTATTTACACAATGGAGTACTACACAGCAGAAAAAAATGATGACATCTTGAATTTTGTAGGCAAATGGAAGGAGCTAGAAAACATCATATTGAGTGATGTAACCCAGAACCAGAAAGACAAATATCATATCTACTCACTCCTAAGTTGCTAAGTTTTTTTAATGCAAAACAAAGAAAAGCAGCCTACAATTCACAACCCTCGAGAACCTAGACAACAATGAGGACCCTAAGAGAGACATATATGGATCTAATCTATACCGGAAATAGAAAAAGACAAGATCTCCTGAGTAAATTGGGAGCATGGGGACCATGGGAGAGAGTTGAAGGATAGGGGAGAGGCAAGGAGGGGAGGAAAGAAAAATGTATAGCTCAATAAAATAAGAAAAAAGAAGTGTAAATTATATGGCCACTGCCTCACCAACTCAGGCACAATAGAAGACACAGACCAAAGGGGGACACAGTACTTGTGCCAGTTGTAAGAAGTCTGGGATCAGTCACTGTCAAGACACAGTCTTTAAAAAAAAATACTAAAAGTAGAATCAGGCAACTGTATTGTCTCCAAATTACAAAAACAAAACACAATCACTTTCATTTCTCTTTCCTCTGCACAGGCCCAGAGTATGCTATGTTTGCTCCTTAATTATATTGTTATGCACTAAAAAAAATGCAGTAAATGCTAAATTCTACATCTATTTCTTGACCATGTTATCAGGAGACCTAAAATAAGCTAAGAAAGACCAGGAATTAATGTGAAGCTGGGTATATGATAATAGAAAGGACAGAATGTTAGGAAGGGAGAGTGCACACCCTATTGAAAGAATAGCTGGTGTACTCCATCCCATGTGTGCTGAGGAAATCTGAACTAGACAGATTTAATGTTTACCTACAGTTCCCATTTTGCACAATGAATAAAGTTCATAGACACAGTGGAAATATTGTGATTTTTCAACCTGTATTAACAACAACAAAAAAGAAGATAGATAGATAGATAGATGATAGATAGATAGATAGATAGATAGATAGATAGACAGACAGATAGATAGATAGATGGATGACAGATAGAAAAACTTTGGCCCAAAGCTGCCTTAGGACTTCTTAAATTGATCTCAAATGTTTCTCTGGTTGGCTAATTACAACCAACGCTGAGCAAGTTGCCAGGTCCTAATCTGTTGGGAGATGCTACTTGTTCATTTCCGGCTGCCCAGACCACAAAATAATCACTCAGAAACTATATTCTTTAAGTCACTGCTTGGTCAAAAGCTTAAGCATAATTTTGGCTAACTCATATCCTAAACTAACCTATCTCCATTAATCTGTGTATCACCACAAAGCAGTGGCTTACCGAGTAAAGTTCTCCGGTGGGGCTACATGGCTTCTCTCTGACTCCACCTTCTTTCTCATAGCATTCAGTTTAGTTTTCCACACCTAGCTCTAGTTTGCCCTATCATAGGCCAAGGCAGATTCTTTATTCATTAACCAATAAAGCAACACATATACAGAAGGACCTCCCACACTAGTCAAAAATAGTCAGCCAACTATTCAAACCATATCCACCTAAGATAAATGAGAACTATAATCAACAAAGTTGTCTCAAGAACTTCCAGTTTTATGCATCATTTTCTTGTCTCTAGATATGAAGAGCACCTCTTGCTCGTGTGGTGGCATGGTGTAATATGAATCCGGTTTTTTTGTTTTGTTGTTTCAGATTGTCAACCAATTTAGAATTGCAAATAAAGTCAATTAAGATTTGCAAAACTTAGATAAGTCTCTTGATATATTTTTAAGGATTATTATTGTCCCCAAACATTTCATCAAGCTGTGTTGTTGTTTTTTTCTTTGTAGGTAAGTCTAAACAAAAGCAGGAATTGGCCATGAACCCTCTACGACAGGAAGGACTTCACAGAAAGCAGAAGTTTTTATCACAGAAAGCAGAAAGGACTGTTGTAAAAGTCACCTCATCCGCCAGTTCTCAGGGGGAGGTAAAACTTCAATGGAGACCAACTTACCACTGCCAGAAAAGAAGTTTGTAAAGAGACTGGCCAGGATTTTATTGGAGGACTTCTGAAGGAGAGCCACCACTGTCTCGTTAAGTATGTCTTTGTTCTTTTCAAGCCAACCACTGATATTATAAGGGACCTTTGGAAAGACATGCGTTTCAGGTAACAAAATGAGAAAAGGTATACATTCATACACTGAAAAAGGAAATGTATGCATCGCTTTTTTAAAAACCCACAAGTGGTTTTATTTAGTATTAATTTAGTAACAATACTAAGTAGCATTCCAGAAGGCCATCTTGTAGCCCAGTGAGATTTTTAAATTTCACATTTTCAAAGAAAAGTAAAATTTAAAAAAATTGACAGAGAAAGAAGTAATGGGTGAGAAAAAAAACTTAAGGGAAAAGACAGAGAAAAGGACAGGGATGGGACTTTATCTCTGTTAGAATCAATTCACATCAACACCTTTTCATTGATGGCAGTAGAAAAAAATCTATTCTCTTGACAAATACTGAATACTCAGAAGAAAATTAACAAACACAACAATATTTTAGATGTAGTTATTACTATATTCCATGACACCAAGAAGAGGATTATATCTGAAGACACATGGAAGGTCATTTGTAAGCTGAGGTATATTGTTATCATCCATTTGCTATGTATCCACCCTCTTGCAATCACTGGCTACAAGAAGGAAAAAAAAGACATGTGTCAAAGTAGAGGCAATAAGGGTCATTAGAAAAATTTTGACTAAAATTTAGAGACCACCACTCCACCTCATGTCTTTTAAAAAGGTGATTTGAAATCACTTACATAATTAAAAAAAAAAAGACAAACGAGGGGAGGTGTCCCATAACATGGGTGATCTCCAGACCTCTCACAGCAGCCCTGTTTTGAGGCTGAGTGAGATTTCTGACCTCTGTGCCTAAGCCACTGTCCTGTGGATGTTTCATTTCATGAGCACCAAATGATATCACCACCTCTCCACTGGCACGGAGATGTATTTGTTCATCTCATCATTTAATATATACAGTACTGAAATATTAGTTGAGGGTTTTGGACAAGTCCATTTGATGTAGAGTCCAGAAAGTATGGGCCTGGGAATCTAGGACTAACTCACCCCTCCAGCATAATGAGCGAGTTCAAAGTGAACTTCGTATTTCTTCTCAGCAGATGCGGGTTTCTGGAAGTAGGGCGACTTTCCAAAATGGTTATCAAAGAGCTTGGTCTCAAAAGTCTTGTCAGTGGCTTTAGAAACCATACATTCCTCTTCAAGGATGGAAAGAATGCCCATGGGCTGTGGGAGAGGGATGAAAGTGAGTTCTAAAAACACGAGAAACAGAGTATTCCCAGTAACACATCAATATAGGCCTTTCATCATAAAATTAGATGCTCCAAGAGATGCTCTTCCCTGCACAGAACACATGTGTCCTGTTAACTATTTATTACCTGCATTGTCATACTGATACGGGCAGGGGCAGAAGTGAGCTGCACACTGTAATGACAGGCAGGTGGGGCAGGGGTAACAGGGAAATAAACAGATAACTGGAAAAATTAACTTAGTTCCACATAGGCACTCTGAAGAAACTGTATGAAGTACAAAGACTGAGAATGAAGTGGCAGGGACCTCTTTGCCCTATATGAAAACAACCCAGAAACATCTGATTAAAGTATTCTGGCACAGAAAGAGGAAAATGAAGATAGCAGAGACCCCAAGGTAGAAGACTCTTATGAGACTAAGATCCTGCCCAAAGCAAGTGTGATCCAAGCAAAGACAGCCAGAACATAAGGTGGGGCGGGAGGGGGTGGGCGGAGTTGGGCATCACAAAGTTAAATGCATCTGGATCCCAAAGAATTTACCGGCTGTGGTAAGATGGTTGGATTTTGAATGTAATAAAAGCCTTTTGGGAGACATTAAACATGCAGTAATGTGAACTGATTTGTTTTTGAAGGGAAAATGGTTTAAGGTAGGAGTCAGCTTATTGGAAATTTATGAGATAACAATGTTTTATTTATATGTTAAAGGGCTTTAGGAATATACAAGGAAATGGGACAGAATATGTTATTATTTCCTTAAGCAGATTTTTTTCCTAAGTAGTCCTGGCAACTTGTTTGCTACCTGCTCATTTCCTGAAGCATATGGAAACAAAACAAGTGGCAATGTTTCAGTAATACCAGACTGCAGGCTAGATTCAGCCCATACCATCATAGTTGGCTGCCCCTAGTCTGCCTAGAAATGGTGTCAGAGCCTTGAGAAGTCGTTTCAAATGTGATGTAGCTGAAAGTACAACTATGTCACAACTTCCTAATGAAGAAAATAAGGGATGTAAGACAAGTTTTCAATCTGAACAATTTCTAATGGATTCTTCCACTAAACCATATGCACAGGGAGAACATACTTGGCAAACAAGGAAAAAATCTCAGATGTTTATGATGTTTATATATTTCTTTTATATTAACATTATTTACCTATCCACTCTATAAATAACTTTGAAATGTTTTCTAAGATCAACTCCCTATTTCAGATACTGAAAGATATGACAATATTATTAAGACATTGGCTCCAATTATAAAATACGTAGCCAAAAATGACATGCAATGCGTAGTCAGAGAAACAGGTGAAAGGAGTTCCAAGTATAACAATTAAGATAGAACATAATTGCTTGTTGTAAGAGCACAGGACTTATGATTCTCTCCAACCCTTTTCATTCTTTGAGTCTGGAGGAGACACTGAAGATTGTCTTAGTTAGAATTTCTATAGCTGTGAAGAGACACCATGACTACAGCAGCTCTTATGAAGGAAAACATTTAATTGTATGGCTTGCAGAGGTTTAGCCCATTACCGTCATGGTGGGACATAGACATGGCAGCATACAAATAGACATGGTGCTGGAGAAGGAGCTGAGAGTGAAAAAGTAGATACATCTTAATCCCACAGACAACAGGACGTGGTCTGAGAAGCTGGGCATGTCTTGAGATTATAAGAGAGCTCAAAGCCCACCTCCAACAAAGCCACACCTTCTGATAGTGCCATTCCCTATGAGATTACAGGGGCAATTACCTTCAAACTACTACATATATGTACTCTAACTTTCTTAATAGATCGTTGAATTTCCATCAGAACTGCTTTCTTTTTTTTGTTCTTTTTTGTTTATTTATTTATTTATTAAAGATTTCTGCCTCCTCCCTGCCACCGCCTCCCATTTCCCTCCCCCTCCCCCAATCAAGTCCTCCTCCCTCGTCACCCCAAATAGCAATCAGCTTTATGAGGGCAGTTGCTTATGTTTCCATGCATAGAGGCCATACCAGATCAAGGCACTGGATTATTATTAAAACAAAATTTATGTTTACTTAAAATTCCTTGTTCTGAATATCTCACTAGAACCACAGAAATGAGTCTTATTCCACATAATTCATCAGGTATTTAAAGATACAGGTTTCAGTTATTTGCCACTCTAATATTATACACACACACACACATATGTGCATGGGTGAGATGGGAAGGTGTATACACATCTGTCACAATGCATGTGCAGAGGCCATAGGATGGCAACTTTTTAGAGTGAATTCTTACTTCCAGGTTTAGATGGGTTCTGTGGATCAAGCTCAGGTTGTCAGGCTTCTGTAAAGCACTTTTACCCACTGAGCCATTTAACAGATCTCAGCATTTCTATCTTTTAAAAAAAATGCTCATGGACCTGTGTAGTGATGGGGCGAGCTGCATTCCGCCTCCCAGCTAGCTTTACCCAAAGTAATTACACAGAAACTGTGTTCTTTTTAAACACTGCTTGGCCCATTAGCTCTAGCCTCTTACTGGCTAACTCTCACAACTTGATTTCTAATACTCTGTGTAGCACACAAGGTGGTGGCTTACTGGGGAAGATTCAGCATGTCTGGCCTGGTGGCTGGCTCCATAGCGTCTGACCTCACTATCCTTCTTCCCAGAATTCTGTTCTATCTACTCCACCTACCTAATTTTCTGTCTTATCAAAGGGCCAAGGCAGTTTCTTTATTAACCAATGAAAGTAACACATAGACAGATGACCCTCCTCCATCAGACCTAGAGCCTACCTACATTTTATAGAAAGTATATTCAACAATATTCCAAAAGTTATTTATGGCATCTCCCTGCATCCCAAGACTCGAGATGCAGCTTAAAAAGGTCTTGTCAGCATGAAGAATTCCATGTAAAATAAATACCTATTTTATACATAAAATGCTCATTTTGTGAGTTCTTGGCAAAATGAAAAATAGACTATCAAGAAGGCAGGATGGAGAAAAGTGGAATACCATAACTTAAATAGTTGAAGGACCCATTCAAGCTCTTGGAAAAATGAACTCCATATCCGGCCCATTCAAGCTCTTGGAAAAAATGAACTCCATAGCCGGGCGGTGGTGGTGCACGCCTTTAATCCCAGCACTCGGGAGGCAGAGGCAGGCAGATCTCTGTGAGTTCGAGGCCACAGAGAAACCCTGTCTCGAAAAAACAAAAAAAAAAATGAACTCCATCTCATACCATGTGTTTTCCTATATACCAACAGTCAGCCCTTATAGAAATCTGGAATGAATCCTTTAAAAACACAAGCATTTCCCAGGAAGAGGCCTGTTAACAAGAGGACAGTTGCAAAACCTCACAACAAGGGGCAGTGCTCATTCACACAGAGCACACCTGAAGAGCCCCTGGTCCCTGGCTCCCATTGAAGTCAATATCGACTTTGAGATGAATGGAAATTTGTTGTTAATCAAGTATATGTCACCCCTTGAAATGTAACAAATGGGTAGTCTCCGCCTACACCTCAGGTCAAATAATAACACTGGCCTACTACAGGGTGAAGCATCTCTATATCCCTCTTTCTACTTGAAAGTAGTGTCTTATAAGCAGTGTAAGCAGGTGTGAGAAGTGACAGTTACTAAAAGTTAAATCTTTCCCTTTGCTGGTCTGAAGCTCTGTTTTATTTCTAATCATAAAATAGACACACACACGCACACACACACACACACACAATTTACCACAGCACAGTTGGTTTATTCTATCATTTTTAACAAGTTTATAGTGATATATGGAATTTATTTATATTTTTCAAGCTGCCCTCCTCATCGAGAAATTCACTGACCAAAATAAAATCAGTGCAATGTTCGTTCTTTTTAAGAAGAATAGTATTTATTTTAATCTAAAACCTAAAAAAAATGCATAAATCAGTGAAAGGTCAGTTACCCTACATCCTTCCTGACAGGGTTGGTGACAATCAAATGTTAAAGCAGCAAAAGAACTTTGACAAAGGCAAAGGTTTTGATCTGCTTAGACTGGTCTCCAAAATCTACTTTAATTCCTGATAAAACCAAGAAAAGGTGCGGTTATTACCATGTGACATGCTTGTTCTGGTAGACAAAGCAGCAGAAAAGAGAACATGAGCCCTTCTACCAGACCCCATTAATCCATCCCAGAACACAGAGCAGAGTAAGGGGCCTCACAAAATTCAGAAACCATATACTACAGCTAATTTGTTAATAAGCCATGAAACACTGATACAAATTATTTAAAATAACTGTTACCAGTTGAATTAAAAAAAAAACAAACAATATTCTGCTGGGTACCAACCCTAAGGTTTTGTATCAGTTGTTTATCTGCGTGCTAATTTGCTCAATCTTCTTTTTTTATTATTATTATTAAAAATTTCCGCATCTCCATCTCCCATTTCCCTCCTCCTCCCCCTACTCCCCTCTCCCTCCCTCTCCAGTCCAAAGAGCAGTCAGGGTTCCCTGCCCTGTGGGAAGTCCATGGTCCTCCCCCCTCCATCCAGGTCCAGGAAGGTGCACATCTAAACAGACTAGGCTCCCTCAAAGCCAATGCATGCAGTAGGATCAAAACCCAGTGCCATTGTTCTTGGCTTCTCAGTCAGCCCTCATTGTCCGCCATGTTCAGAGTCTGGTTTGATCCCATGCTTTTTCGGTTCCAGTCGAGCTGGCCTTGGTGAGCTCCCATTAGATCAGCCCCAGGCATAAATGGGGATCTTGGGGGTGGGAGTGGAGTGGGGGTAAGGGGAGATGGGGAGACCCTGGGGGAATGGAATGGTTGGGATGGAGGAAGGGTGGATATGGGAGCAGGGAAGAAGATATCTTAATTAAGGGAGCCATTTTAGGGTTGACAAGAGACTTGACTCTAGAGGGGTTCCTAGGTATCAATGGAGATATCCCCAGCTAGTTCCTTGGGCAGCTGAGAAGAGGGAGCCCGAAATGGCCCTTTCCTATAGCCATACTGATGAATATCTTACATCTCACCATAGAAGCGTCATCTGGCCATGGATGGAAATAGAGACAGAGACTAATATTGGAGCACTAGACCGAGTTCCCAAGGCCCAAATGAGTAGCTGAAGGAGGGAGAACATGAGCAAGGAAGTCAGGACTGCGAGGGGTGCTCCCACCCACTAAGAAGGTGGGGTTGCCAAATCTTCTTAAGCTTCCCCTGGTATGGGTATGCGCATTGTTAATGAGACAAATGCTGCAGAATTCACATTTTCAGTTATGCTTTTCTCCTGAGAAAGACAGAGGTTGGATATTTGATTTCACCAAGTGCCTTTGCATTTTAACAGTAAAGATAGTGCACTCGCTGCAAATGTGCAGTCAGACTGTATTACACAAGATGGAGTAGGGCAGCTGGCGGCAGAGTTTAGCTGGCATGCCACAGATCCTGTACACAAAGACCATTAGGAGAAGATGGACAGAGCCTTTCAGACCCGTCCCCCATCTGCTGACAGAGGCGGCTTCCTGAGATGGATCAGCACGGTAAGCTGTGATAGTTTATAAAGAAAAATGGATGCAGAGGACAAGTACATATACGGTACCTTCTCGATGAGATCTATGCAGGCTTGAAAATCCAGACCATAGTCAATGGCTACCCACTCAAGGCCTTCTTTCTTGTATTCCTCTTGCTCCAGAATAAACATGTACTGATTGAAGAACTGTTGCAACTTTTCATTGGTAAGATTGATGCAGAGTTGCTCAAGACTATTGTACTAAGAATAAAAGGAAGAGAATTAAAAATAAGATAGAAGTCCACTTGCAAGGATACATATTAGTGAGAAATCGTAACCACCATTGCACAACGACAAATGTACTCAAGCAGTAAGTAACAGTGCTCAGCTAAATTCCTGTCTCCTCCAAATAAATCTACAAACTAATGATTATTGCAATAAAACAATACTCAATGGAATTATGATTCAAAAAATCACAAAGGATTTTATTTACTTTGATTTAAATTTGGATTAAGAAATTAAATACTTAACACTAATTGTAGTAATGATAATTATTACTACTGATGATAGCTCTTTTTTAATCAAAGTAGCCCTTAAGGTTTAGGTAAAATGATTCTATTTATTTGTTTGTTTTTATTTTCTTTTCAAAATTGAAATAGAATTATTATAAACTTACCCCACCTTTTCCTCCTTCTAGCCCTTCCCATGTACCCCTCCTCTCAAGCTGATTACCTCTTTTTCTTTGTTATTATTACACATATGTGTGTGTATATGTATTCACAAATATATAAATACAACCTTCTGAGTTTATTTTTGTTTTTTGTGTAGTCATTAGGTGCCTATAATTCACTGTCCATGAATGGGATCCTGCAAGATATTTCCCACTCTATATTCATTGATATTAGACATAATGATCCTTAGCATGCTTTGATCTTGTTTTCCCATGGTGCCATTTCACAAATTTTCTTGAAATACTCGTTGATTTTACTCTTACCACATATACTTACATCAAGTATTTCAAAACCAGTGATGTCAAGAATAGCAATGAAGAAGTGACTTGGCAGCTTGGCATCCAGGAGCTGGTTCATGCGTGCCACTAGCCACTTAAACATCCTTTCGTATATTGACTTAGACAGAGCACCAACCGCATAGGTTACCTAGAAATCATATTTACATGTTTTCTTCATAACTATGTAGTGAGATAGCTCAGTGTTTTAAGACTACTTGCTGCTCCCTTCCAGTACTCAGGTCAGGCAGCTCACAACTGCTTGTAACTCCAGTCTAGAGGATTCAATGCCCTCTTCTGGTCTCACACATGCTCACACCCACATACAGACTCATACACATAAATAATAAAAGTAAATCTTTAAAGTGTTCCATTTTTTAAATTTGTTTTAAAAAATTTAAAACAATGTTTGTTTTAATCCTGGGCATTGTCTATCTGCAAACACCTTCTAGTCAAACCAGCATGTGATTATTAGTCTTCTATGGTTTTGAAATTATGCTGAATATAATGAGGAAAAAAGAAAAAAGAAGCAAGAAAGGGTTGGGGAAAGGAGGAAAGAAGAGGAGAAGAAAGTTAGCACAGTGTTTCATTATCAGAAGTATAAGAGATAAATCATGTTCCTATTAATATCCTAGGATATGGTTTGATGCCTAACTCTGGAGCCTTGTTCTGATTGGGGTGGTCCAAAGACCTGTTATCAGTATCAGAATCATTGGTAACTTTTAAAAGATGTCAGGACTCAAGCCAAGCCATAGATGTACAAAGTCTGTATAGTAAAACCATTCCCATCTACCCAGGCCAGTTGCCAGAAAAATTCTCTTATGTAATTTTATGAAGAATTCCTGTCCTTGATACCTGATGATGTATCTCATTCTCCATTTCATGTATAAATTCTTTACCTGTCTATATCAAAAAGCCTACTAATCCAGTTCACCAGCGGTCCCTTTTTCTTGATTTCTTCTTAGAAATGTGCAGTCACTCACTCCCTTTGCCTGTTCTTGGCCTATAAATTCCTACTAGCTATGGCTATATGTGGAGTTGATTACAAAGTCTCTTTTCTACTGCAATATTTCCATGTCAACAGTTCTGAATAAAGTCTTACTCGCCATTTAGTGTCAGAATATTTCTTTCTTTTAATGCACCATAGCCATAATATTTTTAAACTATTAATATTAAAATCTATAATCCCTAGAACTTGCTTTGCTATTGCTGAAGCTGCTAATTGATAAGCTGTAAGATTCTTAGCAGCTGACTCCCCTTCCCTGGGATACAGTAGTTCTATTCCATTAGTGTTCTTAAAGTCTGTCTAGTCTTGACTTCTAGTTTTTTATTATTCTGTTGTCAGTGTGGTCCTTGCCTTCCTGAATAAAAGCCTTAGGGAAAATCATTCTGATACAAATTGCTCTGTCAGAGTGTGTTGCAAGGAAAGGGCTGCTTGTTCGTCCCGGCTGCCCAGACCCCCAAAATAATCACAGAGAAACTATATTAATGGGGCCCATTAGCTCTAGCCTCTTATTAGCTAACTGTCACATCTTGATTTAACCCATTTCTATTAATCTGTGTATCACCACGAGGCAGTGGCTTACTGGATAAAATTCCCAGCGTCTGTCTATGGCGGATCCATGGCGTCTCTCTGACTCTGCCTTCTTCCTGCCAGCATTCCCTTTAATTTTTCCCACCTACATAAGTTCTGCCCTATCAACAGGCCCAAAGCAGTTTCTTTATTAACCAATGAAAATAACACAAAAACAGAAGGACCTCCTACACCAAGAGTGAGGCTAAGAAATTTCCTTTTTACTGTTTCCAAGAGGATGAGGTGGTTTGTTTTTAAATGTTGAAAAATAACACGTTAGCTTTCTTAACTAGTTCTGTTAAAGGCTGGAGTTACAACTTAATCTCCTGTAAAACACTAATTTAATAGGTGTATTTCAATTACCTTCTTCTCCCAGGCTCATTGGTTTTATAAGAAGAAAGATGCTATCCTACAGTCACAGAATATCACACATCCATGTTATGGTGACTGTCTAAGAAATGGTGACACTGAAAAATACTTACAATGTGACTTGACGTCCACAAAGCTGTACTGTTTTAGTACCTAATCACCTGCTGGCTGCAGAGCAGTGTGCTAGATGCTAGTGTCCCAGAATGACTCAGGCATAATCCATGGCCTTAAAGGTTACCAAGGTTACCTTAAATGTTTCCTCAGATAATACATTATAAATATTCCTGCTCCACTTACTTCTGAGTATTGTAAGACAAGAGCAAGATAAGCATTTCTAGCGTATATGTGTCTGTCTCTCTGTGTGTATGTGTGTGTGCACGTGTGTGTGTGTGTGTGTGTGTGTGTGTGTGTGTGTGTTAGAATTGACAAATCTATGCTAGGCAAAGTGTTCTACCACTGAGAAACATCCCCAGATGCACAAGCTAAACAGACATTTACAAAACTATCATTTTCAATACTAGACTTATGCTTAAAGAAGGCATTGGTATCTTAAAGTAGATGACTGTGTCATTGTTTTAATTTTCTCAGTGAGGCTTAAGGTAACTCCATGATGGTCAAGCCTTTTAAGGCTTTTATATATCCAGTCCATCAATTATGTGTAGTGGGGTTTTGTTTTGTTTTTCTTTTGGGGGAAGGAGCAAAGTCCAGAGTTTCATATAGTCCAGGCTAGCCTCAAACTCACTCATCCAAAGATGACCGTGAATCCTGATTCCCCATCCCCTGCCACCTGGATGCCTCCCATGAGTCACCAAAACCTAGTCCTAGGTGTGTGTGTGTGTTATGGATGATAGAGGCAATGTTATGACTTTACTGTACTATTTTCTTTTTCTAGAAAAACCATATTCATTACCTTTCCCATAGTGAAGAGAAAATATGAGAAATTCTCATCATTGGATATAAATGAAAGTTCTAACACCACTGTCCCAAGTGGAGGGTGGAGAACCTCCCTTCAACTGACCTTTTCTCCTTGTCCACAATGTCACAGGCTGTGTCCCAGGTAGCATGAGTACACTATGCAAGAATGCTGTGCATTAAATGTTGGATTTTGTTTGAGTAAGAGAACAAATTTTTAGTTGCCGCTGAGATTTTGGTGTATATCTAATACAGTAAAATGGTTTGCATTACACTGATTAATATATTTAGCAGACATAAATTATTCTGAAATTTACTGGTATACTTAAATTATCTTAGTACCCAACAACCCTAGACATATTTGCTGCATAAGGAAAAGTCTGAAGCTCAGCCATCCAAAACATTTGCCATTTATATTAATCTAAATCAGCACAGCTTTCTGTATTTTATGTCTCTTCTCAATTTTTTGTGTCTTTAAATCATATCTTCAACATACAGGCTAAAGCCTACTCTTCACTAAAGTAACCATGTGTCGATTACACTAAGGGAGCTAGTATGTAAAGGGATGTCAGTCCTCCAAGATATTTCACTTCAGTCCTCTAAAGTTCAAAAAGTTTCTTAGCTGAACAACCAAAGTGTAGCTCACAAGTGAAGTGTTACCTAAGGGAGAATTGTCAAAATACTCAGCATAGTCCCTTACTACTGTAATGTCTTTAATTAGAATATTTAAATACTTACCACACTAGATCTCTTTACTACTTTCATAGAAAATTATTATTAACATTGCCCTACATTGAAAATATGTAAATATGATGTGTATAAAATAATTCATGATCACACAATTACTGTGCCCTCAAATGTTACATTACCTGTTGGACATTTTGACTTCTGGTAATATACTCATTATTAACTTTGATCCTGGGGTAGATCAGGCCCTTTACCAGCTCAGAAGAGTGAATGCCCATGAGAGAAGCAGCTTTGTCAGCATCTGATCACACAAGAAAAGAAGAATGTCAAGAACAGAGGGAGAAGAGTGAAAGAGAATGAAAAACACTGTGGAAATCATTTCATTGTAGCCGAACACACTGCATAGAGGGTAAAAGGACTGTGTGTTTAGATCAGTGTAAAAACATAGATTGCAGCTTTGCAATAAATGGCTGAATGCTAAATGAAGGAATCTACTTCTTATAGATACAAATCAAGCCACACTGAAGCACCACTTAATGATCTCTTAGAATGGTTTCACTGAAAGCTAGTAACAGGTGTTGGTGCAGATGTGGACATTCACATGTGGCATGGCCATTACAGAAAACGGTCTGACAATTTCTTAGAGATTAAACACAGAGTTATTGTAGGATCCAGCAATTTCACTCTTGCATAAGAATCTAAGAGAAATAAAGATATTTATGCAAAAAATGTATAGAATATTTCCAATAATATTATTATAGTACTCAAAATGTTAAAAAAAAAGCCCATCAACTGATAAAAAGTAAGATAAGACATGCTTATATAATGGAAATTAAATAAAGAAATGAAGATTGGCATAGTCTATGATGGGGCTTCATTAACTAGGACTTGAGGAAGATAACTGGGAGTCATAAGAACTTTATAAACCTACCATGGAAAATGGTGATTTTTTTTACAACTAATACTATGTTTACAGAATTTTATGAATATCATATGGCCATTTATTCATAGAAGCAATTTGACTGCTCCTCAAAATTACAGCATAGAATTAGCATTTAATCCAGTAATTCCAGTTATGAAAAGACACACAGAAGAGGTAAATGCAGGGAATTAAAATTGATACTCTTACACTAGCATTCATTCAGAACAAATAGTGGAAGTCACCCAGCTGTACATAAATTAATGAATGGATAAACAAGACAATATAAATACATATAGCTAAATATTAATAAAGTGGTTAAAAGGATAAAATTCTGAAACATACTATAATACAGATATCATATAATAAGATATAGTGTTTAGTGAAATAAACCAGATACAAACATATAAATATTGGGTAATTTCATTTACATGAAGTACCTAGGCTAATCAAATTCACGGAGCTAGAAAATATAGCTATGGTTTTCAGGATAAAGAAAGGAAAAGCTTAACATGATTCAGTTTTCAATAATGAAAAAAACTGGAAAAAGACAAAAACAATGTGAATGTACTTAATTTCACAGAGTACTTCATTTTTGTACTTCATTTTTGCACACTTATGCTAAAGTGATCAATTTTGTTATGTAAACATTACCAAAATTTAAATATAAAACTGAAACAATTGTCCGTTAAAAAATTAAATGTATATAGTTCTTCTTTTAAATTGAATTTTTAAGTTAAATGTCATTACTGCAATAGCTGTGCTATCTATTTTATAATTGTGATTTTTTCCACTTTTATAGAAAGATGACTGATTGTAATAATGTCTGGGATGTCTTTATAATCAATTAAGTACATAGTATCCACAGTACTTTTATTTACTCTTTGGAATTTTTATACATGTATATATTTGATCTTATCAATCTCCTTCCAAGTCCCTTGAGACTCAACAACCCATTTTCCTCTTTTTTATTTTTATTATTATTAAAATACCCCAAGTCCACTTACTACTGACTAGGAGCCACATCCCTAAAGAAATGTTAGTCTCTCTCCCTCCCTCAGCAACCATCAACTGCCAATGGCCCTCACTAAGGGAAGGACCTCAGGAGCTCCTTTCTCCTTCATTCTGGAGGGCTGATTTTTTTTATTTTAATGAAAATAAAAGAAACAGAACTTTAAGCCTCAGAGTTTTGAAAGGATGGAGTCAGTTTGACTTTGGAATTTCAAGGGTCTTTTCTTAGATGATCCCCACTAATACCAAGTAAGATATTTTATGAAAATTTGCTCCATCCATTTTCTTTTTTTTTTTTTTTTTTTTTGGTTTTGGTTTTTCGAGACAGGGTTTCTCTGTGGTTTTGGAGCCTGTCCTGGAACTAGCTCTTGTGGACCAGGCTGGTCTCGAACTCACAGAGATCCGCCTGCCTCTGCCTCCCGAGTGCTGGGATTAAAGGCGTGCGCCACCACCGCCCGGCTCCATCCATTTTCTTGATAGTCCATGAGCTAAAAGTGTATTTCACAAAAGCCCATAAGCTCTGCTGGCATTACCAGAAACTAACTGAGAAATGTTTCTTATTCTGTGAGAAGGTACACTAGGATGATGATTGACATAAAGCCAGCGACAATAATAATGGGCTGGTTACAGAGGGTTTGTTTAGTAGGAATGAAGACTTAAATTCAACCCCCAGCAACACAACATGAAAAAAATCAAATAAATAACAATAATTAAGGAAAATGGTACTGATTATTTTCCATATTCTCTAAAAAATGAAAAACAAAAAGAAGACACCAAGTGTATGCAAAGAAGAGACAGGCCTGGAAAAGCAGAGGTCTGAACAGAATTATAAATTGCATCTTTGTAAAGTAAGCCTTACTTTCTGTGCCATCAACCTCCAGTTGCTCTTCTCTGGGATTCTGTCTAAATTTCAGGTTTCCAATGTGCATGATGGCTCCAATGATCTTATAGCACTCAAACTTTTCTTCAGGAAGAAATCCCAAGACATGTATGGCTTTCTGTAAGAGGAGAAACAGAGGGCTAGCTGTGTCCTCTTTTTCCTGATGGCTCCAGTAGACACCTCACAATGTTGTATGTCACATATCACTGCAGATTGTGTGCTACAGCAATAAGACAATTGCGTTGTGGGCCAAGAGTGACTACTTGGTTCAAAGAAACACAAAAAGGCCTTGTTGATACTTGGTCACCAGCAGTCTGCTCAGTCATTTAGAAGGGAATTAGGGTGGTGGCAACATGAGTTGTTTAGTGCCCAGTAGCTTGAGTTTTCTTTCACACCCTGCTCCTCTCTTTACCCTTCCAGCAACAGGTCCACTTATTGGCTACAGGAGGTTCATTATTGTCTCTTTCATGGCTATAAAACTTATCAATGAATCTGCTGGGTGATATGTCTCACATGTTCAACTGTTTTTGGATTTTTTTTCCCAGAGTCTGCTCATTTGGAATTTGGTGAAAGGGGTTGTTAAGAAAAAAGCATCATGTCACAAGAGAATGTTCGATTTTGTGAGAATGATCATTTCAGTAACTGTCCTGACCTGATATCCTAAAATGGTTAATATGGCAGCCCTAATTCCTTGCTCCCTCTCCAGAATAGTGCCACTGTTGTGAAATGATTAACCACAACTCTGGCTTATGTAAACTTAATTATCTCTCTGTGACAGCGGAGGGGAGGCAGTTTCTTGCATATCTGTAAATTCTGAAGAAATGAAGTATCTGTGACTTTTGCCTTTAAAAGCCCTCTTCCCCTTAAAGCTGGGCCTCAGTCCCAAATACAACCAAGGGAACTGAAGAGAGCTGCAGCTTAAATGAAATTCAGCTAATTAAAGCTGGCTAGGGTTCAGGTGGTCTCTAGGTGTTTCCGCTTGCTTAAGAATATCACCACATCACTGCCTCCTAAGAAGACACTGTATGTGGTCCCAGAAGAGTGTAGTTATTATAGTAACTAATTCAGAATGCCTATAAAGACAAGAGTGGAGGAATCCATGTTCTTTTTCAATAACGTCATTTATAGGAATGCAAGACTGAGTGATTATAATATGCAAAAAGAGTATTAGCCTTCTAAGTCATTCACAGGGTGAAGAGAGACAAAAGTCTTGGGATTCAACAACAGGAGAATAAATGATAGGACAAATGCCTGACAAAAGAAAAATTTTTGAGTATTCACCTAAAATGCTCATAAAATGAAACTGAAAATCAAACTCTATGGACCACATGATCTTGCAGTATAATTATAAATAAACAACAACACCAAAGCAACTCCATATAGATGAAAACAGAATAAAGACTTTAGAGATATACACCAGCTAAAAAAGTTTGATATTAAGTTGAAAATTTTGTCTACATTTTTATAGCTATAATACCCCTATATTGGAAATATGTGCTTCTACTGTTAGTAAACTTTTGGGGAGAAGCAGCCTCCACCATCAAGAGGAGCAAAACCAGGTCTCCAGAACTCAAGATGAGGTGTTATGATGTTGGTTATCTTTACTCACAAAACTAAATTTCTACAACTACCAAGCCTTACTTCTGTGGCCAGAAATCCTTCAGTGTCTTCCAAGCTCTCCACAGCAACCTCTCCACAGGAGCAAATGTGAAAGTTGGAGGGATTTGTGGACACCAGGAGCATGTCTATAATGGAAAACTTTTGGTTAACTAGCTTAGAGAAATGCACAATTCCTGAGAAAGCAGTTGGTGAAAATTGAGGTTACTCTTACAGCTGATAGGTTACGTGCAAACAAGACATATTCAATTCCATATTCTAGACCCAAACCTCTGTAATCAATATATCCCCCTGTTAACTTGTCAGTCATGTGTCAAGGCCTCCCAAGAGAACACCAGGTTGGCCAAATCAAAAGTAGATTCAATTGCAGCAATACAAAGTGGTGGTAGTTGGCAGGGAATTGTAGATAATGTTTGTTTGCAAAACTTTGATAACAGGCACTTGGCCTAGAATCATGACAGAGGGTCAGAGGGTAAACATGCTCGGTAAAAATTTAAGTATAACACACCCTAGTTTCATGGCTAGGAAACAGCCAGTTCTCTTGAGGTCAGCACCCAGAGAACATTAGCCATGTATTCCTATCACTTCACATCCTCACTCACAGGAGGCTGAGTTCTTCATTCAAGGGATCTGTAAATCAGATGCAGTATAACCACTGTACTGCTGGTGGCTTTATGAGTCTGACATGTTTTATTTCATCAGGAAACATAATGTAAGATCTAAACTAAGACAGCTGTCAACAGGTCAGTTGGTCTGGTAGAATGCTGCCTGACACTTGATCTCAGTTACCTTTATATATTTTAATTTTTTTTAATTTGAACTTATCTTCCTGTTTATTACCCATTGAAATGAAGATATGCTTTATGGAAATACAAATCTCAGAGACAAAGAAATTGGCTTATGGGAATTCTCACAATAACTCTACTTAGAAGCATGCTGAATATTGAATGTGTTAATGAAACTACTGTTTCTCCATAGAATGAGTTATTATTCATCAAATAAAGAAATAAATTGAAATATTAAAGAATTTCAAAATAACTATGCTGACTGAATTCAGCCAAATTAAAAGAACATGCAGTGTACAATGATTACATATTATAAAATTCTAGAAAATGCAAACAAATTATCATGTTTACATATGGATGAAGTAGAAAAGTTCTAACAATGAAAAAGGAAAGGAAAGAGGAATTGTAAAAGACTCTGGGGAATATTTTTTAAAGGATGTCTGTGGTGCTTGTGGCAATGGTTTCTTGCATATGTGTGTGTGTGTATGTGAGTGTGTGTTACATACAAATACATAGGTATATATGTACATATATATGTACATAAATACATATATATATATGTATATATATATGCCAGTATCATCTGTGTATTTCAAACATTTAATTAACCATAGGACCATGATTCTCCTTTAAAGCTATTTTGGTTATAAGCCTAGCCAGATGTGGGATGTCCTTCTGTATAGATGATGCTTTTATTGATTGATGAATAAAGCTGTTTTGGTCAATGGACAGGCAAAATTTAGGTAGGTGGAAAGTCCAACAAAGATACAGAAAGAAAGAAAGAAAGAAAGAAAGAAAGAAAGAAAGAAAGAAAGAAGGCATAGTCGGGGAGACATCATGTAGCCACCCAAGAAGAGAGATGCCTAGAGCAGCCTAAAGAGAAAGATGCCAGAATAGAGGTAACACTATGGTCATGTGGTGATACACAGATCAATAGAAATGGGTTAATATATATAAGAGATAACAAGTCAATAAGAAGCCTAAGCCATTAGTCCAACAATTGTAACTGATATAAAGTCTCTGAGTGTTGCCTTCATAAAGTGTTCAGGCAGGAGGAGAGAGAAACTGGTCCAGGCGGACCAGTGGGACAGAGAATACTTCTAACTACACTGTCTTTTACAGCTGAGTCATCTCTCCAGCCCTCATTAAAGCTATTTTATAAAAAAATTAAAAATAAAACACAAGTTTTATATTTTAAAATTTTATAAAATAGCTCAAAGCAAGGCAGCTTCCTCCTCAGGCCACTCAACTCGCAATTTCCCATCAGGCTTTCCTAGGGCTGTATGCCTCTGTGTAGGCATTTCTTACTCTATCTAAAGTCACCCAGCAGCCCGCCTACCTTTGTCAGACTCCACACCAGCTGCACTGCCAGGTAGAACCTGCACTTCAAGCTTCCTAGGCTGCCTAACACCTTCCAGATTTTCCCAGGAATCAGCTCTTAAGTTGCTGCTAGGTAAGGCTTCTTCTTTACACCTAGACCATCCAAAACCCTGCCTACTTCCTCCTACACTAGCATAGACAACGATACCACATAGGGCACTCTCCTCCATAGGGTCCCTAAAATTTGACTTGCCCTTTCTCAGATTCTCCAGACTCTCCAGGTGGCAGGAATTCTACCTGTGGTTAGGCTTTGGTAAATGACCCAACTCATTTTCACCCTAGACTTTGCTCCTTCTACTGGATCCCTCTGGAGGAACCCAGACTATACTTCTGGTCAGACTCAGAAAGAGAACTATCCCTTTCAGAACCACTCCTCACCATTCTCCCAAGCTGTCCAAACTGTTCTCCTTCTTCAGGATACTCTCCAATGGCTCACAACACCCAGCAAGAGACCCACTCCCATTCTATCCCTCAGGACTAGTCTAAGTCTGTCATTCCACCAGAAGACTTCAACCTGGTAAACGAAAAACTCATCAATAGACACAACTAATAATAACCTAACCAAAATATTTAGTTTCCATCACAGAAACACAGCAATAATAATTTTTGAAAATTATCTCTTTCCCAATGTATCTTTCCCAAACTATAAATACAGTAATAATTGTCCCTAATGAGAACAACTTAGACAAAATTTAAGATACAAAATTTGAAAAAACAATTACAAACATTTTCAAAGAGCTCAAAGAATCCAAAGAAGACATCAATAAACCAATAAACAGCTAAATTAAATAAAAAGGACATAAACTCCTGACTGAGTTCAAGAAAATACAAGAGATAGAAATACTAAAGATAATGAAGAAAGCACAGACTAAAATTAATCCGGAAATAAAATCATCAAGAAGTCTAAAAAATTTTAGCTGAATCACTATCAACAGAATAGATGACATAGAAGATAAAATACTAGAACTTGAAAACAGGGTAAAGAAGTTGTATAATCCCATCAAGGGAAATAATAAGTTTCTAAAATTTATAAATAGAGCATTCAGAATCTTTAGAACATGATAAAAATAAAGAAATGAATGTATAGGCATGGACAAAAATAAATTCCAATAAATTGGATAATTCAGTAAACTCAGCCACAAAGTCCCAAAAGTTACAAAAAAGCTGAAAAAACTCCTTGTACCTTATCAGACCACCATGGGTTAAAGCTGGATTTCAACAACAACAGAAACAAGAGAAAGACTACAAACTCATCTCAGTTACCACTGGGTCAAGGCAGAAAAAAAGAAATTAAAGACTTCCTAGAATTCAATAAAAATGAATGCATAGCATACCCAGACTTATGGGACACAATGAAAGCAGCGCTAAGAGGAAAGTTACAAACACTAAGGGCCTTCATGAATAATTTGTGGAGCTCTCATACTAGCAACTTAGTGGCAAACCTGAAAGCCCTAGAATAAAGAGAAGCAGACACACCTAAGAGGAGTAGACAGCAGGAAATAATCAAACTGAGGACTGAAATCAATAAAATAGAAACAGACAAAGAATCAACAAAACAAAGAGTTGGTTCTTCAAAAAAAAATCAACAAATAGAGAAAACTTTATCCACACTAACTAAAAGGTGGAGAGAGAATATCCAAATCAACAAAATCAGAAACAAAAAGGGGTATATAACAAAAGACTAAATGAAATCCAGAGAATCATTAGGCTATATTTCAAAAACCTGTTCTCCACAAAATTAGAATATCTAAAAGAAGTGGACAAATGTCTTGATAGATACCACTTACCAAAATTAAATCAATATCATATAAGCAGTTCAAATAGACTGATAACCTCTAAGGAAATAGAAGAAAACATTAAAATCCTCCCAGCCTTCTTTAGGATCTGCTGCTGTGAGATCATCTATTGTTGGTGTTTTTGTGGATATAACTAACTTTGTTGGGTTGGAGTTTTACTTCTAGTACTTTGTGTGGGACTGGGTTTGTTGTTAGGTATTGGTTAAATCTGGTTCTGTCATGGAATACCTTTTTTGGTCCGTCTATGTGATTGAAACTTTTGCTGGGCATAGTAGCATCCCTAGACTCTTAATGTCTGCATCATGCTTGACCAGGACCTTCTGGCTTTCATTGTTTCAAGATACCACAAGAAAACTCACAGAATCAACTAACCTGGGCTCATAGGGGCTCACAGAGACTAAACTAATAACCAGGCAGCCTACATGGGCATGACCTAGGCACTCTGCGTATATGTTAGAGTTGTGCAGCTTGGTTCTTTTGTGGGACTTCTAAGAGTGAAAATAGGGACTGTCTCTGATTCTATTACAGGCTTTTGGGACTCTGCTTCCTTTCTCCCCTAGCCTTAATACACAGGGAAGTGCTTAGTTTTACTGCAACTTGATATACTTATGGGAGACCTGCCCTTTCCTGAACTAAACAGAAGGAGAGTGAAGTGGATTTGGTGGTGGGAACAGAGGGGAGAGAGGAGGTAGGAAGGGGAGAGGTAGGGGAAACTGTCACCATGTTGTAAAATAAATATACAGTTTTTTTAAAAAAAAAAAAAAAAGAAAGAAAGAAATGAAAAGAAATGAAAAGAAACTCCAGATCAAAGGCATAGACTGTATTTTCAATGGAGTCATAGATGAAACTTCCCAAATCTAAGGAAAGAGATGCCGATTCAGAAATAAGACAGAGAGACTATCAGACAGAACCACAAAAGAAAGTTTCATGTCATATTAAAACTTTAAGAACAAAAAAAGGTTATTGAAAGCTTCAAGAGAAATGATACAAGCCATATATAAAGGCATGTCGATCAGAATAATAGCTGATTTCTTAATGGAAAATTTGAAAGACGGAAGAGATCATGGTAACAAAGTCATGTTTGGAAAGAACAAAGATATCAACCAAGATTACTACTACTTCCAAAACTATTCAACATAATTGAAGGAGAAAGAAAATCATCCGTGA